ACCGCGTCAACTTCTTCGAGTACGAAAAGCCCGGCTGGACATACCACGCCAAAGGATTGTGGTATTACCTTCCCGAGGGGCGACTGCCAAACCTCACCCTCATCGGCTCCTCAAACTTTGGAGAGCGATCGGTGAACCGCGACCTGGAGACGCAGGTGTGTCTGGTGACTGCCAATAAGGATCTAAGCCAGCGACTGCAAGCTGAGGCAGATCGACTTTACGATCTATCGAAGACGGCGGAGCGGGAGATCGTCCAACGACCCGTGCCCCGATGGGTGCAGGCTGTTGTCCGCATATTCAGGAATTTCTTCTAGGCTCTTCGACATCATAGTTAAATTTTTTCGTTCTTGTTAAGACCCATATCCCAAATAGTTACTGTAGTTCTTAATTTCTGTTTAATCTTTGCCCTGGGCAAGTGTGTGTTTTTATTGCTGGTAACCGTTGCTTTTGTACGCAGGCTAAAGTTTGTTAAATAATAAAGATTTTCAAAGAAATCGAGGGTGAGAACAAGAAAAAGTACCACAATGTGTTTATATCTCCAAGGGGGATCAAAAATGTACACGTATAGTTCCTTAGTTTCAATAATTATAAGCTATTATTATTTTAATAATAAATATAAAACAGAAATCATCGGAGAGCTCTTACAAATTAGGTCCCAAATATACAGAAAGTTAAATTCAAAACTTCCGCCTCTTTGTCGCTTACAAAAATCGATTGTTTGGCAAAGGCGGTCAGAAATAATCGGATAAGACCTTAAAAATAAAAAAACAACTATTCAACTGATTATGATTAATCATAAAGAAACGGTATACAAATTTTAAACAGTTGATTTCATTTATGAATAATAATTAAATATTTTTTTCAGAATTTAACTTAATTTAACAATTGAGTATTTTAACTGTACTAGAATCACCTAACTCAAAGAATATGCAAAAAGACTCAGCCCGAATTTTATTTACTTGGTCAATAATAAAATATCGACTGTCTTACAAAGACTGCGATGTAAAGAATCACTTTTACAGATGATACTATCGATATTTTTGGCACCTCTAAGGCTCGCTCTCTTGTCCAAAACGCAAGACGCCGGCGGCCTAAGGCGCTCGCTGTCTTTAGTCAGCTGCTTTTTTTTGGCCAGGTAAGACGCCTGCTTCACCTGCGTGCCAAGTTCGGGAGCGCGTAAAACGTTATGTGTTTGCTCACCGTGAAAGTTAAATTAAAATAAATCTTATTATCGCCAAGCAAAAAGCGCGGCGCGTGCTCACTAAAGTTTTGTTGGTGTGCGATAGTGTTGGTGCACGGCTGGCGAAGCATGTGTGTGTGTGTTTGAGAAACAAATTCCAAGAATTTAAAAAAAGCAACAAAAACACAGTTTTTTTTTGCAAAAATGTCAAACAGGCGAAGAGTGCGAACAATTGATTACTTGGCGCTGCAGCAGAGTTTGCGGTTGCAAAAGACACAGCAGGAGGAGGAAAATGGCAATGGGAACAGTTCCATAAATGCCGAAACGCCACCACCCATCCCACCGCCCGTTCCGCCCATAAGGTTGCGACGGGAAAAGAGCGTCGACGAGGATGTTGCAAGGTGAGCTTACCGGTACCATTGGAATTTTCGGGATTTCCCATACAAAAACATGAAAGTCTGCATTGGCACGTAACAGCTCGATTTCGCTCTTTTTTCAAAGCCTTGCCTTTGGTTTTTCCCCTCTCATTCGCTCATTTGCTCCCTCTCTTAATCGCATTTCACCAGTTTTAATTGTTTAAACGTAAACAACGTGTTTTTTGGCCATGTTACTTTTGTTGTTGCTTTTGGTGGCTCAACGAACCCGAGATTTTAGCAAACTGCAAGACCAACAAAATATCAAAAACAGCAACAAATTGCGAACTTTGGCTGAAATTGAACACTTTGTGCGCAATTAAAATTATGCACTGGTGCACTGCAAAAATAAAATTTTAGCTTAGACGTATTGGATTTATAAAAATTTTCTAAGCTGTAGTATGTAAATACCTCTTGAAAAGCTTTTATTATGGACAAAAGACTTCTTAATTAGATATTATTATGTTTTTTGTACAGTTACTATTAACAAAGTAAATCAAATCAAACCATTAAAAAAATTGGTTTTAAATCAATTCAAAACACAAGATAGCATTATAACGATGAAATTAGTTTTATTTTATCCTTTGTCCGTTCTTTTTCGGTGTATTTCGGCATTTATCATAGCGCGTATTTGTGTTCAACTGCCGCGAGTCTTCTAAGATATTTACTGATAACGCTGACGGTGCCTTGATAACACATACACACACTCACCTTTGTATGTACTTTTTCCGCTGTTTTTTGCACTGGGGCTTATTCATAATATGTTTAAATTTGATTTAATTTTTATGGAGTGGGTGAGTGTTCATGGGGGTTTCGCAGAAAAACGAATGTCGTATGTTAGCAAGAAATTTGCCGCAAACATTAATTTTCTTTTGGCACCTGTTCCTATGGAAACTAAGTAAAAATAGGTGAGATTTATGTGTCTGCTTCGAGATCTTTCTTGTTGAATCTCTATTTTTTATACCCGTAAAATTAATGGTACCATTGTCTCCAATCTCACTGTTTTTACATTTATTATTGTATTTTAGTTATTATTAAAAGCTACATGTCTACTTATTTTGTAGGGTATCTTACAAGCCGGATACTCGACAATAGTGCTCCCTCTTGACTTTATCTCTCATTTGATGCCGCCAATCTTGTTCTTCTTCAACTCGTATACCTGTTTTAAGGGGCCAAGAAGAAGTAAAGGAGGGGAGACTATTGGAAGTTAAAACGCGTTTAATACGTGCGTTTGGCCACTCTGCTTTGTAACCTCTTTCGTTATTCTGTTTTCAAATCAAATTCGCTTTCTTCTCAAGTCTTCGTTCCAAAGTTTTGTGTCACCTAGCCAAATGAATGGAATTTCAATGATTGAAGGTCTCCCGCTTAACTTTACTTGGCCGAGAGAGTTAGAGAGCGAGATTGCTTGATCGCGTTTTTGCAGCATTTATACTTGAACTTGCAGGTTCTCACTCATTATCTCTCCGTTCTAGCCTTTTCACTCTTCGTTGGGCAATCTGGCATGCGTGCGGTACAATCAGTTGGTTTTCGTGTGTTTGATAAGCATAATTATGGCTTGAATGTGTACATTGTACACCCATATCAGAAAATATTTCCGCATAGCTAACACACCCATACACACTTGCTTTGCTATTAATAGTAATTTTAGACTTTTCAAATGTTTTAAATACCATGTTTACTCTGGAAAATAGCACAAACAAACCTCGTTAAATTTTCTGTGAGTTCTATCAAAATTAATTCGAATTTCTAAATAAACTAAACGCTCTCAGTGAATTTTAATGGAACACAATTAATTATTTGTATGTATTTTGATTGTCTTTATCATTTAAAATTGACTAACAAAATTTAAGGTTTAACTTAAAAAAAAATACAATTATAGATAGTAATGTGTAATTACAAATTAATTGAGCCTGCATTGTACTCTAATATGTCCATTGTAACAGAATTTCATCAAATTTATTAATGAGCATAAATGTGACTCCTATGACTCTTTTCAAGTCTTTAAAATTAAGTTCTAACAGAATTTTAACTGAATTAGATTCAGAAAATATATGTACTATATAGAATAAAAAAAACAAGAAAAAGACTTATTCTATTATAAAAACTTCAATACCGTGTTTTTTTTTTTATTAGTAAAATTAATATTAAATTAATTAGGGGTCTGGTTTGGCAACATCCTCTTTTCCAACTCACTTTGGTTACTCCGAACTCGTGCTATCAGTCAATGGGGGAATCTGATCGATTAGTCATAACGAACCGATCGTGTTATTGAATTTTTAATGCCGTATGAATGGGGACCACGGTGCGAATGCGCAACTTAGGTACACAACAAAAGTCTGAATATAACGTATACGCACTGCTAGTCACGTGACAGTGCGGAACAAGCCAGAAATTACAGTAAATAACAACATTGACCTATACATAATAAGAAGTAACTTAATTGACTGATTCCATATTCACTTTTCCGATTTCCTTATGAGTCTTGGCTGCATAGAGAAAATAAACATTTTCTCCGCACTTAAATCTCTGTTTAAGTAAACACACGGCGAATTAGCTATCAAGCGCCTACATAATAAAATTCCATAAATTAATAATAAATATTCGCGCGGTTGAGCCAATTGCGAACCACAAACAAACGCAGATGCGGCCCACAATCGATCAGATTGCCACTTGCGTTCCACACCAAATCTCTCTTACTCTCTTTCGCCCCTCTCTCTCTACTTTTTTTACGCGTTAAATCTCTCTCGCTCTGTTTTACTATATATTTTTCTCTCTTGTGTTGCCACAAAAATGGCTAAATTTATTAAAAATGGTTGATTATTTTTTATTTTTATAATATATTTTGCAACCTAGCCACTCAAGTCCACTCAAATGGCAGTTGTATTGATAATGTCTAATGATGGGATTACTATTAAAAGTGTTTAACAACTATTTATCAAGATAATTAACCTTAGAAAAGAAAACATTTATTGGTCCGATTTTGTCTGAAAGTAAAAAAAGCACATTTTGATGCATCATATATATGTAAGTGTATATATTCACATACACATTTAATATTCCTATTGTTATATAATGAAATATAAACTTCTATAGGTAGGGTTCGGAAATTCCTTATAGAATCTTGATACTTTTGCATTTTTATGTGTATGGTAACAACTAAAATAATGTTACAGATACCTAATAGTGACACATAATGGTGAATTCTGATATTTAAGTGAAGTTTGTTTTATTTACATAAATTTGTGGTATTCTCACTTGCAATATTGTTAAAATTGAAGCTCCAAAACGGCTAGTACGCCATCACCGCTGTGGAGTGGCCACCCACTAGTTGCTCTCGGCTGATGGCGGTAAACAATCGAATGCGTCGGGCGGGCACTCACCGCTCGCGATTTTCAGTTCGCCGCAGTTGGCAGAGAATAGCAGTCGTTTTGGGGGCGACACCGCTTCGTCGGATCGCATATACACTCGCATATATTACATACAGATCCGTATACTATACGCATTGGCGAATAGATGGGGTATATTCTTGTTAAAAGTGCTAATAAATTGACTGGCTGCGTCGGCAAGTGTTTCTCGTTATGAAATTCGAAAGGGTTCGGTGCGAGGCGTGCGAACTGCGGCCGCCTGTTTGCCAGTTGTGATAAACCCAGCAGTACTACGGTGGGAGATAGTGCATAACCCCCAGAAAGATTCCACCGGTTGGAGAAGGGAACCGGGTATCGGGGACCGTCCAGTCATCGTTCGCTGGCTTGCGTCTAAAGTTCTCTCCACCAGCTTGTAATTGTGAGCTGTTGCTTTTTATTTACTCTCAGCTCTTTCCTCCGTTGTTTTTTGTCCCTGGAGTGTGTTGTGCCGTGCAATTAGATGTACATAAATTGGCGGGGGGACTACGATCTCGCTCTGACACCCACCCCGAGAGACTGAAAATAATAACAGCCTCGATCGCGGCGATAAAACACAGTTTAAACCCGCGGTACCATAAACCAGCTGAGAAGAAAAGAGAAGGATTGCACTCTAAAGTTCTCTCGTTTCGTTGCGACTCTCTGATTTCTGCCGGATTTTAACTGTTATTCTCCAGGCGCCAGAAAAAATGCGTCCGAAAAAGTGAGTAAATTTCACAAATGGGCTGATGAAAAATGGGGCGCAATTTGCTCAACAATCACTCTTCTAATTGCCAGCCAATGTCGGCATTTTTGTTGGTCTCAAATAAATCAAACCTCTGCTCAAATTAGGGAATAATCGCTTGCGTGACAAGCGGCTGTCTGCAGCACCCGCAGCAGTGTGATAAGATAAGGATGTCGTACCAAATCCAACCAATTTACATGTGATGCACCGAAAAAATTTCTAATCGATACACAGTAAAATCATTGCAAATATAACAAATTTTTCTGGTTAAAAAAAGAATAAAATCAAATTAAATGCACCTACTATCTCCAAATAAAAGTATATAATAAAAATTGATCAATGGTTTCTAGAGCACAATATTATTTATAGATGGTTTACGTCTATATGGTCAAGTGATTAACACATTTTTATACCCTTGCAGAGGGTATTATAATTTCAGTCAAAAGTTTGCAACGCAGTGAAGGAGACATTTCCGACCCTATAAAGTATATATATTCTTGATCAGCATCACCAGGAGAGTCGATCTAGCCATGTCCGTCTGTCCGTCTGTCCGTCCGTCTGTCCGTCTGTCCGTCTGTCCGTCCGTCTGTTTCTACGCAAACTAGTCCCTCAGTTTTAAAGCTATCTGCTTGAAACTTTCCCAAAAGTTGTCTTTCTATTGCAGGTAGTATATAAGTCGGAACGAGCCGGATCGGGCCACTATATCATATAGCTGCCATATAACTGAACGATCGGAAATGCCATAACTTTGGTGTTTTTAAAGTTAGGAAGTTGGGATTTTCTATGAGTTTTATTTTTGGCCAATCAATCCGACCTACTAAATTTTATAAGGATCGGCCGACTATATCCTATAGCTGCCATATAACTGAACGATTGGAAATGCCATAACTTTGGTGTTTTTAAAGTTATCAAGTTGGGATTTTCTATGGGTTTTATTTTTGGCCAATCAATCCGACCTACCAAATTACATAAGGATCGGCCGACTATATCCTATAGCTGCCATATAACTGAACGATTGGAAATGCCATAACTTTGGTGTTTTTAAAGTTAGGAAGTTGAGACTTTTTATGAGTATTAAGAATACACCATATGAATAATTTTGAAGAATATAATTTACAGAATATTCTGCAAGGGTATATCAACTTCGGCTCCGTCCGAAGTTAGCTTTCCTTTCTTGTTATTTTAAAAGTTATTAGTAAATAGCACAGAGCTAAGGGAATTGGAATTTCTAAGAAGTTAATCAATTTCATCAGCGACTGTCTTGTTTAAGAAAATTGGTTTTATTTAAATTGTAATTATTATTTAGTTGAAATTAAGGTTTTTTTTGAGTATACGCGATGTGTTTATCTGACTTATCGACGACTAGGCAGCACTTGACCGCCGTTGCAATTAACGAAACAATTAGGGCAAGCCCCTGGGTCTAGATTACTGCAAATCAACTATCAGCCATGACATCCAACTTATTCATCAACCGTCTCCGTGTCTTACAGAGTGGAGTACCGCGTAAAGCAGACGCCTTCGCGGCCTCTGCAGATGGCTGGTGGCCGGATTGGAGCTCTTGAGGAGGACATGCCGCCGGAGGACGAACTGGCGGCCCACTATGAGGCGTTCGGCACAACACCGCCCCGCACTAGGCTAAAAATCAAAAACCGGGATTGGGAACGCAAGCAGAAGGTTGTCAATGTGGCGGCGTGAGTATAGACAATCAATACGGGGTGCTCCAAATGGATGGCTGAGATATATATGACATAAAAGTAGATGCGATAAGGGTTTGTGTCCGTGCTACAGGCATGATCGACACTAGTGCCGAACGCAGACCCACTAAATGTCCATATGCCACCATATGCTTCACCTGATAGTGACATCTCTATGGCTGATGTCATCTCTGTTAGCACGGTTGTCATTCGAAAATATTGGAAGCTTGTTGAAATTGGTTATTGAAAAGAAAACTACAATTGTAATTAACATTTCCTTACATTTACTTAAACTTCTGAAATTGATTCTAAAATAATTTAAGGTCCCGATTTAGGATCATTTTAATGACATAGTCGTAGTTTTACAATTAATTAAAATGTTATAAACAATGGGTCTCAATATTAAAATTAATTCCAATATGTTCTAAAGACTATCAAGATACTTTTGCAAGTTGCTCTTTAAGAACTTGATATCATCGCATTGACCATGTCTTTTAATATTTCTTGCTAAACAATTTTAGGTTTTTCTCACGGGGTTGTAAACCTATAAATGTAACTCCTCAAGGTGGCTTCAATTTCCAAATACAAAATATTCCAATAACTACAATAATAAATCCTGAAATAGTTTGAAAAGACTTTATTCTACATTTTTCAACTTGTGGGTATATTTTCTAAAATCGCCACATTTGGATTTAGCACAGCAAAGTCAATTAGAAAGTTATACTTCATTTAACGTACATTTTTGGAGTAACTCACTGTTATTTATGAAAATAAATCTTAAAAGGTTTGTAGACTATTAAGTAAATTTTAAAGGTTCACCTTTAAATCTTTTATGCTACGAATGACAGTCATGGTTCTTACTTTAATATTTTTTATAGATCACTTTTTAACCTATTTATGTTAGTTCCGCAGATTTACCCGCCAGTGTGGGCGGGACGCCCAAAAAAAACACCCGGATGGCACGATCGCGCGTCCTGCGGCGCAACACCATGGACTGCGCCCTGCTTAACGAGATGTTCGTTAACGAGGAAAACAAGCGGACAGACAAGCGGCTGCAGTCTATGCTTCGCGACTCGGAGCGCGAGATGAAGAACTCGCTGGCCACGACGGCGGTGGCGGCTCCACGAGGCAACAGCTTTCACGAGACGGCGCACCCCCTGGAGTCTCTCGACCAGATCATGCCGCTCAGCTCGGAGGCTATGGCCCCGCTCCCACTGAGAATTGCTTCCAAGGTGGTGGAGAGCTGCAACCGCTACCGTTGCGTGTCGTCACGTCCGATTGGCTACAGATCTTCGGCGCCGCCGCTGGCCTTTGCCGCTCAACTTCCTGCCGGGATGTTGAGGAGCGATGGAAGGGCAACCGCTGGACTGGGGAAACGAAAAGACTTCCACGACACGTTTGCCAACCTTATTAAGCTGGGCAGCGTAGACCGACAGGATGCCAAGCTGTCGCAGGAGGAGCACACCTGGCAGACAGAGCTAAAGGATCTCATCTGGCTGGAGCTACAGGCCTGGCAAGCCGATAGAACGGTGGAACAGCAGGACAAGTATCTTTTCGAGGCGAGACAGGGCGTCTCCGATCTGCTCACCCACATTATAAACTACAAGTTCCAGCCACGTTACCGTCGCGAGCCGAGTCTGATCAGCCTGGACAGCGGCATTCATTCCGACAGCAACTCTAATGCCAGCTGTAAGTCCGCAATTTCCTTTAGAAATGAAACCCTTTTTTACTTTAAAAATCCACTTTAGCTCCGCTGCCTAGCAAAATGTGCCAGGGCTGCATGTCTCTTTACTGCAAGGATTGCATGGATCATCAGGAGTTGGCGCTAAGAGAAGTAGAGGGCATGCTTTCGCGTCTGGAAGCCGCCGAGGCACTGTATCCATCTTCACAAGCGATGGGTGCCCTGCATCCAATTTACAAGTCACAGAGCTTTGTGGGCCGCATTAAGTCCATGTGCTTATGGTATAACATTACCAAGCAAAACAAACTAAAGCTTAGTATTTTGGGAAAGATTCTGGCCAGGTAAAAGCCGGCCCCATTCTGTTCATACATTCAAAATAATAAAATACCAATTTATTTGCAGGCTGCAGGATGAGAAGTTCTCATGGCCCGTCTGCACTTCATCCTACATCGCATCGGATAGCGGTAGCTCATCTGCCTCTGGAGTGGATAACGATGACTCGGCTGTTAACTCGATGGATTCATCCAAGCCGCCTAGTATGACAGGATCGGCCACGCGCAAGGGTTGTCGCAACGGAAGTGTAACAGCCTGCCACAAGGTGCAGTTTATGTTAAACGATGCGACCCATGTGCCGGGCGAGACATCGAGCAGCAATGAGTGAGTGGATAAATTCAGAAATTTTGAAAAGGAACACATATAACTATCTAAAACTGTTATAGATCAACCTCCACGGAGATCAGCCAGCTGTCTAGTGAGTGCTCACACGGCCACATGCGCAAGGGCTCCATGCACGACATAAACATCTTTAGTGTGGAGCCATTGGGTTCTTGCAGTAATAATGGAACCGGGGAGCAGTCTACCGGGCTGTATCGGAAGTTCATCGAGAATGTTCTCAAAAGTCGTGGACTGGCCAAATCCCTGGCCTTCCTCCATAAACTGCACAATGTGGCACTGTACAAGGCGCACATTGCCCTGGAAAAAACAGGAGCCGACGACTTAGATTATGATTCAGACGCGGAGTCCATTGAGGAGGATGTCCCGAGGCTGGATCCCAAAATTAGCCGCGAGCAGGTCGTGGAGCTTCGCACTTACGGTTACTGGAGCGAGGAAGCGCAGTCAATCAATCTGCCCTCGTACATTCCCACCTTTGTCTTCCTGAGCGGCATTCCGCTGCAGTTCATGCATGAGTTCCTGCGCATGCGTCTCGAAACGCGGCCTGTACGTCCCAATCCCCTGAGTTTGGAGCAGCTGATGAAGGAGCTTAGGGAGGGTTTAACCCTGGCATTGACCCATCGAGAGCGTTACCAACGTCACATTACCACGGCACTGGTAGAGAACGAGGCAGAAATGGGCAGCTACATCAGCATTCTGAACCATTACGATGCGACGGTGCGAAAGACCTTTGAGCTTTACCTGGACTACATTGATCAACTAGTCCTGGTTGCCGTCCCGGAGGGAAACCAGAAGTCAGTGCTGGAGAAAGAGTGGATGTTCACCAAGCTCATTAGTCCAATGATTAAGGGCATGCATACCCTGGCCTCACAAAAGTTTTGTGGCATCATCAGCAAGCTGCTGCGGAACATTTCGGAACGCCTGGTGAAACGAACCGTGGAGCTAGACGAGCAGATTGAGGGCACTGCGGAGACTGAAGACAACGAGGAGGTCAAGTGGCAGCTGCTGACCATCTGCCGAGAGACGCAATCACTGCTTACCGTCGAGCGGGAGCGGTCCATCAAAGTGCTCTTCTTCGCCAAGACCTTCTGCCGCGACGTGGAGACAACAGACTTCCATCGCGAGCACTACGAGCATGACGTGGCCAACCAGCAACATGATTTCATCTGTTCGGATGTGAAGGCGGCATTTAAACTGTTGCAGCAGGATGTTTTGCAGGTGCGCAACAAGCTGACAGCGATCATCGAGGGCGTGCAGAAGCGCTGCTGTTTGAGCAACATGCGGGACTTGGACGAGCAGGACAAGCAGGCTGTGCTTTCAAGGACCCGCGAAATCCTTCATCAGGGATACAAGTTTGGGTTCGAATACCATAAGGATGTAATCCGGTTGTTCGAGCAGAGGATTATGGACCAAAAGGACAGTGGTGCACATACGGTAGATCTAGCATTAGGCATCATCGCTTATGCCAAGATGTGGATGCATTTTGTAATGGAGCGTTGCGAACGTGGACGTGGCATGCGTCCTCGTTGGGCCTCACAGGGTCTGGAGTTTCTGATTCTTGCCTGTGATCCGCAGATCACTCAGCACCTGGATGATGACGAGTTTGAGGCGTTGAAGCAGCAAATGGATCGCTGTATTTCGCACGTGATTGGCATCACTTCCGAGCCGGAAAAGGTGGCGAAGAAGAAGGCATCGCCACGCACTCGCAAGACCTCGTCGCCAGCGACCTCGCGCTCTCGGACACCCACCCGGACTCCCATGTCCGCTGGCATGGTGCTAAATCCGAACACGCCTCCACTCCAGTCACCGCCGTACAATAAACTGCTGCATCCACAATTCAGCTTAAAGGAGGATCTCCTGCAGCAGTCTGGGAATACTTATAGTTCCGTCGACAGTGCAGACTATGTGGACACTCCATGCCAAAGGAGTCCTAACGGCGAGCTACGCCTGCTGGTTCCCCAAACGCCGCCAACGCCTGCCTCTTCTGGAAAGGGCAGCATCGAAAGCACACCGCTGGCACTGCGGCAGGAGCGAGTAAGAGATGCGGTGAATCGTTTAGATATGGATCTCGAGGACTCGCTACGCGAACGCAGGTTGATTGGCCAGTTAAAGTCATTGAACTCCAGCGACAAAGTGCATATAAGAGCACGTAGTGTCCACTTCCGCTGGCATCGCGGCATTAAGATCGGCCAGGGACGTTTTGGCAAGGTTTATACGGCGGTAAACAATAACACGGGAGAGTTGATGGCAATGAAAGAGATCGCTATCCAGCCTGGCGAGACGCGGGCACTTAAAAACGTTGCCGAAGAGCTGAAGATCCTGGAGGGGATCAAGCACAATAACCTGGTGCGCTACTACGGCATTGAGGTGCATCGCGAAGAGCTGCTCATCTTCATGGAACTGTGCTCTGAGGGCACTCTGGAGTCGTTGGTGGAGCTGACTGGTAATCTGCCGGAGGCCCTGGTCCGCCGCTTTACAGCCCAGCTGTTGGCGGGCGTGTCTGAGCTGCACAAGCACGGCATTGTGCACCGCGACATCAAGACAGCAAACATCTTTCTCGTGGATGGCAGCAACAGTCTAAAACTGGGCGATTTCGGATCAGCGGTCAAGATCCAGGCGCACACCACCGTGCCCGGCGAGCTGCAGGGCTACGTGGGCACGCAGGCTTACATGGCACCGGAGGTGTTCACAAAGACAAACAGCGATGGCCATGGCAGGGCCGCCGATATCTGGTCGGTGGGCTGTGTGGTTGTCGAAATGGCCTCGGGCAAGGTGAGTGCTTCACATTATAGATAAGCATAACTGCGACGCGGAGCCTACTGTCCATTTCACAATGTTGGATTATTTTCGCTTTGATCTACCAACAATTTTTAAATGGAACAATCATATAAAAGGAATTTAACCATAATGAAAGTGGGCAAAATAGCTTGATATTTGTTGATACCCTAGAAAATCTAATTAATTTTTTGTTTTCCCTTCTCAACTTCCATATAAATTGTATGATGCAAAACAAGATAACATAAGGGAAATCTATCTCTGGTTTACCAGCGCTCAAATATTTCGTACATACATTTTTATTCTACATGTGAATATACGTAAAAATATTTTTTTTATTTCAGTTAGATCATCTTTAATTAATCCATTGCTTTGATGGAAAAATCTTTACAAAAACAATATTTTTTCCAACTTTTCAATTATTATTGTTTGTTTATTTCCAAGCCTTTGCGCCATGTTAATTAATTGTTTTTTTTTATTTCTTACAGCGTCCTTGGGCCCAGTTTGATTCCAATTTCCAGATCATGTTCAAAGTGGGTATGGGCGAAAAGCCACAGGCTCCGGAAAGTCTGTCCCAGGAGGGACACGACTTTGTCGACCACTGTCTGCAGCACGATCCCAAAGCGCGTTTAACGGCAGTGGAACTATTGGAGCACAATTTTTGCAAGGTATACAGACATGGAATTGGTTCGTTCGAAATAATAAATAACTGATTTTTGTTGTGTTTGCAGTACGGTCGAGACGAGTGCAGCAGCGAGCAGTTGCAGATGCAGGTGCGAGGCTCTTTCCGGCGGAATGTGGCGACCAGCAGCTAATCGTGGCCCATTGCTTAGTTATGTAAACCTTCTTTTGTTTGGCTCACCTCTACATATGATGCATATGTAAACCGGTGTGAATTTTGTTTAGAGTCTAACTTATGTGAATGACGATTATTTTAATGGCCACGTCTAGTTTTATGTTTGACAATATATAACCCGTATAAAGTTATCAACACCCTGTCCTACCGTATCCCAAATCATTTTTTGCAACTGAACATTACACGTATTTAAATATAGTTGCATTAATTAATTTTTAATTGTGAATTAATTATTGATACTTTGGGTAAATTGTGGACACAAGTGGGACGGGATATGTGGGGCTCGCTTGCGGCGGTCCGTCGTTAGCGCCATTATCATCAGGGGGAGAACCAGTCGGAGGGGTTGGGTCCGGAGGGGAAAGGCTGGAGAAGGCCGAGACCCACGAGGAGCACAGCATGAACACCAGGCAGATGCTGAGCAGCAGGTTGAAGTCTGCAATGAGTTGATTGAGATCAAGGACTAGTCCACGGATTTTACTGCTACTCCTTTCACAATACTTACACTTCATATCGATGGCGCGTTTGTGACTGTTAACCGATCGTTGGCGTACGAGGCTTTTTATTGCGACCCGCTAAGCCATATTGATTTTAATTAATTTCCACGAAATTGGATTATATGGTCTATCATTGGTCGCTTATCGTCTTTACCAGTTGGATATCAGAAACTGCGTAACGTCGGTTTTGTTTTAGGCTGACCGTTTTTAGCGGAAGACGATTTATCTATTCTTGGAAGTAACCATGAAAATTATGACCAATTTAGCTGTGCACCTCGAGCAATTCTATTAGTGATTTGATTCATTCACGGGCTGATCGATTGTAGGTCGGGAAAATTGGTCTTGATTTGTAATGCATTTATTTCAGTTTATTCGGTTGGTGATTATTTTTGCATACATTAAATGCGGCTCTTGGCCATGGAAACAAGTCAAACTTAACGACAAATAGTAAAATAACGTAATAATACATAGATTTAATACAGGATAGATAGTTAGATAGTTCGTAGCGATAGTTCGGTTAACAGTTAAGATGATAATCATACATATATAGTAACAATGAACACAGCAACTAGTTTGATATATTTATCTGGTTGTTCTTTAACGTTTCTCATTAAATTTCTCTTGTAAATAACATACGTATAATATCTATGTATATATATTTTTGTAGAATATTGATATATTCGAATCGCTACCGAAACATACTTTTTCACTAACGGCTTGAACAGACAAACACATATAGGATATATAATATATCTATAGCTGTAATCTTTCTCAATCGGCAATCTCTCTGATCTTCTTTTTCTTTGCCTTCCTGGGGTGTATATAAATTTATTGATATGTATTGTTACGTCTCAAGTCTATACGCGTATATGATATTCTCTATATATATTCCTCTAATTTTTTTTGTTGTTTTCACGGGCTGTACATATATATTCATCCAAAAAGCCTGTAGTTACGGTATACCATTTGCTCTCTAAAACACGAATATATATGGAAAAATCTCAACAGACACTATATAATTAGTTAATCAATTCTGAAACGAACAACAACGAAATTGCAGTAACAAGCATAGTATATGTTTAGCTAGTATCTTTTTGTAACACCTATAAAACGAATTTAAAACTCTCTTAACGAAAAGTATTGCATACTTGGGGGCTTGCGCTCAATAATTTGCGGACAATTGGGTAATCAAGTTCGTAAGCTCAGCTAATTTAGTTAGCAAGTGAATTAGTATAACACTCATAATTAATATTTCACAAGTAACACACTTAGATAACAGCACTAACAGTTTGCGCATAAAATGGCTCTAAAACATTTAATTGACTATAGAGTTGCTCTAATTCCTACTTCAAGGATACTTGGGTAAACGGATATGTAAAGCGAATGGGTTGCGTATAGTTTCTGTCTCAACATGATAGTGATTGACATTAGTTTTCGATTTCGGTATCCTCCTCGATCCCTTAGATCCCCACCCCTCGTTGGGTGGCTCGCTTGGTGGTGCTTGGTCACAAATGAAACGCCCGGGCGGTCGCTAGTTACACTTACTTAGTTTAGTTCGCTAACCTGCTAAGGTACATTCACTGATATGTTTTGGTTTCCCTTGCTTGGGTGTCTAATTCTGTAGTAGATCGCGCATTATGTCCAGGGAGTCCTGCAGCGACTTGGCGTATCGTGAGGCACTCGTGTCCTCGCATGAGTAGAATGCCGACACGCAGAAGACGATCTGCTCGGGCTGCGGATTGTAGGAGCATCCGTAACCACGTGGCGTTACGGGTCCGTATCCCATGAAGCTGTCCGTGGTACAGGCCACCTAAGTGGGTATTTCGAATAAGGCATTAGACGACTACTTAAACATCTTAAAACAAATCCTCAGGTAACAAGTCTCAAGGCATAAAATCACATTAAAGTAATTTTCTCTAGCCGATACCTACTTGTGCATCGGGGTAGTGCTCAGTGGTGCTGTGGTGCAAGAATTGATTAGGTGGTGCAGAGGTGAAAGAGTGCAATGTGGTGCATTTTAGCGGGGACCTGTTGGCCTGTTACTACCTGACTGGTGGAGAGCAAGAAGCACTGCGAGATGTTGTAGGACTCGTCCTTAAACAGCTCGTGCATCTCGCCGGTGACCTCCACACTGGCCTCTCGAAGTCCCAGCAGCGGGATGTCGATGCCATTGCCCAGGATGTTCTTCACCATCACCTCCGTCTGGCGGGCGACGGCACAACGGAAGAGCTCTCGAAGGTGATCCTTCTGTGGGTGGCAGCGAATATAAGTTACTTATTCCAGGGGGGTGGGTATACGATGGAATACCCACACTGTAAATGCTAAACTTGACCTTGCGTGACTCCTCCTCGTCCTCGCGATCGCTCTCCAGGGGAACGTTAGCGCCCTCTCCCTGGCACATGGCCTTTGCCCACTCCAATGCCTCCGTACTGGCTGCTCTGATGCAGTCCACGCGACCCTACATTAATGGGTACATGGAAAATAATATGAAATAATAGACATACTGACAAGCTATCACGAACATTTATACATTTTTGAGAATAACCAACTGATTATTTTATTTATTTGTTTCAAAACAAATACATGGAAAAATATAATGATATAATGGATATACTGACAAACTATCATGAACATTTACAAATGTTTGATAGTAACCAACTGATTATTTTAATTATTTGTTTCAAAACAATTAATTTGTTGTAAAAAGTTTAAAATTTAAGGATAAAGTTGGGTATTTTTGAAAAGTGTAAGAAACCACTGTTTATAAAAATTTGTATTATGTATTTAAGTGAATCATTTTTGGTAATATTTGAGAAATTTAAAGTTTCATTTGTAAAGTAATAACATTTTGAAAGTTGTATGTTATTAGGATCACATATTTTAGCACATATATTTTTATACCCGTTACTCGTAGAGTAAAAGGGTATATTGTATTCGTGCAAAAGTATGTAACAGCTAGAAGGAAGCGTTTCCGACCCTATAAAGTATATATATTCTTGATCAGGATCACTAGCCGAGTCGATCTAGCCATGTCCGTCTGTCCGTCTGTCTGTCCGTCTGTGTGTCTGTCTGTCTGTCTGTCTGTCTGTCTGTCTGTCCGTATGAACGCTGAGATCTCGGAAACTATAAAAGCTAGAAGATTGGCATTTTGTATGTAGATTTTAGAAGTTCCTACGCAGCGCAAGTTTGTTTCAAAATGGTGCCACGCCCCCTTTAACGCCCACAATCGCTTATATACGATTTTAAAAATTTAAATATTTCGGAAAAGTAAAAATGCAGTTTTATTGTGTTTATCAATACCTATCGAAATGTAGAAGAAATTTTTCAAATCGGACCATTCGTTAAAAAGTTATGCGTGATCAAAGTTTCTGTCTCCATCTCCCTCGCACTCCATTTACCTGAGTAACGGTTTTCTGATAGTCGGGGCACCCGACTATAGCGTTCTCTCTTGTTGAAGCTTTAATTATTCCCCTTAGAACCATTTGTATGTATAAATACTCACATGCAGGAATCGTCGTGTGGATGCACTCTCGTAGGTAGCCACCAGGTGGCCGTAGAGCTTGTAATGGGCCAGTTGCAAGGCCAGCTGAATGTATACGTCCGGACTGACCTGACACGACTTAATGAAGCTTTTGCCGTAACTCTGGTAGCGATAAACGTAGAAGTCCAGGTCATCGATGCACTTGTCCACGCTCTGGGACGCCTGGCTGAAGCGCAATTGTAGTGGCTGACCCACGTGCCACTCAAGACGCTCTGGCGGCGGCAGATGGTGTTGGGGCAGTCCGTTGTCCTCGTCCGGGTGATCCTCGATGTTCTTGTAGATCTTCTCCAGCAGCTGCACCACAGCAATGCCTTCGGAACAGGAGTGCTCATAGCACAGTCCCCAAGTTCCATCAGTGCAAATAATGAGCTGGAAGATAAATTTCATTCCGAAAAATTAAGAAAATATAAACATATGTATATAAAACATTCCCTATATTAAATTAAAAGTACTGCATTTGAAATATCAAAAGGTATTGGGCTATAGCCTCACCTGCATGGTCTTGTCAAACCAGCGATTGCCGGAGTTGTACTCGCTGCCTCCGCCGTGGATCATCTCGTGGGCCATGTTCGTCTCGTCCCGATCCCCAGCCCTATGGACGGTGGGCGTGGCGCCGGTGAAGCCGCGGGCATTGAAGTTCCCCGCCAGCGGTTCGTCCAGGCACAGCACCACCTGGGCGGTCTCGATGAGCTCCAGATTGCGCTGGTTCCGCTCGTCCTGCTGCAGCATCTCCCGGTCGCGGGCCCAGCGGCTCCTCGGCTCGGCGGTCAGCAGACCCACCGGCGCAGGCTTGGCCGGCAGACAGGGGGCATCGCTAAGGACGTAAAGGATCTGCGAGGCAATCTCGCTCTCGGACAGCTTGCCGCGATCACTGGCCTGCAGTACCACGCAGTACATCTGGTTGCGGCAGATGACCACCACGTGGCGATCCTCGTCGTTCAGCCGCTCCCGCGACGGCAGGTACTGCGAGTCCTGTTCAACACCTGGTCGGCGACAGGAGCCCAGCAGGCGGTAGTACTGCGCCATGCACAGCGGCTGATTCTTCTCCCGGGAGCCTGCTCGCTCCAGCGGCAACTCCCCGCTGTCCAGCATCTCCTTGTGGCTCAGGATTCCGTCCAGCAGGCGGGCGGCAAAATGGGCCACGTCGTGGACCGTCTTGAAGCGACGCGGCGGGAACACCATGCCCGGATTCGAGTTGATCGGCAAAGGAATGCGAATATTCATGTACATCTCGTTGAGCCAATAGTAGTAGGCCTGCCAAGAAGAAATTCGATAGGTTTTGAATATTTTAATATATTATCTTTCGTAATAGATCACATTGTCTTTAATAAATATAAATTAAAATCGTGGTTCTTTAATATATATAAGAAGTTGAATTAGCTAGTTTTTATATGAAGTGTTTTTAACACCAATGTATAATAGGCTTTTTAATATACAAAAAAATAAATTTTAATAAACCCATGTTTAAAAAGTAAAGTCTACAGTATTTGCAATTAGTTCTCATCAAATTTCCTTATTAATATTTTTAGAACGAAATAGAAATAAAAGATCAAATTGACATCGATAAACATCAATTTCGACATTTGGTCTCATTGTATTTAGAGGGAAGGGCAAGACATGGAAAATGTGTTAGTGGTCGCTATTTCCTTTCTATGTTTGACACAAATTCAATTAGCTATGAATTTTGGGAATTTTTTTGGGAGCGGTCTGAACGCGTATCACAAAGAATCACGAAGAGATCGCTGATGGCTGATTGCTGATCGCTGATAGCAAGATGCGAAGCGGTATAAATAATGGCAATTGGACCGTTTACAGAGCAGTACCACAGTTCCCTTGAACAATCACGGATAACAAATCACGGACCCAGCCAAAAGATGAAAGGTTGGACCTACAGCTCTTTTACAGTATCGGAACTTTCCTTTTTTATTCATTACTTTCCTTTGTCCTGTTAGTATTCGCATTGACCCTTTTGAGCCTGCTGGCTTTGAGCCAGGCCCGCATGGACTACAAGCTGCAGTGCGCCCGCGGTGAGATCAGCATCCGCTGGCCCAGCTACCACAGCAACTCGGAGTACTATGTGTGCCCCAGCGTCTATGGCAGCCAGCTGACTGTCCACTGTCCGGCCGGCGAGGTCTTCACCTTCGTCCTCCAGCAGTGCGTGTCGCCCGCCCACTACATCCCGGCTCCGCCCATGGATGTCCTGCCCACCGCTGCTCCCATTACCATGCACGTCATCGATGATGCGCCCCCAGTGATCTCCGCTCAGTCTCAGCTGGAGTCCGAGACCCCGGAGCACCACGAGCACCACGGACATCAGGAGCACCCAGAGCACCAGGAGCACCACCACGAACACGAGGAGGAGGCCGAGGTCCACCCCATCCCACCCACCCCAGCGCCGGAACCAGCCACCCCACCCACCGTTTCAATCTCCAAGCCCGTTGTGCCGGTTCCCCAGAAGAAGAAGCCTTCGGTCCCTGTGCCCGCCAAGAAACCGACGGTGCCAGTGCCCTCCAAGGCCGCCATGGCCAAGAAGCCCGCCGCGGCCAAGAAGCCAGCTGCTCCCACTCCCGCCAAGGCCGCCAAGAAGCCAACGCCACCCAGCAAGGCCCAGAAGAAGCCCCCCACCGCCTAAATTCCCAACCCCGGTCGCCATCGCCAGTTCAATGCCCATCGTTCAGCAAGCGGAATTTCATTCACTACTCTAAATAGCAACTTAAAGTAATTAAATATCTAACTGGCAATGACTTTCGTTCATACTTCTCACCGGGAATGGGAATGGGAATAGGAATCGGTTCGGGGAATGACAGTTTGTTGTTTCCAGAACTTCCTTATCGCGGTAGAGAGTCAAAGAGGTTAATTGATTGCGATTTCTTGTTATTCACGGAATATTTTGATAGGCCACAACTGACATCCGAATCCGATAATGTAAAATTGAAAGGAAAAAGTGAAGAATGATAGGAACTACTTGGCTGTCAGCACTGAGCAATTCGGCTACTCCTCCCCTTCAATTATTATTCACAAGTGATTTTGATTTGTACGATTTGAAAACATAAAAACGAAATTACGAATATTGTAATAATTATAGAGCTAAGATAAAGTTTTTTTGGAAGACGACTTTCTTAAAATAAACTCATGTTCAAGCCTATAATAAAAATCTGCGTATATTTATAAACTTTAACAATGTAAATCGCTAAAACAAACTCAAATCTTATATTATGAGATAATTTCCTATTTTTCATGTTTATTTGACAGTATTTTATTAGTCATTTAGACATAAAACAGACATATAATTAAAGTGATTTATATTTATGAAAAGTTGGAACAAAATAAACCTTAAGATAATCCATGTAGGTAATACTTTTAAGGATCATTTTTAAAGCCAAGTTCTCTTTAAAACAAATTTAGCTTAAAATTTAGAACTGTACATGGATACAAATTTCAATCAAATTTGGTTGAAAGAGCCCCTTAATAAAAGAGTGGTAGCTAAAATTTAACAACATATTTTGTAGAATTCTAACTGATCTACAAATTTTAAGGATTCTTAAGCATTCAATGATTTTACACATTTTCATAAAAATGTATATTGTTGGATCAAAAGTTTTTGACACTATTTAATTTCAGCAACTTTAATAAAATTAAAAATTAGAAACTTTGAAAAGTTTTCGAAAAATGTTTTATTAAAGTAATTATAGAAAAAATTGAATTCGACCCTTGAAATTCATGTAACCCCTATCCAAGTATTTTATGGGTAATGACAGTGATTCCCCAAAACGAAAACGAAGATGTTGTAGAGTAACAATAACTGATATCTGCATGCCAGAGATAAAGTGCCGAGAACTTCAGTTCGGGAGAAAATGCCATGAAGTCATAGTCATTACCAGTGATCTCCGCCTCCCGAGATGATCTAGCGGCGATGCTAATTGACATGACACTCTGAATGAGAAGTTCCTACTTCTGACGGCGAATCAGGGTCTTTTGGCAGTGAGATTCGGAATAGTTTCCGCTCCGACCTTATCTGGCCGAGATTACCGAAACTTCGGGGGCGACAAGAGTAAGGCGCAATTAAGCATTTCTCGGCATTGCTGATTTCAATTTCGCACCCGGCCGACAAGACACGAATTAATCTAGCTGCGTTCTGATTAAACGTGTCTAACATGGCCTGCCGCGGCATAAAAAGGCTTTGGAGCTGGCTGGAATGCATCAGTGATCGGTGAGCCGAGTTAGCAGCCAGACGCATTCCTTCTCCAGTCTCGCAAGTAACGAATAAGAACATCATCGACATGAAAGCCGGTAAGCAGCACAACCAACAGGCCACCCAGGATATAGCCCATTAATTATACGCCATATCGGTTCCCTTCCAACCCAAAAGTGATCTTTGCGCTCGCCGCCTTAGTGGCCGTCAATGCCCAGACTTCCCAGTCGTGCTCGAGGGTACCGGAGTACGAGGAAACTATCTCGCCCGTCGTTTGCCCGAAGCCGAAAGTTAGGCTGCCCAACTACGAGGACGTCCAGACCTACTACCAGTGCGCGGCCATCACCACCAGTGGAGTGGCGCTCTCCGATTTGACCGTTTGTCCTGAAAACACCTACTTCAGCTACGTGTTGCAGGAGTGCTACCCCTGCTCCGACTACTTGCCGAGCGCCAAGTGCTCAAGTCTGCCCATCAACGCCACCTGTGTGTCCATGGCCGACATCAAGACCACCACGGCCCCGACTACCACCCCCGCTCCGACCACCACCCCTGCTCCGACCACCACCCCTGCTCCGACCACCACCCCTGCTCCGACCACCACCCCTGCTCCGACCACCCTTGCTCCCACCACCTCCACCCCGTCGGTGCCCACGCCACCCACTGAGGCCCCTGGCACCACCGCAACCACCACCAACAACGACGACATCATCACACCGTCGGGTACCACCATTGTCGTACCTGCGCCCCCATCCCCCAGCGACGATAATGTCCCCACTCCCGTAACGCCCGCGCCCACTGCCCCGACCATCAACAACGGTCCTCCGGTGTCGAACGAGGCCCCCACCGCTTAAGAAAATCCTATTCAAATCCCTGCATTTTCGGCTGAATAAATTGTTGTCAGACTCCTAATGAAATATAAATTATTTTTATTTTAAACAGCCCAAAAATAACTTTAAATACAAGAAAATATGATTGTAATCTTTCAACGGCAATAGTTTTAAATAACATATACACTTAATTTAATATAAAGCTTTCCTTAGTACTTGTTATATAAATTTTGTTCTGTTAAAGAACTAACCAAGGTGTAACCTAAAAGTTGATCTCAATGCAATGCTCACCCAGTTATCCTCCGCCTCGCGCTTATCCAGCAGATACTGATGCACCCGAAGGCCGATTCCCTGGGGAGCTGTGAACTGCCTGATCAGTTCCTTGGTCCGCTCCAGCTGCGCCGGCGTGGTGATCGGCTCCAGGGCGCGAATGTAGTCGGCCATCGTTTCATCCAGCGCCGGAACGGGCACCTTGGGTAGAGTCTGCAAAGGAAAAGGGTTCTCGAAGGGCTTAGCAAATTTAATTTTATTTCACTTCCACTCATCTTAGACACTTGGCACTGGCCGTTTTAACCATTTTCCCTCATTTTCCTCATTTGTATGCATGGCAATATCGAGCGTCAAATGTAAAGTTTCCTTACCCTGCCAGCAGCAATACAAAAAGTTGATGCCCTTGGGAACCGAATTTGAAATCACAAAAAAGGAAAAGAAATGGCATGGCTTGAATCTGACATTGTACTCCGGATCCTTGACATTTTTGCCATTTTTTCTTGCTATCCACCCTCGCTCGGAAACTTTAATTGAGAGATTTTCCCTTGGAATTCCCCAGTGGAGTGTCGTTGGACTTGGAGGTCTGCAATCCAATCGATTTCTGGATGGTCAACGCATTTTTTGCAGCTCATTAGTATGCCCAACAAATTTGTATTCAAAAAAAATAACACCAACCTTGTGTTTGCATCTAGCAACTGAGAAAAACACAATTTTCCACTTAAAAATATTCAGTCGAAACGCTAAAAGTGTCAACATGTCGTTGACTTCCGGATTTTTCCTGTTCTTCGGTTTCAAAGCAGCTGAAACTTTTGTTATACCCAATATCCAGCCTCATGTCACTTGTCTCTGTCGGTGGATCCCCTTTCAGCTGCCGGTTTACAATTCTAACTCGAACTGTCTAACTCTGCCTTTCGGGGGTTGTTGCTGTGGCTGCTGTGCTTTTTTTTCCAGGTGAGTGTGGGGCAGAAGGTTCGGGGGGAGTGGGTTTTTGGGAAGGTTGGTTTTTCCGGTTTGTTTGCATGAGCTGCGGCAGGTTGGTTGCCAGGAGTTCCTGTTGCCATACAAAGGCCCTCGTTATTTGCATTTGTAATTATAACAAACAGGATTAGTCTGTCTGCCTGTGTGCGCGAGTGTTTGTCTTTGAATTATTCAAGTAGCAGTCGAGCTCAGCCCTTGGGCAAATATTTGCTGGAAAAGGGGGAATTCGAAATGGTTTAATCAATTTTACTCACGTCAGGGAATCCGAATTCGTCTACGGACTCGGCCGTGGAGAGCCATTTCTTCGGAATCGACAGAATCGAGTCTTTCCATCCTGAAAGAACAAAGAAAACAAAGCGACGAGACAATCGCTGATTAACCACTTGTTGAACACCGAATTAAATTGTTTAGTAATTTGCGCAATCGTCAGACTGCTGCTGAAAACTAGTTAATCACTGTCACCAGCCTCAAGAGCTGGGGTATCCGAAAATGCCCCTTATCGATTGACTGACAGCCCCGCAAAAGAACAAGATGTATAGCTTATGCGTCACCCAGAATTCCGCGTAGTTGATGTGTATTTTTGGGTCTCGCCAACCCTTGATTTGATTTTCCTTATCTGCAGTTCAAATTCTATAGTTCGCTTGCCCATCCCCGTGATGACCCACAACCATTTATCGTCCCGGATCAACACACATAAGATTCGGACAAATTCGTGCAAGTTTGCCATTTATTGTCTTGGCCAGGCTTCCGCTAGTAGAATGCAATAAAATTGGCCAGAGGAAACTGAAAACTCTCTGTCTTCAAGCCCGGCTCATTTCCTTTCGACCGTCCGTCTTTTGCCTCTTGACATACACATAAAAACTTTAGCTGTCATTGCTGTAATTCAACTGTATAAGCACTTCCGGTTGCCATTGCACTCGAGTAGCTCGAATTTCCGGCATATGTTCACATGGGCAGCCTTGCCTTTGAAATGTTATTGTCAAGCATTTAGAGAAAATTTTACAACGTACAATATTTATTTATCGGCGAGTAACAAAAGGAAATATCGGGGAAAAATGGGGATAGGGTGTTTTTCACTAGTGTTGAAGGTTACAAAATTTTAAAGTTCACATTTTCATAAACCAATGAAAACTATTTTTGATTTGTTTGTGATTCAAATAACACTAATAATAAAGCTAACTAATGTTCTATTAGTTTATGGGAAACAAAGGAGAATATCAGAGAAAATAGAAGTAAAGGCGTTTGCTACTGGATATTGCTCCTAATAAAACAATACACTTCCAGAAAACACTGATAAAAATGTTTTTAGTTTTAATGGTTTATATAATATTAGCTACCAAAATCTATTTAAGACAATATAAATATTTAAAATTCGTTATTTTAATTTGTGTATTCCTTTTTGATTTGGATTCTTAAGATTTTATTAATAATAATATTTAATTGATAAAATATTCTTTTTTACCAGAGAATGCGATAAGGGCTATGATCAAAAGGATTGCTTTTATTTTAAATATTTTATTATTATTGGTTATATTTTTATAAACTTTTATTTACATCGTATAATATGAAAAAAAACATTTCTAAAATCATTCTTCAACTTAAAAAGAAAGTGTGATGATTTATATTAAAAAGTTGTCACATGCTATAAAAATTATATTTTGGCATCGCCTTACCACTTCGCTTTTTACCCGTAGACAAAATAAATATCGAAATTACATTTTATATAAACGAACTAATAAATAATAATAAAAGTCCCGATGAGGTTACAAAGACTCTTATCTAAATTGCTGGCCACTTGAAGTACAAGTACAAATAGCAGGCACTTCAGGGTCAAAGCATTGACCGCTTTGAAGCACTACCTTTCACAATTGAAGAGCTTTTTTCAGACATATCAACCCCAACTACCTTCGAAGGCAGGAAAATCATAATGTTATTAATAAAAATGTTTTATGACAATCGGGATGAAAGGAAAACGAGCAGAAACGGCAAACAGGCCTTCTCTGCGCTTCAGTCCCTTTGGAGTGGGGGAAGTGGCACGCGCCATTCCACAACGATGTCAAATTTAATGCAATTTATTATCCTTTTTTCATTATCTCGCTAAAGATGCCCCAGTCGAGCAACTAGATGGCGGAGGTAATCACACAATGGAGTCACGTGGCGGCAATTTGAACGTCCGTTCTATTGTTGCCTCTGCTGGAACAACAGCAACCACAAACTGTAACCTGTCCGTAGCGACCCATCATACCCATCAGCAAATTGTAATAAATTGTATTAGGAAGCGTCGTTGAGAAATTCAAATTAAGTAATTAAAGCCAAGGTTTGGGCCACTTTTGGGGTGGCTCGTGGCTCAGGGGCTGGCTTATGTTTTGGGATAACTCGCTCGCTTAATAGAGCAAATATCAATTTATAAAAAGTTGAGGGAAAGTTATTGTGCTTGTTACTTCTTCTTTGATGTATAAATATAAATCCCAATTACAAAGTTTTCTGCTGAAAACACAAAACGAACCTCCTAAATGAATATGAATTGCCTTCGACAACGGGAAGTTCTGGTTCATAAAGAAACAAACATAAGCTTTCGGGATATTTTCTCTTTATTATACAAAATTTATATACTGAAACGTTGATGTGGAAAATAATTTTTATAAAATATAAATAAATTTTAAAAAAATAGTAAAGGTGGTTGCTAGTAAGATGAAATTTGATTTTAACGAAGAGGGTATAATATTTCGAACATTTTTATTAAGCTATCAACTGATTTAACACTTAGATACAAGTGCATATCATAAAGATTTTAAAAAAAGAACAATGTTTCCTTAGAAGTGAGTGTATAGCCTTTCGACAGGCTTAAATTTAAAAATATTCCTTGCATTTTCTTGACTAAAAGCTAAAAATATATCTGGCTGCGTCACCTTCAATTATATGCATTCGCAGAGACACTTTTCCAATTGATTGATTGATGGCCAGGATTTCTGATTAGACCGACAGTCGGCTAATCAGATATTCATGCACCATTTCCAAAGGCAGACACAGCGCAGTTCCTGTTTCTGTTCCGGATCAGGAGACTCACCCCCAAGTAAAGCTCCCCACTCCTGTTGCTGTCTGCTTCAATTTGCACGTATCTGTCAGTTTTTGTGCCAACTCATGATTCGATTTGGGCCGGGCCATAACTTTGCGGAAATGGATCGATGCCTCGTGATTATAATGGCTGAATCCATGGGATAATGGGAATGGGATGCGGCCTCGCCGAGGACATTTCACACATTAACGCGAAGAGTCTCGGGCTTATTGCCAACACGCCCCTACTTTAAACGCTGGCCAATAAAACGCGTCAGCAAGCGTAAACCAAGGGCTCATTATTAAGCTGCAAAAATCACGCTCGAATTCATGGCATTCCACTGCTCCCCTCTCAAAAGGACATGGGGCTGCGACAGGCAACTGCTGCCGCCTGTCAGACAATGCGATAAAAATGTAATCCCAATGAAAAATAATGTTTCTGCCGGCATGATTCCAATTTAGCAACAGTCAACCCCAAGACCGTAGCTCATTAGGACCAGTCCAAATAGCAGATGCCGGCAACCGGAGCAAATGAAGGAGAAGAATTTAAAAAGGCAAAACAAATCCGCACCCCAAGGAGGCGGGAGGGCGCGACACGTTGCGACTACATAAAACACCCGTCGAACAAGCCGGGACCCCAACCGCAGCTACGGACTGGTACCAGCATTTGGTGGTGGAAGCTACACAGAAAAAAATAAAATAAAACTAGTGGCAATATAATATTTTTATGAAAAAGTTTTAAAAATAGCAAAATTAAATACCTATTAAAAATGTAACATAAATTTCCTAGACAAATTGAACGGAAATAAACTATATTTCATGCATCGACATTTAAATTAAAAATGTGTATTTTTTAAATGCATAGTAAAGGATGCTGACCAAAACGAATAGAGGTCAAATTAGTATGTACCAATAGATTTAAACTGCAAACATTAAATTAAAATGACATTTTTAAGGTAAATGTTGTCACTCAAAAACTAATACAAAATGTATATTTTAAATAAATAGAACAATTAGAATAAGACGCTTTTTTATGTACGAAATTATATGTATCTAAACTTTGTCAATGATTTGAATAAAGAAATAAGATTGAATTGCCAACGATAGAAGTTGTATTTAAAATTCAAAGATACCCCTTAACATCAATATTAATAGTTTTTGTAATATTAGATTAAAAGGTTTCAACTATTAAAATTTTCCTAATAATATATATTATTTATCTTGTCCTTTTTTCAGTGTCGGAAGCTGCCGGGGGTCATAACATTGTCGGATGTCGGAACAAGCGATGAATGGTCGAGTGAATGAGTTTTCCTCCTTTTGTTCGGTTTGGCTGCTCGTAAAGGGCTTTATTCCATTCAAGGGTGGATGTGGATGTGGATGCGGATCCCATCGCCGTCGCACGCACATCGCAATTGAGCCGTAAATCCTTTTTCGGTCTTAGCGCCGTTGTTTCACGGCGACTACGTTGCGCTTTTGTGGCCCGGCTTTATTTTCTTTTTCCGCCGCAAATGCCTAGCATACTTTTGTGCGCCAAACTCAAATTAACTGCCGCATTGAGGCATTGCAAATTCTTGTAATTGTTCGGATTGAAACAAGCGGAAAGCGTAAATTGCTTGCGCATTGTGACGGAGATTGGGATTCTGCTGACTTGGATTGCGGTTTGCTTTGCGGCTAAGCAGCCAAAATGTTTGCCAAATACATACATACACGCTTGCCCCAGAAGTGGTCCACCTTTCGGTTGTGGTTGAATCTGTTTCTGGTCCTAAGCCCGAGGCATCCTCATCCTCCCCCGAAAAAAAGAAGAAGGAAACTTTTTGCCCAACCTCCAACTTTCTGTTGCCAAAAGTTGCTAATGGAAATTGCAAACATAAAATCATTTTCCACACAAATTTCTGGCCCCAGGGCACGCACACAATTCCCATTCCCCCAGTTTCCATCCAAGTTCGTTGGTTTTGGGAAATTTACTAACCCCCCGGGCTGGGAGATTGATCCAAAAGTTTCCGTTCCGACTTGGCACGAACCCAGGTGTACAGTGTACACACAATGTGGCTCGATTTTTAACGAACTGGAAGGTCCTTTGTAGCCCACATTAGCTAATTAATTGCATTAATCGTTAATAGATCGGATGAGCTGCCAGTTTCCATTAAAAGACTCTTTTTCCATGGTTAACAATTATATTTCAATAGTACATGTTTGTTTTGTGTTGTTTGTTCCTGTTGGGTGTTTTGTGGGTGTGTGTGGGTGTGGTGTGTATGGGTGTGTCGCTCTGTAATAATGCATTATCTTTCCTCTATAGCTCATGCCAATATCTGTATGCTTTAATGTACGTTCGATTATATTTTCTGTTTGTCCAATTCATTATTCATAACATTTCCCATTGCCAGAAGCAGGTGACTGCCATTTTGAATTCTCTTTCGATGGAGTCCAAATAAGTTTATAGATTTATAGAACTGTGTGTGAGCTTTCTATTTGTATTTTAGCCTTAAATAATTCCAGAAAATTTCAAACCCGAAGCGAATGTTTGTTTGTTTTAGCTCTTGATTTTGCTGACTTTTGCACGAATTTTCTGGATAACTCCCACACATCAAACTGAACTTCCAGGGCGTTTGTTTCTGAGGCAGTTCCTGCTTTTTTTCCCTATTGCTTACATTTGTTTATAGAGGAGATTTTTTGGCATGCCTTGAAAATATGCCCAAGCTATGTATGTTAAGTCATCGAACATCGATTCGCTTCATTTTGATATGCATAGCACTTAGTTTGCTTAGTTCTTTGGGGATATTTGAACGGTGTGATATTCAGATACAAACATAATTACGTATAGAATATAGATGGATAGACTTGGAAATTGAACAGCAACGTTACAGAACTGGGATTTGGATACTTGGTAAAATTTTAGTTTCGCTTCCGGTTTCGCTTTTGCTTACTTATCTTTTATAATAATTTCCACTGTTTATCGTAATAATTATTGGTAAATATGTAACACAAACGTCTATAACATTAGCCGAAACAAATTGCAAAGACTTTCTTAATAATTTTGTTCTGTACTATATAAGTATGTACTTGAAACTCTTCGACTTTGACTTTTACATTGACTCTGACCAAAAAAGACATTCGAAACTAACAATATGCCTTATATACAATACAAAACTGAACTGTGGTGGCATTAACTTTGTGGGCTTCACTTACAAACTCATTTTATTTTGTCTAGGGTATACAATTAAATTTTCTAAAACGTTCTTCACACGCACAACACATAGAAACTGTCGGAGAGGCATTTCTCTTATGAAAAAATATCAAATTTTTTTTCTGTGCTACCGGTATTGTTGCCAAGTTAAAATCCCTATATCATTTAGTAAATATTCGATATTAAAAATGAATTTGTTCATTAATTATCCATAGCGCACAGTTATTGCGTATAATTCATAATTCATATAATGCTATTGAACATTCAACACTTGTAATACGCAGAGTATAACCATTCAATTAACTGCTATCGTGTTTTAGAATTCATTTTATAAATGTATATTAATATATTTTATCATACATCGTTTCTTATATTTTCATATTTATATGCTTGTAACACATTTAGTTTATGCGTTCCATTTGCTCTTATTTGTTTAGTAAGTTATTACACATTGCCGGCACTGCTACACATCCTTCAGGCTACTCTCTATTGACCTTCTGGGACCCCGTCCCTCGACTACTTTATGTGATGGTTATTACTTAGCTTTATATATATATTTATATTTGTAAACCAAAATTGGAAGATTCATATACATGTTGCGCTCTACCAAACTTTGGTTAAACTGTTCAAATCTATTGAAATTTTGAATGCTTGAAATCGTACTGTATTATTTATTTGACATCTATCTACATCCTGCCTTGTTAGCCGTGTAAAGATTGAACACTTTTAAGAAGAAGGAAAATATTAAAGTTAGAGAATATTAGAAGTACATTTTAATGACATTTCCAGTTTTTACACGGCTTAAGGGTATGGCGTTGTTGTTTTTTAGATGATTGTTCCAAAGGAAACTTAAATAAATATTGCTTTTTGGGGGTTTCAATATATTTATATATGTTTGGTTAGTTGTAATTAAAACTCTATTGTTAGCTACTTAAATAAACGTTCTAAATATAATATGTTACATAATAATATATATGTACGTTATTGACTATATTAATTGTTCTGGTTTTCTTCTCGCTTGCTTTTCATATATAAATATGTAGTTTGCTTTAACACTCTATCCTTCACCACTTCCTGTCCTTCGTTTTAATTGATACTTTTGATGGGAGATTTTTTCATGAGTTTAATTCATATTATAGTTAAGAGTATTTCTACAGTTTTGTAAATTTGTAGAGCTATGTATATATATTAAGTGTATGTAAGTGTCTGTAAAATGAGGAAAACTAATATAATTTTATCTACCAAAGAAAAAAGAAAATTAGAATGTAATAAAAACCAAGCAATCCATAAAAACAGACAACATTATTGATTTGCTAGAGTATCTACATCAAATACCAATGAAATTAGATTCAAGACAATATTGAAACGATAAATTTTCTAAAATCCTATGAACATAATTTGTAACTTCTTGAAAATCAGTGCATTTCTGTTAATGTATAGCGTATATTTATGCAGACTGTGATCTAACCAATTGCTTTCGTAATTCATAAGTTACTCATATTCATTCTGGGTTTGCATTGACAGCAGTTCCTAAATAGCCGTTTCATTGATATGTTCACGGATATGGAAAGTCTGTGATATAAAGTACTCATAATTTACTGTAATTGCTGACTAAACACATTCGAAAAATGTACATAAATATTCTGACATCCATATACGCTTGCTGAGTTGTATATAAAAGATCAATTTACTTATCGATATAGTGGATCTTAGGCTCCAGCTAAAAGGTGTATAATATAGGGGCAGTAAACTGCCCTAAAAAGTGGTGCAGTCGAAATGAATCAAAAATACAATAATCGTTATTCAATATGCTTCTTATTTTTCTGTAGGTTTATCTTTATCTTATAGACAAGGTACACACATTTATGCTATGCTATCGAAGATCTACTATGGCGGCAGTCCCCTGATCGGAGCCGCCCACGTGCTCATAGAGTCAACAAGCAAATAATAATTGATTGGTAGGTAAATATGAAACTTGAATTTGAATCTCAAATTGATTTCTGTTTCCATTGGTTGTATAACTTACGTACACTTCATGTACTTTTCCTAAACGTAGGTGTGTATGTTACCGATATGATACGATATATATATTTATGTATAGACTAGTAGCAATAAGTAATATCACTTTTGGTAATTTTAACAGGCGAGCCATCGAGACTCTGATATGTATCGTTACCTTGGTTGTGTCTTATGTTAAGAAAATTGTAACTGAATATTTTTCAAACCGGAAATCATATAGCCGGGCTGGCCGGGAATCCACTCTCGACCCGAGTCCGCCACAATGACACCCGAAAGAGTTCCTCTGGTTCTGCGGGCGGGGGAGGGTTTCGATTTGTGCAACTTGTGATATGTCTGCGATATGGATGCCACTGCCTGTGGAACGGCGGCACTCGGGCGAAGGTGGTCCGCTGGCCAGCTGAGCCGCTTACAGCTAGCTTGTATATAGATATATATGCGTGTATATAATATCTGATACATATATGCATGTGTATATTTGATATGGCGGGAGTCCGAGTCCTCCCCTTATCGACTAACTATGCCTAGGCTTTGGTTTCTCTAGCTTCACTGACTGATAGACACGAAAACGGCTGCATGAGTACTGAGTATAGGGCATAGGCTGTCCGATCGGACCGCTCTATATAGCTGCTATATGCTGATGCATATATACGTTGAGTCAGCGATGGGAATTCGGCATGGACACTTCCTAGTTTACCTAGATGTTCTCAAATTTATTTTGACATTATTTTTTAGCTTTAAGTAGCCTGAATTATTAGTTTAAGACTTCGGCATTAATAAAAAAATGAGGAGGTTCTGAAAGATTTTTTTACCTGTCGTAGCAAAGACATTTTTATCATATGCTTGTATTTAATATCAGGTCGCTTACTTTAAAACATAAAAATAAATCTTTCCTACTGCATATTTAAAATAAATTTTAAGTTTTGAAGAAACACTTTGTTATCTGGTCAATATTTGTATTCTTTTTTTGCACCCTAGCCTCCACCTAGGTAAACCAAAATCGTACTTTTCCCATCACTGCTTTTAGTTGGCTGCTTCAACATTCGTGTATGATACAAAACTTGGTGCGGTGCAAGGCATTATCTAGCTGCTGTATTAACTATCTGCATGTTATGCTCGTTATAGTGTACGTACCACTTGCCTATATGTCTATGCTAAATATATGTATATGTGTCTTGTGTCGAGTTTATAGTGGATTCAACGGAGAACGAATTGCTGCACACGGAGATGTACAAAAGAACACGATTTAAAACTAGGGGCTTCTGTTTTGCTTTTGGGTTGGGGCTGGGGCAACAGTTTAAAATCCTTGCCTAAAGGGATTCGCCGGTCCGGCAGGACCTCTGCTCTGGGGCTGCTGCTGTTGTTGCTGTTGCTGCTGCTGGAAGGGATTGGCCACACGGGGCTGTCCCTGGGGGGCGTAACTGCCGCCCTGCTCCTGGTAGCCCGGCTGGTAGCCCTGATCCTGCTGATAGCCGCCGGCCTGCTGGTATCCCTGCTGCTGTTGGTACTCGTACTGCTGGTCGTCCAGATTGGTCTCCTGCTCCTGCTGATACTGCTGGCCGTACTCCAGGTGGTTCTTGACACCGCCCTCCACGGGTTTTTGGTCGTGCATGACGTAGGTCTGGTACTCCTTGTTGGGCGGGTCCTGCATCAGGATGTTGGCCTCGTTCTCGAACGGCTTGAAGTCGTAGATGTTGCGCAGCTTGCGAAGCACGGGCACGTAGGCCAGGTTCGAGAAGGCAATCAAGAAGTTGAGGGCCGTGAAGCCGATGGCCTCCACCACGCCGCCGGCGATGATGGGTCCGACGGCGTAGGCGATGGAGTAGGATATGTCCGCGATGGCATAGATACTGCCGTAGACCGACACATAGCGCACGTCCACCAGGTATCCCAGTGTGGGCAGCAGGGCCGTGTCGATGAGTGCAATTCCGAAGCAGATCACGCAGATGGGCAGCATCAGCATCTTGTAGCCGCTGCAGAAGGGTATGATGAAGCAGGAGAAGCCCTCCAAGGCCAATCCCGTGGCGGCCATTAGCCACTGGTGCTGCGGATACTTGCGGGCCATCTTCACGGTGATGACCACGCCCAGGACGTGCGGAAAGAAGGCGGGCAGCCACACCATGCCGATCTTCCAGTTGTCCGTGGTCATGTTGTCCTCCATCCACAGCGAGATGGTGGGCTCGAGGAAGGCCAGCGCCACATTGGACATGGTCAGAGCCCCGGCACAGACGGCTATGTAGGGGTCCATCAGGAGGCGCCAGATGGGTATCACCTGGTCCTGCACATCCTTCCGCTGTTTCAGCGCCTCCTTGACCGGCTTCATTACCAGCAGCAGCATCAGGCCGTCCAGCAGGCAGACCAGCGCCAGGATCAGGAAGGGCACCTCCTTTCCGGCAAACTGGTAGAGGGCTCCGCCAAACGGTGGCGCCACCAGGCACCCGAAGCTGATGAAGGCGAGTGCGATGCCCAGGGCCTGGGATCGCTCGTTCTCCTCGGTGAAGCGATCGGCTATCATGGCCAGTCCGGCGGTGTCCGCGAAGGCGGAACCGGCTCCCTGCAGGGATCGGGCGAAGAACAGGACGCTGTAACTGCTGCCGCAGGCGAAGACCGCCGTGGAGAAGAACATGATGGACAGGCCGATCAGCATGGGCAGATCGTAGCCGATCTTGTCGATGAGGCCGCCCGAGAAGGGATTCACCATCAGCTGGACGATGGCCTTCGAGGCGAACAGGATGCCCGTGGCCGAGTCCTGGCCGTGGTGGTCGTGGTGCACCGGTATGATCTGGCCGGTGATATTGTCCCTCAGGGGCGGCGGCGTGGGTCCATCCTCGAAGCTGCCGATCTCGCGCAGATAGTCGGGTATAATGGGCACTATCACCATGTAGAGCATGTTGTCCAGCAGCAGGGCTATCGAGACGATCACGAGGATGAGGCGCCGCTGGTTGACCGGCTCCTGGATCTTCTCCCACACGATGTCCTTGAGTTCGCGCAACTCGAGGTTGATAACAGGTATTTGGAATGAGGCCATTTTGGTTGCACCTAAATTAATCGCTGAGGTGTACGAAGTTCTGCGCCGGTTTCTTTGTGGGATTTACCCTCTTCTTGTTTGTACTCTTCTTTAAAGCTTTAATGCGCTGATCTGGGATTTCGTCATGATTACAGCCGGAAATTGCTTAGCGCTCGCTACAAATATGGCCGCTTCCGTTTCCGCTGCGCTAAATGGCCGCCTTTCTCCGCGTACTCGCTTTCTTTGCTTTCTTTGCTCGCTTTGAGGTGGTTTGTCGTTGCTTGTGGTTAACTGTGGTGTTTGCTGCTGCCTTTGCTGCTGTTGCTGTGTGGTTTGATTACATGTTTTGGTGTGGTTGTTGTAGTTGGAGGTGTACGAGTTGTTGGCATGCCAGTGAACAACCTTTAACGACACAGAAACAAGATTTCGTTAGTCTTTTCTTTATTTATTGTTCGTTTGTTGATTGTCTCGCTAATGCGATGAAAATTAGTTATTGTTTTATTATATTATATCTCTCTCGCACCTTCTCTCTCTCTCCCTCTCACTCTTAACTAGGATTAGTTGGTTAGTTGGGTTTATTTTATGATTGAAATGTTGTTTCTGTGTTGCAAAAGGCTGCCTGCTGGTGAACAGAAATTGTATTGTATTAGGATTAGTTCGTGGCATTCGCATTGGTTCGATTACATAGGACAAGGGAAATCTCTTTCTTTATGTTTTTCACTTTCGAAGGACACACATTTCAATCATAAAACAAATACCGAAAAAGTACGTGTACATTCAACAATTAATTCATTGAATTTTTGTGGGACCAGGAATATTGCAAGGGTGTAGCAATTATTTTAATTGGATTTGTGGGCTAAGGCCTGTGGCCACCCCTTGAAAAGAAAGTGAAGCGGAGTGTCCTTAGAGCCCCGCCGTTGCACCCATCGAAGCTGTAATTATAATGATTGCTTTTTCTAAGCAAAAACGACCCACTCGACTTGCACGCAATCAAAAAGGGCTTGAAATTAAACAAAGAGAGTAAAAGTCCACCCACGCATAGTTCTTAACTGGGAATTGAGTTTACCTTAAGATAGTTTTTATGCATTTTTAACATTTTATTATTTTCGCTTATTTTGAATCTCTCAATATTTTTGTAACTCAAACATTATAAATAAATAATATTTTATAAGGTTATACTAGAAGAAATACAGAAGACCATAGAGACTTTTGAGCTAAGTATTTTTTGTTATCAACAATTTTTCATATTTCCCGATGGGTTTTGTAAATGTTAAGTTGATTACCAGCTGACCCTTAAGTTTAATATGGAAAAAATGCCACCACTCTCAGTTCATTAGGGCTTCGTTTTGTTAATAGTGCTCTAGAAAACATCGCTGCTGCTCCAGCTATTAATGCTGATCTAATTTCAACATTTATCTACCTTGTAGCGCTCGTCGACCAGCCACCCCCATTTGAGTAAACATGAAAATGCTACGTGTGCAGGGTATAAATATGACCCCCTCCACACTTTTTGCTACTACACCATTGCCACCTCCCACTCCCCCGAATTCACAGCCGCCCCCTTATGAGGCTTTGGAGTATACGAGACGTAACAAAAACATTTCGTTTTATCATTAAATTTTCATGACCACGTCCGTGTATCTGCCCCAAACCCAAAACTCCCCGACAACCTTGGGCTGTGTCCTGATCGAGGGCTGCGTTCACCCACCCACTTTCACATGGGTACTCGTACATATATATGAATATATATTTATATATATGGTAACAGCCCCCGGGCTGCCCATGAGTCAATTATGTTTTGCGACAGAGTGGGGTCTTTGCTTTTATTTTTCCATCCAGCGACTTTAATTTTTGAGTTTTCTCCATGCATGAGTACTTTCCCCTAACAACAAAACCAGGAGGAGGCCCAGCCCGGTGGGTCAGGTGGGTGGCCGCACTTGACCCTGGTGGGGAGGGTGAGGGGTGGTGGTTGGTGGGCTTTTATCAGCACCAGGGGTTGTTCGACGGGTCGATGGGCCGCCTGCAGCTGCTCAAGTCAAGTGCAGAAACGTGTGCCTACATGTTGATTAAAACAAGGCCCACACTAGTCAGACCATTCAATGTATCTGACGAACATTTAAGTATTTTTTATAAGAAAAAACCCTTAGCTGCTTATCCTTAACCTTAACAAAACGTTATTCAATATTTATTAATACTGCATGTTTCTTTCTAAAAAGAATAGGATTTTAGACAATATTTTGTAATCAAACTTGATTCATTAAATCATCTGATTGTTTTCTTTTTATATGGTGAAACTTTCCAATCTTAAGTTCTTTATTAAAACACTGAATAAGAATAACTTTTCGATGCTTTGACTAGAGTTCTTTATATGTGTCTAAACAGATGTCTGCATACCCAAAATATTATTATAATATACTTCAATAAACAATTTCTAAGGATTTACTAAAATATTTAACAATGTTCACTAAGACAATTTTGCTTTCCAAGGAATGGCCATTATAAGACATCAAAAACTTTGCTTTTTTAATATAAACATTTCAACATATTTTCAAAGCAGTTTTATTTAGTTGACTGATTTTACTTTCATTTTAATACCCTAGGGAGTGGAAGGACACACCTACTTATGATTTATGCATATATGCTTATAAATGAGCTAGCAATTTGTATTTACGCTTTTATAATTTTATTGATTTTTCCGCCCTGTCTGGCAAAGCTCCGTGGACAGCTGACGGATTTCCCAGGCAATGCATAAACATTTATACAAAATTCGGTTTATGTTTTGCTTTGAGTTTCAGTTTCGTTTCGCCCGGCCCTTTGTTCATCCTCCCGCTGGGTTTCCTTTTCATGTTTTTTGGGGTCGAGTACCAACTTCCGACTGGCTCAATTAGCAGGCCAAGCGTTCATATTTAATGCAGCTTCCACCACAGTAAATTATGACAGCCCATGTGTTTTCCTTGGTTCGGCCAGAGGAAGAAAAATGTAGTTTCTACTTTGTGTCCCATTAATAATGCGCTACCTGTGGGGCTTCAGGTGCTGCCTGTGTTGCCCTAAAATATTCAGGAGGCTTTAAGGAGAACGGCCAAGTCATCTAGGAAAACCAAATTTAATCTTTTGTCAGACAGGACAACAAAGAGCGAAATGGGATTCTGGGGCAGCAGTTGAGGGAAGCGGGCTTAAAGCCCTTCAATGGCAGGATGATCGCCGACTTTTGCCACCCGCCGTAACCCTGGGAACATCCGCAGCCTGCTCGTGTCGTTTCTCACAAACAGCAAAGGATGTTTGCTTTCCGCGAGAAAGGGGAATGAAATTACATTCGCTTTTTTTAGCCCAAGCCCAATCCCAAGCCCAAGCTCGGCGGGGGCGTGGATAGCTGGGTGTGCCTGCGTCTGTCTGACGAGGTAATCAGCGTAAAATACAATTTCATTCCGACTCTCCTGAAGGGTAAGACATAAAAAACACAGTATCGGCGGGGGCGGTTTGAATTTGCAATGAGATGGCAACGAACAGAAAAACACGTAACCCTGAGCTTTGGCGCTTTGCCATTACCCTGGCAACGAATCCATGCCATTAAAATTAATAATCTAAAATATATTTCTTTCTCTTTTTTTTTTTTTTTCAGAGGCGGGGTTCGGGGTGCAGTCTTAAATAAACAGCAAATAAAATATATCATAATATTTATGGTAAGCCGCATTTCGCACGCAGGCACTTGACAAAAGGCAGTGGAAAATCCTCACAAGTGTTTCAGAGATACCACCCCATACAAAAACGGGAACGGGGCTTGTAAAACTCCCCGCAAGTGGTGTAAGCTGCTTTGTTCAAGTGCCACGAAGGGTTGAACTAGGCTTTTGGGTGCGAGGGGTCAGCGATGTGTTACTGGAGTTTACAAACCCTCGGCTGTAATTCGATGTGCTCGCTGAGGCGTTGGGCAAGTTCCCGATGCCGCATCTGAGCAATTGGCTCTAATGAACTGTGGCCGGCTAATGAGCCTCACCTTGGCCACTCTTGATCGATTAACTTGGCGCCGTTGCCAGCACTACCTTAACCCTCTTCCGACTGCCAAGTGGTTTCTCGTTGACATTTCTGTTTCAAGTTTAATTGTCTTGTCGCTGTCTTGCCGTCCAATCGATTTTACCGGGTTAGCTTAGCCCTTTTGGCTGGTCTTTGGAACACTTTTTAATTGCCAAACTTTTGGGCAGAGGAAAATGTCATTTCCAGCAGTGGATCCCTTTGCTCTTAACCGAAACGTGTTCGCAACCCTCTTAGCTTTTGTTTTTATTGCTCTTTTTGTTGTTTGGCTGATGTGCTTTTATCAAATCCCAGTGGACCCACAGCCATTTAGCTTTAGGATCCGTTTCAAACTCTAGTCTCCAGCGCGCTGGCATAAAAGATGCGCCATTTTGGTGCCACTGATGGTACCACGGGGCGTATGAGGAGCCCCTTTAGTGGGGCTGTCTATAAATCAAAACATTAAATGGGCGTGGCCGTGGGGGGAGTTCCCTTTGAGGGGGAGTGAGTGCCAAATGGTTTCCTTTTTTCGCAATTTGTGTGGGTGTGCGTATCTAATGTCCGTGTTTTCGCACACATGTGCCGTCTCCATCGAACATCCCTTTTTGGTCAACGATGAGAGTTGGATTACAAATTGATTTGCACATAAATTACTTGGACTTTCTCTTACTGCCTTTTTTCAGAGTGGAAGTAATTTACCTTTATGCCCCTCACTCAAGAGTTCATGTTTCATGAGGTTTTGTACACAGAGAACAAAAATTACAGACATTTTTTCAAACTTTTTACTAACTTTGAATTTTTTTAAGTTTAAAAGCAATTTCAATTGTGTATGCAAACAAATTCAAAACTAGATAGAGATCTAAAACTGTTTACCATAACTCAACTAACTATTTTATAAGGAAGTCCTTTAGTGTTGCTGTTTGTTCATACATATTTTAAATTTTTCCCCCTGTGTAGTTTTGATTAATATCTGCGATAGCCAGTCTGTCCTGGCAAATTGCTTATTTCCAGCATCGAATCCTGGGCCCAAAATGTAACCATTTGTAGCTTGGCAAATGCGGAGCAATCAACAACACCATCACCGACCGTTTTACGACTTTTGATGTCGCTACTCCGAACTTCTGGTCTAGATCCTGCCACTTTCTCCCTTTCACCCCCCTTTCTTCAGCCCCTTGTCGCATTTCCCCCGTCTGCTCCTGATGGCTCAATGTTGGCCACCCCCGAGATGTCCGGGTACGTTCTTATCAGACAGCATCAAGACAAATGCGTTACTTGTTTCTCGTTTAGCTTATTACGAGCTACCTTCCTGCCAGCCTTTGTTTCTGGCACTTCCATCCCCTCGGGCTGCGATAGATGGGTCTAAGGAAAAAAGGGGAGTGGGCCTCTAGTTCCACGGTGGTTATGGTGGCGGTGGTGGTTGTGGTGCGCCCCCTTTTGTTTTGACATGAAACCGCTATGAACACATCAGCGCTACAAACGCGTCTACAAGGCAAACAATCTAATGACGACGGCGTCGTCTTGTTTGTGTTTGTGTGTGAAATTTATATTTATTGCCTTCATTATGCAGCAGCCGCAGCACCAGAGAAAATTGCTTTCCTCTGGCAGGTGGCTCGGGCATGGTGGCGTTTTCTATGGGCCATGGCTTTGATGAACTTCCAACCAGACCATGACTAGACCATCTCCACATCCCACCAAGACGACGCTTGTAATGATTTAATGGGACAGCAGACACAAATTTGATTAGTCGACGCAATCTAATAAAGGCATTTGTTTGGGGTTCTTGGCTAATTGATAGTCAATTGGTGACCGCAGTAATATTGACAAGCAGTGGAATTTAGCAACTAATTGCTCATGGGTATTCGTTCAGCTTAAAAATATTTTCAGCCTTGGCCTATTTAGCTTATCATAATATATGACAAAATTGTTACTCAACAAGAACAAAAAATTAATGAGAATAAAATAGTTTTATTGTTGCATTTAACAAGTTATTTTCTTTAGTAAATCAAACTTTACGTATAATTCCAAAAAACACCAAATTTATATTTTGTAACTTCAAAGTTTTATATCTTTGAAAAATTAATTAACTCGATAGAAAGTAATGTAAATAATCTTTTAAAAATGGTAAATTCAATGACTTTTCCATTATCGCAATTATTTTTGCATTATTTGACAATAATATTTTAGCTATTGGGAGCTTTAAGTTATTTAATTTTTATAATTATATTGCAAGAGATAAATTTGTCATAAATATTTAACTTTAACGTCGTAGCTAATTTTCAGAAGACAATTACAGACAAAAAATTGAATTTGTAATGTAAAACTAATTTGTTTTTATGGTGGCTTGTTTTTATAAACCGAGATTCTTAATTTTCTTATATGAGTTTAGGTAAAATAATATTCTTGGCAATAGTGGCCAAAAGTTATTTGTTGTTTTATATTTTCAATGAAACATGAAAGCCCATTGGTAAAATGGGAATACCTTTAATCGATATGGTAAAATCAGATTGTTTTTTAAAGACCTTTTTCTTACTGTATTGTTATAGAGTGCCAAATCTTGCATCCTAAATATTCCCTTACAAAAAACCACTTGGGTGTCCTGTGAATTACATAAGAAGCGCCCAGTTTTTGAGCTCGGGCGGTAGGCGGTCGAACGGTAACTGTTCCATTCCATTCCGTTCCGCATTCGTGAACGGAGGCCCATTGAGTGAAATGAAACCTACGAACCTACGAGTTTGGTTTGGTTTTTTTGGGGCCATAAATAAAATGTGTCTACCCTGTGAAATGTGGCAAGTGTCGAGCTCACGAACACACCATGCCCACATTTATATGTACATACACAAGGTGGATATATATATATATAAATACACTTGTGTGCCAAAGGACAACGCTTGATGAGCGGGAGGCCTTTGAGGACGAGGACGAACCACTTGCCACGGGGCCCTGTGCTCTAGTGTTTGCGGGCTAGATGTTGTTTAATTTTAATTATATGCCTTTCTCAGAGACGCAACGTCAACGTTATGCAAGCACTTGGTGCAGTGGACACACCGCCTCCTCCAACTCACCTGTGTCGCTCGGTGTGATGTTGCTGAGGCGATGGGTGAGGAAGCCGCGCAGATTGGAGACGACTCGCTGCGGCGAGTTGGGCCCGCTGCCAATGGAGAAGCTACGCAATTTCGAGAACAGGGCGGCGGACTCCGCGCCACTGCCCGCGGCGCTGGTGCTGGCCTCGTTGGACGCCACGTTCGCTCCGGATGCGGATCCCTTGGTCCTTGTCCTGGTTCTGGTTCTGGTTTTGCTTCTGGTTGCCACAGAAAAACCCGCGCGGACACCACCCGACTCTTTTCCTTGCCTTGTGTGTTATGTAAAGGCTCGCGCGCCAATCGATCGCCAAAACGCTCACACCGACACACACACACCGACACTCTACCCGTTACCGCTCAACCGCTGCGATACCGCTCGCTTGGATTCAGCTTAATAGATTCCCTGGCTGAGGTCCACAAACAGAATTTCGGCTCTGGAGCTCTGCTCCGGGGAGTTCTTTTCCAGGCGACGGACGGCGAGACTACGGCGAAACAGCAGCAGCGTGCGTTCAGTCGTCCGGGCAGGAGCAAAGGTAACTTCTGTCTGGCGACTGGGTTCGCTGAAAAGCACAGAGCAGCAGCACCAGCACTAGCAGCAGCAGCAGCAGCAGCGGCAGCAGCTCGACGTTTTGTCGGTATTCAGCCTGGAAGGCCGAGCTCCCCACCTTGCGCCTTCCACGGCGCAGGACACCTGCGCATGCGCCTGCGCCTCCGCCGAACATCCGGCCAATTGGCGGGCAATCCTGCTCCCGACACGACCTCCACCTTCTCACGCCGCCTTTTTCCCAGGCCCATTACTCTCGCCCAGTTGAGCACATTTGAATAAAATTCTATTCGCACTGTGCGAAGAAAATCAATTTCCTTCGGCCACTCTCACCTGTCGGTTTGGTTTGGCTTTTTCCTTGCTCCCCCGTTTTGTCATTGCGTGCTTTTTGCGTTTGCCATTTTCGTAGCACACATTTCGGGGCTTATGTAAGGGGCAGCTTGTTCCGAGGATTTATTTGCTGAGTTTTCCCTCCTGCCCGCAATAAAAGCACAGACACACACACACAAAATGTAATTATTTTACAACAACAGACGTTTGTTTCTTTTTGGTTTTTGCACCACATGTAATTATTTTACAACAACAAAACTCCCTGGACAGCAATCGGGCAATTTCTTTGTTAATTTCTGCAATCGCCCGAACAATAAACAGGCATTTCTTTCAAGTGGGCCAGACAATAAGAATGGCAAACACATTTTGGACACTGATTAATATCTGGTGTGAAGGCAGGACTGCATTGCAGGGTCCACAATCTCTGACACCCCTGAAAAGCAGCTTTTGTTGGATATTTCGACGCCCACTGTCCCACAATTTGCCAATTTCTTTGTCATTTGTCACTTGACAAGCACTTTCTTCAATTTATCAAGTCTTAACTCGGGCTCAAAAGGCCACAAAATTATGTTAAGACCATAAAACCGAGACCCGAACATGGCATAAGAAATTCAATGGCAAAGTTTTTCTGCTACATTCTCACCTTATGTCTCAACTCTTTTTCTCTGTCACTGGCGTTACATTTCTTATGCAAAAAGTTCTGGAAGAAAAACAAAGTTGAAATTTATTCACCGCTTTGCCAGTCTCTCTAGGTGATTAGGGCAGAGGTTTTTCAGCGAGTTTTCTTTTTAATTTAGAGGAAAAGCGCTGGAAACTGACCCACTGAATTAAGATGAGGGCCAGCGATATTCCGCTAGTTGGTTGATTACATTTCCATTTACATTTACCAACGCAAATGAAAACAGGCAGCTGAACTGAAAGTCATGTCAAGGTTAGACTAGTTTTATTGATTGATTATCCGGCTCGAGTTCATGAATGGCATGACTCTCTTACCAGTATTCAGCTTTTTTCTATACACAAAGTTTCGCTTTGCATTTAAAGTTTCCTTTTCCCAGTCCCCAATCAGCAGTCAAAAACCTTCAAAATCCAGCCACGTAAAAGCAATTACGAGAGCAAATTTTGGTGTGCTGAAACTATTTTCGCATCTTCTTTTATTCGATTTATTTACAAAGTAGAGTGAGAAACTTTTAATGCAGCGATCGATATGAGCCCAAGGAGCTTGGAAAATGGAAAGGAGGGCGAGGAGCAGCAGGAGGACTCTTCTCGAAGGTAAGTCAAGGTGTGCCTCGTTTGCCCGTGTGCGTGTTGTTCTGCGGGGGGTGTGGGAGGGGTTGTGCGGCTGTATGTGGGTGTGGTTGTGCCTGCTGCGGATGTTTGAGCGGTGGTTTAAATATAACAACACTTTGTGCGGGGGCCAAATTATATGGCACAACCGTCCGCCGAATGGTCGAGTCGGGCCAACGTACTGTGGCCCACCTAAAAGTGGTTGGAAACAAGGTTACCTGGTACGCACCATGCGGCCAAAACAGAGAAAAATGTCTACGGGGCACGCAAGGCAAGTGGAACCCAAGAAAAAGAAAACGAGCCTCGTCAGGAGCCCACAATAGACCAAACCAGGCATGGCTACACAAAACACAGCAGCGAAAATATATGAACTTAAGCTGCCTTATTCAAATACAGTCCAACTTCTTTAGCTCAAACAGCAATAAAACACTTACTAATGGCAGTTATTTAGCTAACCAACTTCAATTTATACTACATAACAAGAAATTAAACTTAATGTAATCTTGGAACATATTAATAACAATTTGATTACAAGCTATATTGTCACTTAAATTTTTTTTATACAAATCTTTTAAGCTGTTTTTAAATCCAAAATTTAATTTTGTAAATTCTTTATCTATCAGTAGAAAAAATTTGATTATCTTGACTAATAATTGTTAATAAAACATTTTTGTTAGGAACAGCAACAAAACGTTCTTGTTAAAAATTTACTAAGTATTTGCGGAATGTTGTTTCATTATAAAATTAAATTATTCAAATGCGCCTTAAAGAAACTTATAATTCAAAAGCAGCCTACTTCAAAATCTCTAGGGATGTGTGACTCCATAGACGTGATTAATGACTCTCCAGGGCTAAACACTTAATTTGTGTTACAATAGATAAATTAAAATTGATCACAAAGCAAATTAAAGTTTAGTTGTAAGCGCAATCCGCAGTACATTCTTAAAGACGCTTAACTGTAGAGCGAGTCTTATTCGACGTCGATTTGCGCAGCAGTTAAGCTTAATACAAGTTTAATTTACAGCTAATTGTTTGACCCGAGAGATGTGCCATCATTTGTCATGTTGCGAAATGGAGCCGCCTAAGCGATTAATTAATTCTCCGCCAGCAAAGTGGAGCAAACAATTGAAATTCGACACCGTGAGGTGACTGAAAGTCAGCGGAAGGTTTCCAGAGCCAGGACTCTCCAGGCTCGAGGCAATAAAAATGAGGATAAAATGAACTTCAAAGCGGGATAACGAGCCCAGCTAACAAACCAGACTGCAGCATATTTAATTGCGTACCTTAATGTTTATTTTCAATTAGGGCTTCAGTCATGCCAGCACGAGTGCAGTAATGCCGGGGGTACGATGTTGTACGCCTTTTGGCAATTAGATGACGGGTTAGTCTGGCATCTGCTTGGATGTAAGCGAGCCGTAAAACAGACACCACAACCACTCTGCAACCACCACCAAAACCAGCAGTAAGAAAAAACAAAAATAAACAAAAAACAAAAAACAACACTTATAAAATATCACGCTGCGCCTTTGGGTCTGGGTTTGCCCAAGGTGAACCCCACCCACCAAAACACCCCACAACCACCCTCTTCGCTGGCTACATTCTATCGATTTTTATACGGTGCAAATACGTGTGGGTATTTTTGAATATCTTCTTCCGCGCAAAGGTGAAGCAGTTTGCTGGTAACCAGAACTAACGCTAAATGGTTTAAATCCTGCAGCACACATCGCACTGGCTTAATTGGATTGCTTCGACCACAGCACATCCACATCAGGCAGTTTTTGGCATGTCCTGCCAGGCGCAAAAACCCCTTTTTCGATCCATCCTGACCGCCCGTCGAAGGAGGTTTAAATTATATTTCCCTTAAAATATTTCCACTGCCTTTGCCAGCCAGTCAACTTGATGGCTTCATAGTGCCGCTGATCCTTTCTGTGCGATATTGACAGCCAGATAGACAGCAGGATACCTGCCAGTTGGGCTCTTGCTGCTGCTGTCAGTGGCAGTGTCTGGATTTGGTCTCTTGCAGGGGGCTCAAGCTTCCCCAGGGCGCAACATTTGACGGCAGTCAGAGCCGCAGCCACAACCACTGCCACCGTGATTCAGGGGGAGGGGGTTTCCCGCTGCGCAAAAGTTCGTTTTGGAGTCGAAACGACACACCAAGTGGCCCCCAAAGGTAAACAAGGTGTGATAGATACTCAAAAATTGCTCATGACATCAGGATTTATCAGGGCTGAAGGTGCAACAACATGAGAAGTCATGGCATTTTGCAGTGCAACCTAAAAAAGTGTCTAAAGTTAACGTAAATTGTAAGCGATTGGATTGTTATATACGCAGAAAGTCAGCAAATTCGATTTTAAGAGGATGAAATTACTTTAGACAGGTTCTTATTTATGATTGAATGGATATAGGTAATTATCTATAACACTAAGAAACTCGATACTCAGAGTATGACAAGCACTTTTTCTGAACAGATTATATAATAAGAAGATAAGCTTTACTTTCTTGACTCGGCTTTAAATCACATCCTAGTTTAAAGCGGGTAAAGAGGCGCCAGGAGCTTGTACCTGATTATCGGAAAAGTTATCTTGAGGGACGAAAAATAGAAAAAAAGAAGGCTGGGTTTTTCCTACCTAATGGGTAGAAAGAAATTTCCCAGCGGTCAGCCCACGTTTAACTGCACTTTGATTAATAGGTGTGAGCTCAAAGATAATTTAATATATGCAAGGTTAATAATAATTTATTGACTATATAGACATATCCACTGTCATATCCACATATCCACTAAAAATATTTCCCTTGAAATATTTCGCCAAGTAGATTTATTTTAGATTTAGTCTTACAAAAAACAATTTTTTCAATTAAAATTCTTAGCATACTAAAATATATTTAAGTGTACAAAAATTGTGGTACATAATTTAAAGTTTACATTTCTAATAGTTTTCGGTGAGCGGACTTCGAATCTGTCCAAGAAAATATTTTATCATTTGATGATGTGCTGCAACATTTGGGAACATTAAACATTAATGTACGTTTTTGGTGAATCACCAATTGATTTATGTAAGTTAAAATCTGGTACCACATTTACATATCCTTTGATTCTCCTGTCCATTTCCCCAAATTGCATTATCTTTGCGATTGCAGTCTGATCCAAAACGAACTGCAGCCTTCATTGGCAATTCATAAAGCCTAGCGAGAATAAGCTCCTGAAAATATATACATTTCCACTCCGGTCGTTTACATTGATTGAATAAGCCCCTGGCAGCGCTAATTGCGAGTACTTATAGTTGCAATTGATTGCGCTCTTTGTGACGGAGTCGACAAGTCAGCTGACAGGGTGTGTGACGACCAAGGACGAAGGACCCCGGACCAAGAAGTAACAAGAGCTGATACCTCGTTAGCGTGGATGTTGTCATGGTGGTGTATTATGAGTTGCAAAAGGTAAAGAGTTAAGACTGATGCTGAAGCGAGTCCGTAATTTTCCAACCGAAGCGCAATTTCACTCTGTGTGGGTGGAGAGCCAGCTCCTCAAATCTGTATTAAATTACGTTAATTTAACTGGACCTCGTAAAGTTTTCAGATCAAGTTAAACTCGCTTTTCATCGAAAGCAGAACAAATTGGTAATTAGCGTTAAACTAACCATTTTCACAGAATTTCGGGTCCCTAAATAATAAATCTTGGGAGTTTTTATGTAGCCTAAATAAATAATAATAATAATAATAATAATAATTTCCAAGAAGTAATTTACAAATCAAATATGTTTTAATTTATATACAATTTGAAAGCTATAATATGTGTATATATTTTAGGTAGTCTCACAACCGTGAAAATAGCGTTGGAATTGGCAAACAGATTAGAAGAAAATTGCACAGAATGCATAAAATTTGGTGGTGGGCAATAAAATCTAATGGAATCTGCGCAAACTGAATAATATCAATAAAATTAAAATTAAGACGACGATTTGCGCAGCGTGAGGGAGATGGAGCCAGTCAGTTAGACAGGGAGGGCAGATGCCGAAAATAACAGTAAAGGAAGAAGGAAGCAGGAGGAACAGGCGCAAAGCGGAACAACAAAAGAGTCCTGAGAAATTTCTTTCTCTGCGTGTGTGTGTGAGAGTGTCACGAGTGGTGGAATTTCAAAGGAGCAAAGGCTCCATCAAAATGGCCGCCGAAAGTGTTGAAGTGTGTAAGTGAGCCAAAAGAACTAACAATGGCCGACATCAAAGCTACTTTCGAATGGGTGCAAAAGAGACAGGGAGCATTAGGAGATGGCCAAAAATAAAACTACGGGTAAACCCGATCCCCAAGGGAATGGACAAGTGTCCAAAAATATTCGTGTGGTTTTGGAGGGCGAGTCCGCCAAAATTAATTGCAAATTGTCGCGTGTATTTCTTTTGTTTTGTCAGCACCAATGTCAACGGGGCAAACGTTTGGTGTGCGTGTTATTATCCCTGTCCCTCGCAATCGGAGAATGCAACTTTTGACATTTCTATGACCTTAACTAACTTACTAAGCGCGCAACAACAGCGAAAACAACACTTGCAGCTAATTTGTACCCCCTCTCCCCATCTATCTCTGTCTCTTTTCCCCTAGCCTGTAACCTAAATTCATATTACTGTGTTCCAGTTTCCATTTTGTGGCCCCTGTTTCACCGTCCATTCCGTTCCGTCGAATTGTATTTGCTCCCCATCCCCATTTCCCGATTGACTTTGCCATTTGAGTTCGTCTTTACTGTTATTTCATTCAAACATGGCCGCGTGGGTGTGGCCTTGTCACCCACACGAATGCGGAATCCTCTCCCACGCACACACACATACACACCCATAAGAGCTAGGAGTCGACTGGATGCGGTAGGCGGAGCCGTCATTCGCTTAGTCTCCTTGGCTTCCTGGCAGAATGAACCACTCTGCCTTCCAGCTGCGGGTTCCAGTGCTCCCACCAAGGCACATGGGGCTTCCAGCTGTTCATCAGCTGTTCAGCTCGGCTGGAATTGAGGGGAAGCGATTGTGGTAAAAGCTTTTCGATGGAAACGTGCAGTTTCCGCTCTAACCTCTTCTCCGTCCTCACTTTTTAAAACTATAAAAAAGTTTCTACAATTTGCCGAAGATTTGGCAATACTACTTCCTATGGGTTATGGAGAGCACTGTCAAAAAAAGATATTGACATAAAATTGTTTAATTGAAAATCATTTTCAGTGGTCCAAGCTTAGCTGTTTTTTCATGACCAAACCAAATAGACCATCGTAGTTTAAAAGAAACTGTTTTGATTGTTACAAAAAAGTTAATCATAAACAAATTTGCATTAATTTATTTAATTAATTATTTATTATATAAATACTTTTATGTTTTATAACTGAATACTAACTTGTAGAGCGAAAAGTTTCATGTAATAGACGGTGGACTTCGGGAGTGATTAAATCATGAAAGCACAAAACAAACTATAATAGATTTTTATAATAACTGACAGAAAACAATTTTACTAAGGAAAGAGTGTAAAAAAGTTTTATTATACAACATTTCTTAAAGTGCACTTAGATGGAAATGGAATGGCAAACAATGTTCTAATTATTTTTGAGGTGAACAAAGGACGCCGATATTGAATATGTTTGGGGTTTGTCTGGTTGTATAATCCCTCAATTCAATTAACAGTCTGTAGATGACAGACCTCAATCACTCAGATCCCTCGAAATCATTTCAGATGAGCAGCGACATTTCACCGGTCGCCGTTTGAAAGAGGAATAAAGTTTTAATGCATATAAATTGTGTTTGCCTAAAAGAGGGCCAGACTGTGAAATATTAATGGGCATATCACGGCGGAGGGGGTAGCCTGAATGCCACCCACCCAGGAAAAAAATTAAGCAGGGGCTGACAGGTGAGATGTGGCCAAGATGGTGTTGATATTCCTCACGCTATCGCTTAAAATTCGGTTTAAGTTTCGGTTAGAGCTCCGGCTTATTGTTCCTGATGTGGGTACGTGGCCCTTTTTTGGATGCTTTATGGCTCAATGACGTCAGCAATGGACTTGAACCGAAATCCCGCTTCAACTGCGAACTTTGACCTATGCTTAATTTGAGCCCAGAGCACTCAAATACTATTTTTTAGATTGCTTGAGGGCGGCTCTTGCAGTCATGTCGCTTTGAATTTATTTGTCAGTTTGATGAAAGGTCATTTGGATTCTACTTCTTCGGTCGGTATATCTGTCTGTCTGTCGGTGGATTTCCCTCTGTCCGCCCTCCACTGCTAAATTCATCATTTTTGCGACATGTCAATTTGTCACTCACCTGGCCTGACAGCCCATGTATTAGATATATGGCCAGGCTGTATGCACATAGAGGGTACATATGTTTTCTTATCAGTCAAATCAGTGGAGCCATCAATCAAAGTAGCGCTGTCTGTGGTTTTGGCCCGGCGGCTGGATTGAGATAGATTGCGATAGATAATTGCTAACGACCGGCAGCGGGGTGGGAAAGTGGCCAAAAAGTTTTGCAGTCTCGATTAGTCAAGGTCAAAAAGTTAGTCCTTAATGCAAATTAAAATATTTGCATAAAACTGAGGCAAGCGGAAAACTTTGTTCATTAAAACTGTCACTCGGCTATGGAATAACAAGATTTCAAATGAAATTAAATATAAATATATGCAATTTTTTAAAACCTGAAAAAAAGTGTAATATCGGATAACAGTGCAAAAGAAACCTCACGCTTATTGATACATACTCAACAGAAATGATTTTTAAACGTTCTGTCATGAAATGATTTTATCATTAATGTGTATTTATTTATTAGGTGGAAACAAAGACCTGAAAATTGGTTCAATGTCGGAGCTTGTTTTTTTGATGAGTGTTCGCCTGATTTGCACAACTCTGCATAGATGCATGAAGATACTCGTAAATACATAATGGGAATAATTATAGATGTCGTTTATCGATGTAATTGCTGGCCAAGTGCGACACAGCACTCGAGATTGGAGCGCCCAAAGCAGCGGCTGCAGCTCATCTTAACCCAGAAATGAGGCGGCATCTGATAAACATGAGCCCACACCGCCGAACCCATGCTATATTGTATTGGCAAATGAAGCAACTAATGCCAGTGCTTTGTTTTCATGCCCCAATATGAGTATCTAGTTGGCATGGCCATTACCATTACCATTGCCATTACCTTTGTCATTGCCATTAGCAGAGGGATGGGAATGGGAATCGAGTCTTATCTGCATGCAGATAATGGAGCTTCTTCGCCTTGTCAAGGCCGCGTTGACTTTCTTCAATGGCGGGTACTGAGAGCGGTGGCTAAGGTGAGTGCCGAGGCACCTCCAGACCGAATTCATTATGTGATGCCATCGATGGGCACTTCAACTGCCGTGGGGCATCCACAACGAGCCCACGAACCGAACACTTGAGGCCATCGGCAACGAAAACTGCGTGTTTGCATTGCGGCAATGATTTCTAACTAAATTTATTGAAGTACTTTTCACTTTTAATGCGAGCGCTTGTGTTTCTCTTCGCCACGCTTTGATATTTATGACTTTTACCTGCAAAGCAAAATATGTGAGCTCCAATTTTTATATTTTGTTAAGCCCCAAATTGGAGCACTGGAGTGCGACTCCGTTTTTTCCTCTTTTGGTATTTTGAATGATTGTTGATCGCAGACTCGGAGCGGCCACAATACGAGTTGATTGATTGTGGTAGCAGCACAGCGGCAACAGCTTTGATTGCCAATCGAAGGTGTTAGATAACATTACAAGCGCAACAGACACGCACTGCCTAATTATCGGTTATCAGACGTATCTCATATTCCGGGCCGTACAGTTTGCTCCCCCCGTGACATCGTGGGCATGTGAGCCGTGAATACTAAAGGGCCCCTGGGAACCGTCAACTGATGTGTGTATCTCTGCCTTGGTTAATTAAAAGTTCTGCTTGATTGGGTTTTTGGGCATCGGTTTGGGGCTCGGGCTCAGGTTGAGGCTCAAGTTCAGGTCCAAGGCAGCATCTTACAGTGATAACCAGAAAACCTCAACCAGCAATTGTCATGTTATGCAATACTCTTATGATATGGTGACTTTGAGTTTTTATGTTGCTATGGAAAATGTTTAATTAATCTTCAATTTTTTGGTGAAACGGGAGTACATTTTGATTTTCTAGTCATTACACGGCAACTGTTAAAAAATACTTGAGATGTTTGTGTCTACAAGTATAAGAGAAACCAGAAAAACAAAATATTTATATTGATTAAGAAATGAAGAAAGATTCATAATGATATTATCCAGGATACTACAGAAGTCTCTTTAAACCGAAAATGCAATTCGGTTTGGTTGGAATATTATTCTATGTCTCCCCGGTATAGGAAGTTTTCTATTTTCTTTTTTGCTACACTTAGCGGCGTTTGACTGTTCTGTCCAAAGTTAGGACACATAATTAATTTATTTGCACCACCATTTACCCCACCACCCGTCCGTAAATCCAATCGAATCCAATCAAAAGTTTTCCGCAGAAAAGAAACATAAACGGCTTAGACTTTCTGCTGTTCTCGAGACGAGTCGGCTGTTTATTTGGTGTAGGGCTCAACCCACTTCCACTCCTCCCAGACTACGCAGCTCTGCTCCTTCTCCATGAAGGCGTAGTTGTCCGGGCACTGGATGTAGTCGGCCTTCTCCTGACCATCGCGGCAGACCCAGTAGTGGGTGGGGTCGGAGATGTCGCGGAACATGCGGGCGTGATCCTCGACGATGGCGCAGTTGGGCTCGGCGTAGATGTCCTGGCCGTTGTAGGCGGAGCTGAGGGCCAGGATCAGGCCCAAAAGCAGGGAGCAGAGAAGGGTGCCTGTGGGGAAAGCGAGGGAAAATGATGACAATTTTTCTGGGAGAACTGAAGCTGGTGTGCCTCACCCTTGTACATGATGAAAGTGTTGCAATTGAAGGCTGCCAAATGGCATATTTATAGTAGTGCCGAATTCCCCTTATCGCTCTGCACTCGGTACTTGTGGCCCCGACACTTGCTGCACAAGCAAAATCACTTAGTCCAAATGAGTTTCGATTTATTTTTAGATCTTCGCCTGTGGATGTCGCCCGTTTGGGCAATGGCAATCATAACGAACCGCTTTTCACTTGGCCGCATTAATTGGATTTGGCCCAGAGCCCCAGCGTGACGGCTTAATCGATAATTAGCCGCTGCACTGCGTTGCCACCATCATCTTGGCCAACATGAAACAACCTGAAATAATCAGTCAGCTTAACACATGCGATACGGCAGCGTCATCTGGTCTCCTGACCAAATCGTCACCCGCTGGGGAGTTGCGTTCGCCGATTGGTCACCTCCTCCTCCTCATCACTCCGAGCTATGTAGCTACCTCAATGCGGAACTGTAATTACACTTTAAAGCATTTTGTAAGCGATTTTCAGGGTTTTTGTTTTCAACCCACTCTGGCTGCTAAACAGTTTTTTGGGTTTTCGGCCGGCTCATTTCGTGAGGTTTTTTGCCGTATTTTATTTTTGCTGCCTTTTGCTATTTATATTGGTCAAGTGGCCTGGCGCTTGGCGCGCCTGGGGCTCCGATACCAAAGCCAAACAAAACAACAAAGAAACAAACAGTTAACATAAATGCAAAATACTTTTGCAAAATGACAAAACAAAAAATGAACAACAAAAATGCCCATTGAAAAGATAGTCGGCAATTAATTAATGAATGGGCCGATAGTCTTTAATGTTGCACAATTTAAACGGATTCAGATTTCAGCATTTGTTTTATGAATTATGGAAATATCCGATTATGAATTTGCCATGCCGTCTGGAATTACTCTTGACAAAGTGTCAATAAATAGGCATGGTTATTATGTTATGTTAAATGACTGTTCCCTGTATAAAATTGGGTTTGTTTGTTTTCATTGGGCGGGCAAACCCATTGTTGTTTCTAAAAATTAGTGAATTCAATTTATTGCCATTCAATAAATTCTTTCACAAAAAATATGTTAATATTTGCATAAATATTAGTTACAAATAAATTATTATTGTGCCTTATAAAATGTAAACACAGATTTCATTCTAATACTTTTAATAATTCTTGCAACGGATGAAATATTTATGTATATTATTTATTAATTATATATTGTTATTGATTTTTAAGGGGCTACAAGAACAATCCATTAAAAATGCATTACGTAAGAACCTAGTGACTAATGTTGCATTAGTGTTTCAATACTTTTGCTATCTTTATTCTCACCCCTCTCCTGAGACCATATTATTTGGCAGCTTCTTCGCCCATCTTGATAAAGATGCTGCTCCCTTGATAATAATCAACGGATGTGCGCGTGTGTCAAAATGTCAATACTTTTATTATTCTTGTTTTCACTTCTTTTTTCGGCATTGTTTCCCCTGGCAAGTATAAAAGTTCCAACCCAGAAACGTGAAGGTCTCAGTTGTTTCCTTCTACCGAGAAACTTTCACAGCTGAAAATGAAGTCTGGTGGGTTTAAGATGGAATTTTAATGTTATTTCCATAACGATTACCTTTTGATTCATCACTTTTCCGCCAGTTGCTGCTCTGTTCGCCATCTTTCTGGCCGTTTTCCTGGTGGCGGGCGTGAATGCCGATGCTGGTCGTTCGGCCTGCAAGGATGAGTCGGAGATTGGTCAGACCTACACACACCACTTCGATGCCGCCAAGTACTGGCTGTGCGAGACCCTGGGCACTCCGGCCAAGGAGGTCGACTGCCCCGCGGGACTGGCCTACATGCACCTGCTGAAGGAGTGCATCCCCTGGGCCAGCTACATCTGGAAGAAGCCCGAGATGCCACCAACTGTGGCCTAAAAATAAATGAACCAGCCCTCAACGTTGACAACTGCAAAACGATTTTTTTATTGATAGATTGGGCAGGGATTATGGCCCAAGAAATCTTCAGTGAACAAATCCTCAAAATCTTGGTAAAATTTTTGGAAGGGCAGCTGGGACATTTGTATTATTATTTTTATCACATGGAACAAACACATGGTTTATTATTTTTATAGTGCCAACAAGAACAGTAAGAAAATAATGTTCCATATCACTGCTATATGAGTCTGAAGCTTTCACTAAAGCGGAAAGTTAGTCATCTCATTATGGAATGTAATTTTTGAAATTTGGATATTTTTCACAATTGCATTGGCTTTTAAATTAAACTATACATATTTTTAATGATAAACTATTAGTTAACAACTCCTTAAACTTATCTTGGTAAAAATATTGAAATTGTAGATTTCTGTATTATTATTTTTAGTCATACGGAAATAAGACTTTTTTATAAAGCTTACTATAGCAGGAAGTCACTCAAACCCCTTGATGTTTTAATAGGCTCATTATGGATTGTAAATTTTTAAACTGGAACGTTTTTCATAATTGGGATATATTTTAAGTGAAATTCTTTAGTTTATAATATTTTAATTTTGGTTTCGTATGCAAGCCAATAAATATAACTTACCCGCTTTCGTCAACACATTTTATTTACTAGTTGTTAAAATAGATTTCGCAATTTGTAATTTAATGTAATTTTAACGGATAAGACTTTTTATAACATAACAAAATAAATAGTCAACAGCAGTTGGTACCTTATGTGCAACTTAAGAGACAAAATAAAGTATTTTAATAGACCAATTTAGCTGGCACCAAAGTGTTATTTTTGCAAAACGCAAAACCGATGACAGATGTTGCCACTGAACTTGGGAACCGATCGATTGAAAATTATCAGTGCAAAAACAAATGTAAATGCTGAAAGCTTTGCGATCGCAATGGCTTTGATGTTGTGGCCCCTGCCTTTGTTATTTTTTTTGCTGTGGCAGATGCGCAGCGTTGGCTTGGAAGTCGCGCATGCGCCGTGGTTGCTGGTTGCTGTTTGCCGCTGAGGTTGCTGGCGGTTTCTGTGGCTTTGGCCGGTGGCTCGCGAAGAGTGAGTGCATTTGAAGTGTTACATAAAGTACCAAACTCGAAGACATGCCGCTGCCAGCGTCTTCTTCGCATTGTGTTTGGCGCTTTGGAGCTTTTGATTTTCGTCTGTCCGCATTGTTATTGTTTTTTTTTTTTTTTTGTGTGTGTCTTTATTTTTGTGGCTTTGCCTGGTTATGATTTTGTATAAAAGTGCATGCTGCGCATCAGACAGCAGTGTAGTTCGCATTCGTCCATCGGCAGAGCATCGTCTGCAAAGTGCCCCCAAAAGTATCAAACAAGCATCTGGTGCTCACGAAAACGGTTAGTGCTGGATAAAGGATAACTCTTTAATAGTATACCATAACTCATCGTCATCATACAAAAATGTGACAAGATCTTTAATCAGGATTAATACAAAGCGACACATATCAAGAATCTGCATAGTCATCTATCACCGTAAATAGTGAAGTCAAAAGTTTCAATTCAATATAGTACTTATCATCCTTTTTCGGATTTTTCGAGTGCCCTTTTTTGTAGGAAAAGTTTATAAAACGGATTTATTTTCAATATACAACAGTCAGTCAACACAAGTAATCAATAGCGAAAAAGTGTAAAAGCAGAATTATTTATAGTTATCATTAAAAGATGTAAGATTTTTTTTCGAGGATTTATTTGAATCCCCTTTAAAAAAGGGTTAAACAATTTTTAATCAGGAGTCAAATAGTCATATTTAAAAATTTGTGAACAACTTTCGCACCGTAATGACTACAATTTATCCCACAAATATGAGAACTCTTTGAATAAGACTTATTCATATACAGACGACTATCAAAATAAATATATTAGTAGGATTGAGAACTTTGGTTCTTGGCCTTGTCGCCACTTAAAGTTCTTGCATAAGCAGTATGGCGAATTAGGAGTTGCCTCACATTCAGCGGGTCATCCAGTCACTTAGGCGGACTTTGAAAAATAATTAAAAATTTGTCGCAACCACTAAACAAGCGGCGCGAGCCAAACAATAAAGCAAAGTGCTGAAAAGCCAACAAGACGCAACGGGACGAGTCAAGACGACTCCGAGTGTGGCCAAAAGGCGAGACAGTAATTGGCAGCAGTAGCTGGAGAGGAAAATATGTGTCACTCACAACTCACAACTTGCAGCGCATGCAAGCCAGTGGGGGTGTAATGGTAATGGCGCTGAGAAATTGCCAACTGTCGTGCCCGATTTTGCAATGTCATAAAAGCCAGCTTTACGTTACTGCCGATCACGCCCCCACAGCTTGGGCCCTTTTTATTCAATTTCCCCCAAGAAAGGCCAGAGTTTCACTCTGCTCCGGATGGGATTCGCCAGAGATTGCAGGGGCTTTTGTCTGCGTTCGCGATTTTCCAAAAAGCCAAATTAAGTGCCAGTACCACGGCCTCAATGTCGAAGCGACACGCTCCGTCTGCTGGCCAGTTCTTGGCATTGGCCGACGGACCGAGCCAAGATTGACGAGCGATTAAGCCCCTCCGTGGGCCGAGTCTCGGCCATCGTCTTGGTGCCCGTAAAAACTTACGCAACATTAACGTAATCTTTCTATAACTATTTTTTGCCAGTAATCCACTTTCAACTGATTTTCTCTAATGCCCCGCCCCCTTTCTCCCGCTTTGCAGTTCGGTTAATTTGCATTCGAAGCGCATCGAGCTCATCCCCAGGAGAAGCAGCAGCAGCCATGCGAGTGGTAAGTACATTGAAACAAAATATAATAAACAAGTAGAGATCAGCTTTTCATTTAATTAAAATTATCTTGTAGTTAAAAGAATGTACGTTACTTTTAAAACGTTTTTAAAACACACTGCTCTAAATAACTATCCTCTAGAATTTATGTTTATAAGAATTGCAACACATGATTATTATACATTTTTAAAATGATCCCAATTTAATTGGTATTTAAATAGCTATCATGTTCCTCTTGGCTTAGTCAATCTTCTTCTTTATTTAAACAAGTCTTTGGCCTTGTCAGGCCTTGGTTTTTGTTTTAAGCCTAATGTAATTTATTTTGATTTAAAATATTTAAATTGAAAACGCTTCCATAATTGGGAAAACTAAATTGGTAAAAAAAATAGTAGTATTTTAAAGTGCCTACTTGTTTCTCTATGTACATAGCTTAAGAGACCCCACTGAAGTGGATCATCGATCGATGCGTTATAAAAAAGCTAATTTTCTAATTTCCTTGATTTCACAGCAGCTATTCGGTGTCATCGCCGTGGCCGTCGTGGCCGTTTCTCTGGTTCGCGATGTTGGAGCGGCAAAGCGTGAGGCGCCGCTGAACAACGCCTACCTGCCACCTAGTTCGCCCCAGCGTCCCTCATCCAAGTATGGTGCTCCACCCGGCAGCTCCTACCTGCCACCCGCCTCTGGTCCGGCGCCATCGTTCAACTCCGCTCCGTCCAGCAGCTATGCGGCCCCCTCGCTGAGCGTTTCTTCGGGTGGCCCATATCCGGCGCCGGCTCCACGACCCTCAAGCTCTTACGGTCCGCCTGCCTCCCGTCCTTCGTCCAGCTACGGACCTCCACCAAGCCGCCCAAGCCAGTCGTACGGACCACCGCCACAGGCCAAGAAGCCCCAGCATCGTCGCCCATCCGCCAGCTATGGAGCCCCGAGACCCGCTCCGCCTTCGCAGAGTTATGGTGCCCCGCCCTCTTCTAGCTATGGGCCACCGAAGTCATCGCCTCCTTCCCAGAGTTATGGCGCTCCTGCTCCTCCATCCAACAAGTATGGACCACCCAAGTCGGCGCCTTCTTCGAGCTATGGAGCTCCAAGGCCCGCAGCACCCTCATCATCTTATGGCGCTCCTGCACCACCTTCATCATCTTATGGTGCACCAGCTGCGCCCTCTTCCTCCTATGGACCACCAAAATCTGCGCCTTCTTCGAGCTATGGTGCCCCGAGACCCGCACCACCCTCATCCTCGTACGGCGCTCCTGCCCCACCATCCTCCTCTTATGGAGCTCCTTCCGCATCCTTTGGACCACCAGCACCACCATCTTCATCTTACGGAGCACCTGCAGCGCCCTCAAAGTCCTATGGCGCACCAGCACCACCATCTTCATCCTATGGCGCACCAGCTGCTCCCTCTTCCTCCTACGGACCACCCAAATCTGCGCCCGCACCACCCTCTTCCAGCTATGGAGCACCGCCCCAGGCGCCCATCAACTCCTACCTGCCCCCCGCCTCGCGTCCCTCGAAGCCATCGCCCAATTACGGAGCGCCCAGTGTGAGCAGCTTTGTGCCCTCGGCCTCTGCCCCGTCGACCAACTATGGAGCACCTTCGAAGACTCAGAGCCTGGGCAGCAGTGGCTACACATCTGGACCTTCTTCGTCCTATGATGCACCTGTGGCACCACCATCGTCTTCTTACGGAGCTCCCTCCTCTTCGTTCCAGCCAATCTCTCCGCCCTCGTCCAGCTATGGTGCTCCCAGCAGCGGATCAGGATCAAGCAGCGGAAGCTTCTCGGCGTCTCCTTCGTCCTTGTACAGTGCCCCGAGCAAGGGTTCCAGTGGTGGTGCATCCTTCCACTCGGCTCCATCCAGCTCCTACTCTGCCCCAAGTTCCAGCGCCAACAGTGGTGGATCATACCCCTCGGCACCTTCTTCTTCCTACTCAGCGCCCAGTTCGAGCTCCAGTAATGGCGGACCCTATGCCTCGGCTCCCTCGTCCTCCTACTCAGCGCCCAGCTCGGGATCCAACAGTGGTGGACCTTACCCTGCTGCACCATCGTCTTCCTACTCCGCTCCCAGTGCCAATGCTAACAGTGGAGGATCCTATCCTTCGGCTCCGTCCTCATCTTACTCGGCTCCTGGCTCAGGATCGAACAGTGGTGGACCCTACCCCGCTGCGCCTTCATCCTCGTACTCGGCCCCAAGTCCTGCAGCCAACAGTGGTGGACCTTATCCCTCCGCACCCTCGTCTTCGTACTCTGCACCCAGCTCGAGCTCTAACAGTGGTGGACCTTACCCAGCAGCTCCTTCATCTTCATATTCCGCACCCAGCTTCAGCTCAAACTCTGGTGGATCCTATCCGGCAGCTCCTTCATCCTCGTACTCCGCGCCCAGCTCGAGCTCAAGCAGTGGTGGACCTTACCCGTCGGCTCCCTCTTCCTCTTACTCCGCTCCCAGCCAGAGTGCCAATAGTGGAGGACCTTACCCGGCCGCCCCGTCTAACTCTTACTCGGCACCTGCCTCTCCCCCATCTTCATCGTATGGAGCACCAGTTTCGGGACCATCGTTCAGTGCTCCCTCGTCCTCATACGGAGCACCTTCAAGCGGATCTGGATCTAGTGCCGGCTCATTCTCGTCCAGCCATCAGTCATCTTCGTCCTCCTTCAGCGCATCTTCGGCGGGCAGCAGTGGTGGTAGTTACCCCTCGGCTCCCTCCAGCTCCTATGGAGCTCCATCGTCTGGATCCGCTCTGAACTTCCCCAGCGGACCCTCGTCCAGCTACAGTGCCCCGCCGACCGGCGGATCCTCTAGCTCTGGCCCATATCCCAGTGCCCCGTCCCAGGACTCCGGCTACGAGTACAACGGCCCCAGCCAGGTGCCCGAGACCATTCAGCAAGGATACAGTGCCGATGGTGGTTACACCTACCGCAAGAAGTGAGAAGTGAGCAGCCACTGCATCGCGAATACACCACGTGCCTTCAAATACTCAACCGCCACCACACCTGCACCCACATCATGTCATCGCCGTCGCCATTCACTCGCAATTGTAAATTATTCCCCGAATGACAACTAATTCGCCCATTCCTCTTTCTCCCCCATGGAAATCTAGCCGTAATTCATTGTACCATTAGATGTAAAACTCGAATCGTTTGTTAAATAAACAACTTGATGAAGATCATAGAAGACCGTAGAAGCCATCAGTTCTGGGCGATCGGTTCCCTTCACATCCGCGATATCCGCAATATCCGCGACATTCGCGGAATTCTTCCGTTCGGCTAATTGGCAGCAGAAGACAGTTGAAGGTTCAAATCGGCTAACAATGCAAATTTTTTGAAAATACCGGATATACCGGATAGCTGGCACATCCACTGACACGACAGCAACTCGGGCCACAATTAGAGGGCAATTCTTGAGCGACACAAGTTATGAGCTTATGACGGAGGGGGCGCTCATTTGGCGATTCCAATCTAATTGAGATTACAACTTAATTGCCACTGCAACGGCAACGGCAACTGCAACTGCATCATTAGCATGCTAATGGAGACCAGTTCAGATGGCGGCAGATTGGCAGCGAGCGGTGCTCTGACTATGGCAATTTAACCGACTGACTTTCGACTAAATAAAATAAGTAACTGTCGCATAGTTGCCACATGCTCGCCGATGTGAATCCCGAAAACGCATTGTCTTTTCGAACCGATGAGATGCGACACCGCCAAGAGCTCTTTGCTCTTTAAGTTGGGCTGAGAAATTTCCACCTGCGATAATACAATTCTATTGTCTGCGAATCGTCACTTGACGGCTTTTGTTGGGCCGTAATGTTTGCATTTATTTCACAAGCCAGTCAGTCAGCCAGTCAGTTAGTCGGTTAGTTCGCTAAATATGGACTGAGAAATAGAATAAATAACTAGACAGCGTTTGGGTTTGCGGCAACAGAGAAACCATTACAATATATAGATATATATACCTTTTATTTATTAAATACTTTTTTCGTTTCTTTTTGTTTGGGTTTTATTCCATTTCGCTATGCTTAAAACATTGATATGTATTCGGTTTAATTTGATCTTAATACATCATGTATATCGTAACCCTTTGTTCTATTCTCTTTTTCTTTTTTGGTTAACATAATGCCACTAAGGGAGCTTGGAATGGGTAGACCAAGTTTGGTTAACAATAACAGAAATATATTTTAACTAATTGCAAAACAGAATTGTTTCGACTGTTTTAACCAAGCGAAGTCATCGCAGTTGAATGCATAAATTATTTGGTGGTTTTGGTATAGTTGATAGTAACTTTACAAACGATTTTGAGTAATTTGCTTATTTACAAATCTGGTTAACTGCACAAAGAAACGCCTGAATGAAATACAAACACACTTAGTTATATATGTAGGTTTTCTGGAAATTTAGTTAAACTCCTTAGTTAAACGGATTCAAACACTATCGAAAATTACACACTCAGATCTGATGCAATAGATAATAACAATAACAACGAACAGATATATGTGTGTATCATATGGTAGGTAATCCTAGATGGACTCAAACACTTCTTAGATTCACTTATGTAAACGTTAAAAAACTTTACCCCAATACAACAAACATACGAGGCTCAATCAAAAAGCAGTCAACATTTATTACAATTAAGTGAGTTGTATGTAGTTATGGTACTTTATGGGGCTCAAAACCTTATCAAGTTATTTACGCATATTAGTTTACTTGAGTTGACTTTAGTTAGATTTAGATAAGTTCTTTCCAACGGACGAAAGAGTAACAAACGATCCAAGTGAATTACAAAAAGGGGAACCAACGCACATCTCTTCAATTCAATTCGATTTAATTTGGGTAATTTTAGTTCTCATTTTTAAGGTTTGAGGTTTGGGGTTCAGGCAGCGTGTGTTTAAATAGAATAGATTCTCCCTTGCCAAAACTTCTTATGCAGGTTTCTTGGGTCAATGTCGTGGGTGTTTCTTTGGGTATAACTTTCTAAATTCAGTGGCTGGCTTCTAATATGTATATATATGCTTGTGTATATGATTTTGTATAGGTATATATTTAGGTACTACGACGCAACATGTTTTATATAATTGCTTCATCCTTTGTCTGTTTTCCTGTGTATGATCTGCCATATACTTTGTGGTTTTTGCTCTTTGAGAGCAGCTAAAATTCATTCCTATATAACTCGATATGCCTCGTTTTCGCTCACTTACACAACTACTTTGTTTGCACATTATTGGGTATAGTTGATGCATAGTATATATATCTCGATTCTCCTATGTAGCTTACAAACAACAGTTACACGAGTGATATGTATATTGATAAACTTCCGCCTTGTTTTGATATGTTTCGTTTGCGTTATTTTGTGGATAGTTTTGCTTAGCTTTGTTCGTTCTGGAAGGACACATGATTCACATTTTATGCATCTATATAGTATATGATCGATATGCTAATGCCAGGAATGCCGATTCGTATTGCTTACGTGGCGCAAACACCTCTGTCCGTCTCAGTGGTTAAACATTTATTACAGCCTCTTCTCCGGCTTTTACTCTTTGGGCTAAGACGTATTTTTATGAAATTCTCGGGCCAGGAAAAATGCAGTTGATATGTATTCGGTTATTCGATTTCTGCATTTCTGATACCGTTTGAACATTTACACATATATTCTCTAACATCAAAATGAATACCGATAGAGCGCTTAAAGCTTGTAGAAACTATACACAATAAGTTGGCTAAATGAAAATGTAAACCTTACGATCAGCTTTCTGCACTTTTTACCTGAGCACTTGTGTGTTTAACGTACGTTTCCTAATACTTTCTGTACTCCGTCCACCTTCTGACAACCCAACTCCCCCGTTTAAATCCCCCTAACAAGCGCAACTTAAAATCGGATAATTCGCTGGATTCAACTGCAGCCTACTTTCGGGCCTTTGGGAATCTCGCTCTGGGCGACTACTCCGCTCAGAAGGCCGTGTTGTCCTGCTCCGGCGTGGGCATGGCCATCCCGCTTTGGCTCATCTGGCCACCTCCTCCCCCTGCGGGCTTCACGCCGGTGGCTGTGTCCAGCATCTTCTTGACCTGCGCCTGCGCCGTCTCCTGGTTCATGCGCCTCGCCTCCGCCACCGGCAGATCGTCGTCCGACTCCAGGGCGGGATTTATGCGGCCGTTGCGCTCATCCTTGCCCGCCATGGTGGCGGCGCCATAGGAGCGGGCCAGAGGTCCGGCCATCACGGATAGCTGCTCGCCCGATTCCGAGGGATCGCCGACGCGCTGCACATCCTCCGGAATGTTTACCACGCAACGGAAGTAGTCGTAGCTGGGCGGGAGCTTCCCGGACTCGAACATCATTCTGGAATTGGATAACAGAAAGAAGAGGTGAGTTATTAAATTTGTAAAATACAAGAAAGGGTGGTCAAAAAATAAATTAGTAAAGAACAATTATTTAATATTTCTATCTAAAATTATTAAGATATTATTATTATAATAATATTATTATATATAAGATAACAAATTTATTCAGTCAAAAATGTTCAATTAAAATTATAGTCGCTAAAAACTAAATACAGAAAATATTAACAAAGTTATTAAAACCTTTGATTGTGTAATTTATTGACATTGTTCATTTAAGTTTATTTCTTATAATTTACTAGGTCATATACTCACTTAGTCCACCAAGAGACGGAAACCAAAGTGATCAGGCTGAGCAACATGGCCATGGTGCGGAAGGGGAACATTTGCTCCTTCGTCTCCTCGTCGTAGCCGGGATACTTGATCAAGGGAGGCAGTCCAAGGATGGCCTCACCGCCCGACAGCCGGATGACCAGGGCCACAATGTATGCCGACAGGCTGCCGTACGTGTTGCAGTGCTTCTTGAAGTGCACCACCATCAGCAGCTGCGGGAACAGGATGACGTACACCAGATCGGAGCACATGGACCTGTCCAGGACGAAAGATAGAAACAGCCACTTTAGCAAATGAGCTGCCAGTCAGGTGAATAATGTATCTTCTCACGCACCACAATCCGTAGATGGAGGGAATGGTGAGCGCCATAATAGTGGCCAGGATGCCCACCACAATGATGGCGACGCGCATCACCCAAATGATTTCCATCTCGGATGCCTTCTGACGGAAAATCAATTTGTACACGTTCCGGGCGAACATGGAGGCGGCGGAGAGCACCGAGGAGTCGGCGGAGGACATCACGGCGGCGGAAACGGCACCCAGGCCAAAGAAGGACACGAAGTCGGGCGTGAGGTACTGCAGCACCATGGGCAGAATCATGCTTGTCTCGTCCACGGTGAGGGGATAGGGTCCCTTGTAGTCTGTCTCGTTCCAAGCTGTCAACAAAAATATGGAAATCGGTAAAAGGTTTTCCTATCTAAAGAATATCTAGAAAATAAAAGACCATGAATCGAAAATAGGTTCTGAAATCACTTGAAAAGTTATCTAAAAGTAAGCGATTCGTTACGAAACAAACCGTATTTGATTCCATTCCATACTTTTAGACACCTTTAGAAGTGTTTTTTTAAAACTCTACTGATTTTTTTAAGAAGTATTACATTTAATTGTCTAGGACTCACGTGTGGCCTTGGCAATGGCTCCGATGAGTACCGGGGGAATGGCCATCAAGATGCATCCAGCGGCGGCCACATAGGAAAGCAGTTGAGCCCGTCCGGCTGTCTTACTGGAGAGCACCCGCTGGAAATAGACCTGCCACGGAATGCCACCGAATACCAGCAGCAAGCCGTAGTCTATGTAAAGCCAATGCTTTTTTGGCTCCACGTGCCCTATCCAGTCCACCTCCAGGTCGCTCAGGCTGCCCACGTGCTCGTTGCTCCAGGCGAAGGGAATGCACATCCACAGGCCAATGAAGATGCAGAACAGCTGGATCACGTCCGTGTACGCCACGGAGTACAAGCCGCCGAACAGCGTGTAGAAGATGGCGATGCACGAGGACAGGATCACGGAGGTGCGGTGGTCCATGTCGATGATGACCGATAAGGTGGCGCCCAGGGCGGCCAGGATGCCGGCTGCCCAGAACACCTCACCGCAGAGAGCGGGCAGGAAGAGCAGGCCACCCATCCTCTCACCAAACGAATCCTGCAGGGGGTCCAGCATGGTAATGTATCCTTGCTTACGCATCGGATTAGCAAAGAAGATACCACCTATATTTAGAAGGTAGAGTAGAGATTTTAAATTTAACTATATTTATATTTCAGAAATCTTTATGGGTTTCTAAGCAAATGTTTTATATTATTTTAACGAATACATTTTAAAAGCTATAACAGATTTGAGCAAAACCTTAAAGTACACCCTTTCAGGTATTTAATTAAATTTGAATATTTCTTTAATCTAGAGCCTTTTAATAATTAATAATGAAGTAGAAAATTGGGTAATATTACATATTTCTATTCATATTTATAAATCAAACCTTGGCATAATGCTTAAGAATGCAATTTGTATTAAAGCAATAATATATTTCCCTAGTTATACTTAGACAATATAAAATTAGAATATTTAATTAGAATATATTATAAATTAGAATGAGACCCTAAGAAGGTAGAAAGTTATGTCAATATATTTTTTTTAAGTCATCAATCATTTTTAATAAACATTAAGAATTGTCTGGGCCCTTCAAAATATAACATTTATATTAAACTTTTTTATAGTGAGTACTAAATCGGAATTTTAACATTTTTATAATATTTCTTATGTGATTAAAAATGTGTTTGCATATTTCGAGGGAAAAATATATATATTTTGAAACATAAAGAGAGATATTTTGCCATGAATACTTTCTTATGAAAATACTTACCGAAAACCAAACTGAGTGCGTAGCCAAACGGAGCCTGGCACCAAACCAGGCCCGATGTGTATATAGCCTCCGCCGTGCCGTTGATGTAGCCGCCACCCACCCAGGTGGCCGTCATGGTGAAGATGCCCACGAACAGGCCGATGGAGCGGCCAGCCAGCATCACCTCCTCCTCCGAATCATTGCCGGATTGTTTCTTGCGACCGGCCCAGATGCCCACCACCAGGATCAGGAGGTAGAAGAGCACGATGCTCACTACGCCAGCGATATTGATCATTTTTGTAACTCAGGCGTTTCCTTGGCTTCGAATATCACGGCTCTCCACGCACTTGTGTAAACTAATACCCTCAGAATGGGGTTGACCTTTAGCTGTAACGGAACACGAAGTGGGGGAATGGAGGCACAAAGAGTTACAACCTTGAGCATAATGGTTAATATTGCTGCCCGCTGGCAGGAGCTTATTTTTCAATTAACTAGCAACAGCACAGGGCATTAATTATTAAGCCAATGCATTGGCCATGGCCGTTGGTGCGCCTGACCTTTGTCTGCAAGGATATAATTGGAGTTGGCCCCCCTCCAACCCCTTTATCCCTCCCAGCTTTCACAAAATGCGTCCTTGCTAATGGGGCTCAATTAACTAGTGGTTGCATTTAGTTTGACCTCTACAGCGATTATAGTTTTAGACACACTTCTAATATTATCGCTAAAAAGGTTAGAAAATATCTATAATTACTGAAACCTTGTATTTATAAATACATTTATTTTTTTAAAGAGCAAACGGTTAAACGCTATTGTTATCAACCTTAATAATTCAAATATTTTTTAAAGAAAGATTGTTAATATTTTTAAATTAATGACAACTAATAACCTTAAGATTCATTTACGTTTTATGTTTGCTTAGCCAAATTCAATTGATTGAAAAAATATTATTAAAATAAACGAAATATCTTATTAAAATTTGTCTTTTTTTTAAATAATGTAATGCAGTGAAAATTCAAAAAAAAAGTTTATTTAATTATTATACTCTAATAATAGTTATGCTTTTAGTTCCCAACTAATTTAACTTAAAGAAATCAAAATGTCCGGAAATTAATTCTGATTGTAGGCGCACGCACATTTCTTGCTTATATAACAAAAATACCCAGTTGGGAGCGGGACAGTCCGGACTCCGACTTATGTAAAATACATAAACAATTCAGACCACCTCGTGTGGGAAGTCAAGTCATACGTCATAGCCACGACAAACAAGCGGCCACCTCGAGAACACCTCAATACCACCCAATCCCGCAGGGGGCTTCATTCACAAAAATTGAGCAAAGCACGGAGCGCAACGGTTGGGGGTGATGGTAATGGTAATGGTAATCTGCGCATGTCCCAGCGAATTTGCGGGCAATCGAACGGGAAGCGACTCACCTCTGCCTTTGGGTTTGTGCGCCAAGTTCAAGCGGACGCCAATTTGCGACTCTGGAGCGTAGCGACGGCAATCAAAGAAGCGCGCCAATCAAATGCGCCTCGGCTTATGCAACATTTCCTGTTCCAACGGGCTTTCGGGATTCCCCGTAGTAGTTTAATCACAAATCCCTCGTATAGGAATCGGAATCGAGCTTAAGGACTCCGGCTAGGAACTCGAATCTCGGTCTGAGCACCAGTCTAGACCAGGCAGCAGTCGCCCCAGCGGAGGGACGTCTTCTGAGACGGACTGTTACGCGTCCTAAAATGTAACCCGCACATGTGCTCCGGCTGTTGAGGAAACGCGTGATGGCTGCATTAAACCAATGCCACTGGCTCCGCACCCGTGAAGTTGTCGAAAATGTCCCAGATTATATAAATAATGCAATCAAGTGGTAAAGGCTCCTTCAGTTTGTTTTGTAACCCTCCTAATTCGATATTAACTTCAAGGTGGACGCAACCAAATCGATATTTGGAAATTAATTTTGGAATTTAACTAAAGCCATTTGGTGTCCATAAACAAATGAGCAGTCAACTACGGGCTATTGGCAAACTAAAAACACGTTTCCACGTTCAGCCGTCGGACCGTGCTGGCGGTTAGAGCGACGAAATTGTAACTGAATTGGAAGTTCAAGTACTGGAGTCCCATCGGCGACCCGATGGCCTCTTCGACGGAAAATGGTAGAGCCGAGTGGGCGTTCATTTTGTGTATGTGCGCAGGAATTTTCACCGAATCAGCGGGAGAATCGTTTCGTGGAAGCCGCCACTCGACTCAAATTAGGGGTGATTTTCAGCGAAGGGGAGTTTGCCAGCATTGGAAATGTGGTGGAAAGCTCAACCAATCTGACTGGAGTCGTCAGAAAGTTCGTGCCCCTTAATGCCCCATTGAAAAAAATATGCAAAAAGGTCTAACATTTACAAAGTTACATTGAGAGGGTCTTAGAGAATACATCAATTACAGGTCTAGACTAGTTTAAAAGTATACCTAAATTGAATATTTGAAGTATTTTACTGCTACCGCTGAGCTAGTAGCCGAACTTCTCGTTCAAATGAGTGATGCCGTCACCACTTTGGTTGGATGGTGGCACCCACTTGGCGTACTTCTCGCTGTCTTCGTGCTCGGCCAGCTCGTCCAGGTCCATGTCCACATCCTGCCGCTGTTTGTTGCGCTGTCGTTGGCGCTGACGCCGCTTTTTCTGCGCTTCCTCTGCTCCCGGTTCCGGGGTGTCGTCTGCTGGGGTGCTGGTGTTTTCCATCGCTTCTGCTGCCATAGTTGAAGCAACAGTGTCGCTGGGAGCTGTCAAAGTTTCCGCTGTCGACATCACGTTGTCTGGTTTTAAGACTTCCGCTTCAGCGTTTGTTGGTTTACTCTCTTCCGTTTGGCCAGGAGGTTTGCTTTCCTGCAAGTTCTCAATCTCTGGAGTCGGTGGCTTTGCCACAGCTTCCTGTTCCGCCTCTCCCTCCTTCGATAAGCCCACCTTCTTTTCCTTTACTGCTTCCTCGGGCTCTTCCTCTTCAACTTCCTCCTCGTCCGAGGCAAATGCATTTGATTGGGGCTTAGTCTGTGTGCTCGGCGGCGCTTTGACCACCTTGAATTTGCTGAACTGATTCCTTTTGCCAATCATGGGTAGTTGCTTCCTGGCTACATTCCCCTCCTGGGCGCACGATTCCTTCGTGGCTGTGGCACTGCTTGTGGCGAATGGCAAAGCTGTTGGCTTGGCTATCTTTAAGAGGCGTTCAATCTTTTGCTGCTCGCCTTTGAGACGTTGCTGCTCCAACTGTTTGGGATATCAGAAGTGGTAATTATGAGTAAAAAAAACTTGTTCCGGTATAACTACTAACCCTTAGCTTTTTGATCTCGGTTTTATCCAATTGCTCAACATCTTCGGTTAGCATATCCATGAAGTTGTCCAAATCATCGCCTTCAGCTTGCTGCTTGACGGCCAGCTCTTTAGACTTTTTCTCCTTTTGTTGGTAAGATGCGATCTCTTGTTCTACCTTATCCATTTCCATATTAAGGTCAATCTCCTGTTTTAGCTGTTGATGATTCGATTAGTTAATATTCAAAAATAAGACTTCCGAAACGTACCAAATCCTCATAGGTAAGGGTGACGTTAGCACCTGCGTTCTCCTTCCGCTGCTTCTTGCGCGCCACATCCCCAGTTCGATCCCAAAACTCATCCTCGTCGTCAGAGTCCCCTGGCTTAATAATTTTTCTTTTTTGAGCCTCCTGGTTCGCCTGACGGAGTACACCGTGCCTGTCCAGCGTGCGACATGCCTCCAGGGCGCACTGCACTACGCAGTCCTTCTTGCGCCCCTTGTGGTTGACCTCCACAGTGATCGGCCTGCCATTGGAGTCGTCTAGTGGCAGCTCCACCCTGCAGACGAAGGAGCCGGTGGACAGTTCATCGCATCTGTACTCTAGATTTAGACCCTCACGCTCGAAGAAGCCGCGTAACGTTTTCTTAGGGTCATCGAAGAAGAGCTCTTCGTTGTTGGTGCTGGCATAGGGATTGTGGCTGAGATCCGTCTCCTCGTCGGCGTCATCGCCCATGCCCCAGCTGACGCCCTCGTTGCGCTCCCGCTCCTCGGCTTGAAGAAGCCGTATTTCCCTCTCTACCGCTGCGTCGGCCAGTTCCTTCTCCCGTTTCTGACGCAGCTCGGTGACAGAGAGCTCCGATTCGGGCTCCTCATCCTCGCCGGGACCCTGCAGGATGTAAACGCGGGTGCTGCCACCCAGCTTGAGCATATGCCCGACCCGCATGCGGATGTAGACCTTGGGCGGCACGCGCTGTTTGTTTAAAAAGGTGCCGTGTGTGCTCCCCATGTCGTAGATATACCAGCCCTCCGGTTGTTCATTTCTAGCTGGCTCCTCCTGGTCTTCTGCCTCTTCCACTTCGTCAAAGTCTAGCTTTGGCGGATCCTTGGGCTTGTACTGCAGCACCACGTGGAAGCGCGAGATCGTTGGATGGGCAGCAGGCACATCGTTCTCCGGCAGACGACCGAAGGTCCACACCGCCTGTTGCTGCAGTTGACGCACCGTGTCGATAATCTGGCCGGATTTGAGCACCTCAAAGCTGTAATTCTGATCGCCGGATGGCGGAGCGGACCATTTGGGCACCTTGTACGGACAGACGGCCGCTGGCGAGGATTTGGGAGCTTTGAGAATTTTCGGCGGCGGAGGTGGCGGCTCCGCGGGAACTTCGGAGCGCGGCTTTTCCGTGATGATCACTTTGGGTTTGGGCAGAGGAGCGGGCACTTTGAACTCGTTCATGCTGACGGTAAGGCGAAATATGTTAATTTTCAGAGCAGTAAACAAATTTTCGCGAAGACCGCAGCTGATTTTCTGCGCAGAGGGCCCAGGTATTGCCCGCCAAAAAATATCGCTTTTTTCAACAGTTGTCCCAAAAGACTTAACTTTTATTTCTCATTTTTCCTTTATATTTCTTGCTTAAATCTATTTTTTGTTGATTTGTTTTTTAACACAAATTATAAATACAAACATGCAGTGGTAGCGGCGATAGTGTCCCAAAAACTAACTTTCTTGTCCCAAAAAATTGATATTAATTTGAGAACTCGGTATTATATTCGCACGGTCACATTGACCCCGCGTCGTTTTGTTTTGTTTTTCGTTTTTATTTTTCTATTATTTTTTATAATAGTTAAATGAATATGAATAGTTAAAACTCTACCGATATGGCGTTTTCGCAGTCCTTTAACTTTGGGAACAGCACCTTCATGGAGCTGGAAAAAGGGATGCAAGCGGCCGGAAAAGAGAATACGCACGTCGGAAATGCCAATACCAAAGGAGCAAGTGTTGGCAAGGATTCGAAGGTGGCAAGCCAGGATAACTACTCCGAGTTTTTCAAGGATGAGTTCTCCTACGAAGTCAATCAAGCCAAGAAACCCACAGAACAGTCTCTTATAAATGTGTCCCAGGTTATGGACAATTTTGAAGGAGTTTCTCAACGTGATTCTGGAGATGTTAGCATCTCATCCGCATTCGACGCCCAAATCTGCACGGAGGATGTGTTTGATACCGAGGACAAGGACAGGGAAGCAGCCCAGGAGCTCCCCGATTTGGACGAGAGCAGCTTTCTCTGCCCCCCACAGGATCCGGAGGCTTCCCAGCAGCTGAAGGAGGACATTCTGCGCAGTCGGTGCGTTGTGGCCAAGCAGGGTGGCTATCACGAAACCTCGCGAATAAGCCAGAACCTAAGCAGTATGTCACCAAACCAACTGCGAGTGTCACCCAACACTTCCAGCATTCGGGAATCGGTGCCCCAGAAAATGGACCCACCACCCGACCTAGAGTCTCTTAAATCAATAGCCTCGTGGAACCTACCCCACTGCATTCAGGCTGAATACAAGAAGAAGGGCGTCGTTCGAATGTTCGACTGGCAAGTAGAGTGCCTGTGCAAGCCAAGGGTGCTGTTCGAGCACTGTAACCTAGTGTACTCCGCACCCACGTCGGCCGGCAAGACTCTTGTCAGTGAGATCCTGCTGCTCAAAACCGTCCTCGAGCGCGGAAAAAAGGTGTTGCTCATCCTGCCCTTCATTTCGGTGGTGCGCGAGAAAATGTTCTACTTGCAGGATCTGCTCACGCCGGCTGGGTACCGTGTGGAGGGTTTCTACGGTGGATATACACCTCCCGGAGGCTTTGAAAGCCTCCATGTGGCCATCTGCACAATCGAGAAGGCCAATTCCATTGTAAATAAATTGCTGGAACAGGGCAAACTGGACTCGATCGGAACAGTAGTGGTCGACGAGGTTCATCTCATTTCGGACAAAGGACGCGGCTATATTCTGGAACTATTGCTGGCTAAGATCCTGTACATGTCCCGACGTAATGCACTGCAGATTCAGGTGATCACAATGTCTGCCACTCTGGAAAATGTGGAACTGCTGAAGAGTTGGTTGGACGCCGAGCTGTACATCACAAACTACCGTCCGGTTGCTCTTCGGGAGATGATCAAGGTGGGGACAAAGATCTTCGACCAGCAGCTGAAGTTCCTGCGCGATGTTTCCCAGCTGAAAGAGATGCGACAAGCCCTGAGCAACGATTCTGACGATGTGGCCCTGCTCTGTATTGAGACGTTGCTAGAGGGCTGCTCCGTCATCGTGTTTTGCCCCTCGAAGGACTGGTGTGAGAACCTTGCCGTTCAGTTGGCCACTGCTATGCATGTTCTCATCAAGTCTGGCTCCGAGTTGGGCCGACGTTTGCGAGCCAATCTCAATCCGGGGGCCATCGAGGAAGTGAAACAGCAATTAAGGGATATTCCCACAGGTTGGTAAAGGAAGATCGATTATTTTGTATTGTTCTGCGACTTTAATTCTCTTATCTAGGTCTCGATGGGGTCATGTCCAAGGCTGTTACCTACGCCTGCGCCTTTCACCATGCCGGTCTAACCACGGAGGAGCGAGATATTGTTGAGGCCTCCTTCAAAGCGGGAGCGCTTAAGGTTCTAGTGGCCACCAGCACACTGAGCTCAGGTGTTAATCTGCCTGCTCGACGAGTGCTCATTCGCTCGCCTTTGTTTGGAGGCAAGCAGATGAGCTCCCTAACATATCGTCAGATGATCGGACGAGCAGGTCGCACAGGGAAGGACACGCTGGGTGAGTCCATTCTCATATGCACGGAAAGTAATGCAAGAATTGGCCGAGATCTGGTGTCAGCTCAGCTACAGCCCATTACATCCTGTCTGGAAATGGATGGAAGCGTAAGTTAACAAGCATATAGCTTGATCAATATAAACAAAATTCCCATCACAGACTCACTTAAAACGCGCTCTCCTGGAGGTCATATCTTCTGGTGTGGCGAGCACGAAACAGGATATTGACTCCTTCGTGAACTGCACGCTGCTGAGTGCCCAGAAGGCCTTGCAGGCGAAAGACCAACCACCAGATGATGACTCGGACTCCCACTACATTAGTGATGCCCTGGACTTTCTTGTTGAGTACGAATTCGTGCGCCTGCAAACGGACGAGGAGGCGGAGACAAAAGCCTATGTAGCTACGCGTCTGGGTGCCGCCTGTCTGGCTTCTTCCATGCCGCCCACTGACGGCCTCATTCTCTTTGCGGAGTTGCAAAAATCCCGTCGTTGCTTCGTCTTAGAGTCTGAGCTCCATGCTGTATACCTAGTGACGCCCTACTCCGTGTGCTACCAGCTGCAAGATCTCGACTGGCTGATTTATCTGGATATGTGGGAGAAGCTAAGCCCGGCCATGAAAAAAGTGGGCGAATTGGTGGGGGTAAAGGAAGCATTTCTTGTGAAAGCGATGCGTGGTCAAACGAAACTAGACTACAAGCAGATGCAGGTGCACAAGCGGTAAGTTACTTTTGGCAAAGTTAAAATAACAATTTTTAATAATTCCTTACATACCCTCCAGCTTCTACACAGCTTTAGCACTGCAAGAGCTAGTAAACGAGACGCCAATAAACGTGGTGGTGCACAAGTTCAAATGTCACCGAGGCATGCTACAGAGTCTGCAGCAAATGTCCTCCACGTTCGCGGGCATTGTTACGGCCTTTTGCAACTCCCTGCAGTGGTCAACCCTCGCCCTGATCGTTTCCCAGTTTAAGGACCGACTCTTCTTTGGCATCCACAGGGATCTTATCGATCTGATGCGGTTACCCGAACTGTCACACAAGAGAGCACGTGCTCTTTTCGATGCGGGATTTACCAGTTTGGTAGAGCTGGCGGGTGCCGATTCCTTGGAATTGGAGAAAGTGCTCTTTAACTCGCTCAGCTTTGACTCGGCGAAGCAGCACGACCACGAGAACGAGGAGGAGGCGGCCAAGCGCAATATGGTACGAAACTTCTTCATCACCGGTAAGGCAGGAATGACAGTGGGTGAGGCTGCTAAACTGTTAATAGGCGAAGCTCGCCAGTTTGTGCAACACGAGATCGGGGTGGGCAGCATTAGGTGGAGTCAAGTGGAGCCGGAGGCGAGTGGAGGACCCGAGTCAGTAAATAGAGGCGAGGAGGTAGATATTCACATGTCGCTCGAGGAGGAGCAAGTTCGAAACCAGCCGACACAAAAACGGAAACTGTCAATGGAGGAAAAGGGGATTGCCGGAAGTGCTTCAAAAAACAAGATTCAAAAACTGGATCCACTGGTTGAGAAACAAAATAAGTCACAGAAGATCCACTTTGTCGGAAGCGTTAATCATACTAAAAATATTAATAGTCAAAATAATATAACCAATACTCCTTTACAACCGATAAAAAAACATTTCGACGGATTAAAGCCAAGTTCTTTAAAGGATTCTCATCAAAAGCCAAATGAGAAAGCTCCAGAAATATTAAAGACTCGACCGATATCTTCTAGCACCAATGTTCAAGAATATAAAGGTCAATCATCAGAAAAGCCTTTGGATAAGATGGAAAACCAGGGACCTATTAATCGTGATCCGATTCAAAAACCTGCTGAAAAGAGCACGGTTAATACTAGATCTGAAGTCGCAAATAAGGGAGTAAAATCGGTAACAGATAGCAAAGTTCAAGAGAAGGTGTCATCACCTTCAAATCGGCACATTCATAGTAAAATCCAAACAACAGTGGGTAACTCTAGCGGCGAATTGCCAAAACAGATCCTTAATAAGGAAAGCAGTCCAGTAGTTCCAAGATCTAATAACCAACCTGCAATCGAAGAGAAACCCAGCACCAGTCATAATGCACGGAAGGAGATACTAAGAAAAGAAATGGCTGAACGTCGAAGGATAGCTTTAATGAAGATTCAGCAGAAATGCGCAGAAAGGGAGAACCCGAACAAAGATCAACACATACAAGCAGCCAGATCTGCACCACTTCCTCATAACCACACCCCAAACAGGGGAAACAATACACAAATTAGTCATGCGGCCCGAAACAGTCAACGTCAGCCAGAGCTGGAGTCTCCTAAGACTGCGGTAGCCATCAATCCACCAATGGCCATGCCATTCAAAACGCCGTCCAGCGCAAGTAGAGAATCTTCGGTAACCCCCATCAGTGTTCGGATCTCATCTCCCCAAATGCCCCGCAGAAGCCCTCGAAATCATACTCTGTCCCCGTCCAATACTCCGAATCGCACTGCCTCTAGAAAGGTTTCCACCGCAGAGCAGGATCTGTTCATGGCAGACGATTCATTTATGCTGAACACCGGACTAACTGCTGCTCTTACGGCCGCCGACGGTAAAATGGCTGCTTCTTCGGAGGCGGATGAGATCCCTAGCTCGCAACCCAAAGAACCGGAGGTGATCTGTGCCCTGACTCCCCATGCATCAAGGATGATGCGCTCCTACCAGTTGCGTTCGCAGCGCTTGCAGAGTCCCAGTTCACGATCAAACAGTAGCTCTACCGGAACCGGAGCTTCCCCTAGTGAAACCGAAAAGGAATCGGAATCAAAAGTGGCTTCCTCAATGGAACTTTCGGACATGTCTTTGGAAAACTCGTTAATGAAAAATCCAATGCATCTGAATGCGTCACACATCCTGAGCTGTTCCAAGGTTGATGACAGTGCTTCTAGCTTTTCAAGCTGTGAGATCATCGACGTGTGCGGAAACAGGCAGTTGTTTCAAGGTGCCCTCATGGAGCTCCTCGAAGCCACGCGCTGCGGCTTCAGTGTGGGCATGCAGGCTCAAGCGGGCAGACAGAAGCCCCTGATCGGAGCCAATCTTCTGATCAATCAGGTTGCGGCAGCAGAACAGCGGGAGGCGGCTGGGGGCAAGCAGGTGCTTTTTCAAGTGGACGACAGCAACTTTATCGCCGGCTTATCCTTCTGTCTGGCGGACAATGTAGTCTACTACATGAACATGCAGGAGGAAGTTCAGGCGAGGGGACAGGGTGTGCCCACCAGTCTAAAGATACAGGAAGTGTGTAAGCTGATGGCTCGAAAGGAGCTCACATTAATCATGCACGATGGCAAGGAGCAGCTAAAGATGCTGCTAAGGGCGATTCCGCAGCTTGAGAAGATTAGCGTGAAACTGGAGGATCCCAAGGTGGGAAACTGGCTGCTGCAGCCGGACAAGACAATGAGGTTTCATAATTTGGTAACTATTAAATATAATAACAAACAGTTCTGTCTTAATTGTTGATCTTGCAGTGCCAGCAGTTCGCTCCAGAGTGCACTGCCCTTGCTGATCTTTGCGGCAGCGGTCGTGGTTACAGCAGCTACGGCCTTGATAGCTCCAGTGCTATTCTTCCAAAAATAAGGGCGTCCATCGAGGCTTGTGTAACAGTGCACATAATCAAGGGTCAGATCGAGAATCTTGAGAGGATCGGCAAGGGCGAATTGCTAAAGTTTTTCCAAGGTGGGTTGATGGCGATTCTTGATAAAAGCTACAATAACACGCATTCTTTTTAGATGTTGAAATGCCCATTCAAATGTCTCTTTGCCACATGGAGTTCGTAGGGTTTCCGGCCATGCAGCAACGGCTGCAGCGGCTCTTCCAACAAATGGTAGCCGTTACAAAAAAGTTGGAGGTAAAGATCTACGAGCAGCATGGCTCACGTTTTAATCTTGGCTCGACGCAGGCCGTGGCTAAGGTTTTGGGACTTCACCGGAAACCCAACGGGCGGGTAACCACCTCGCGGCAGGTGCTGGAGAAGTTGGACTCGCCCATATCACTTCTCATTCTGGGCCACCGAAAGCTGGGGGGCCTTTTGGCTAAGAGCATTCAGCCGCTACTGAAGTGCTGCCAGGCGGATAGAATTCATGGCCAGAGCATAACCTATACCGCCACAGGTCGTATTTCCATGACAGAGCCGAATCTACAGAATGTGGCGAAGGACTTTGCAATTAAAGTCGGAGCTGATGCCATCAACATATCCTGCCGCTCGGCATTTGTACCCCAGGATGAGGGGCGATGCCTCCTATCGGCGGACTACTGTCAGCTTGAAATGCGAATCCTTGCCCATTTGTCCCAGGACAAGGCTCTGCTGGAGGTGATGAACTCGCCGCAGGACCTTTTTACAGCCATTGCGGCGCACTGGAACCGAATAAACCAGTCCGAGGTGTCGGAGCACGTGCGAAACGGCACTAAGCAGATCTGCTACGGAATCGTCTACGGCATGGGCATCCGCTCTTTGGCTGAGTCCCTGAAGTGCAATGAGCAGGAGGCGAAGATGGTATCCGAGCAATTCCATCAGGCGTACAAAGGCATTCGAGAGTACACCCAGAAGGTGGTCAAGTTTGCTCGCAACAATGGATATGTGGAGACCATCATGGGCCGCCGGCGCTACCTGGACCACATTAACAGTCCCGAAGAGCAGATGAAAAGTAATAATTCCCAAGCAAAAATATATTATTGATTTAAAGATATATTTTTTACCCCGCAGATCAGGCCGAGCGTCAGGCCATAAACTCCACTATTCAAGGTGGTGCTGCGGATATTGCGAAAACTGCAATATTGAAAATGGAAAAGAACATGGCCCGGTATCGAGGAAAATTGGGCCTGGGGGAGAGATCAGTTAACCTGGTTATGCACTTACATGACGAACTGATCTTCGAGGTCCCTGCCGACAAGGCCAAGAAAATTGCCAAAGTACTGAGCCTTACAATGGAGAATTGCGTGAAACTTAGTGTTCCACTCAAGGTTAAGCTGAAGATAGGACGCAGTTGGGGTGAATTGCAAGAGATTAGGGTGTAATTTGCTTGACTTGTTTTTATTGTAGTATATCGAATTTTATAGGAATTTTAATCAATTTTTAGACTGCTTTGCCTCCCACTCCGTCCAGGAACCGGCATAAGCCTTGGCGCTGCAATGAATTATTAGAAAAATAAATGTACATAGCTTATACTATTTAATTTTGTATAGTACTTGGTAAAGCCTAAGGTGCTGGCCAAATTGGCGGCTCTAGCTGCTCGTCCTCCCGCCTTGCAGGAGAAGATCAGGACCGCATCGATCGCCGGCTTTTCGCGTCCATATGTCTTCGCGAAGTCGTTGTCCGGCAAGTTCAGAGCCTTCTCCAACTCGGCCACTGGAAATAGAGGAAAGGTGTGTCTGACAAGGCGGTAATCCCCGGACTTTGGAGCTCCTCACATGGAATGTTTATGCTGGCGGGCAGGACCCCTGTCTCCTTTAGCTCAGTCTCGTTGCGGACGTCGAACAGGTACTTTTCCGGGTGATTTGGAACATCCTTGACTTCGTCGTATGTGGCCATAGCAATTTTTATTAATAAATGAATTCAACACCAAATTAAACCCGGTAAGCCAACTTATCTGAAGTGTGACCACTAATCGATCAATTTAATATACCAGGGGAATCTAGCAAAATATACCAAGACAAAGGTTAGTGTCGCCTATTATTTTTAAATTTTAAAAGTAACTGAAATATATAAATCTACATTCAAAATGACCACCCTTTTTGACAAAAGTTAGGCATTACCTAAGATTAGGAGAGTTTTAAAGCACTTTTTATGTTATTTAATTATTGCCCCAGAATCACCATGAAATACAAAACAATAGGCTTTTCCAAAAATGTTTTTTATTTTTTATACAGTTTAAAAATCAGTTTTAATTTCACATTTAATAATATTCAAGAATTTACTAATTACAAAATAGTCGAAGCACAGGCAATAATTTGCACTTACAAAATTTAAATTGCACAACATTTTCATTTCAATTCTTGCGGGTTTCCATGAGGGAGCATTTCAAACAATAAACTTAGAATGCAAAATAAATATAGGAAATACATGCTTTTTACCCACGTTTTCCAGTTGTAAATTTCAATATAACAAATATATTTACTGTGTATCAAAAGTGGTTCGGTTGCAAATTAATCACCCTTCAAGCTGCACATCGACATTAACCTAGATATTGTATACAGTATAACTTCATGCTTTTTCATTGGCATTGAACAATTGTTTCTTCACACTTTCTTAAGTCAACAACGACATTTGGGCGCTCAACACACACTGTTTGTCTTATTCCACTAGGCTGGTTTCTCTTCTCTACATTACATCTCGCTTTACAATCGATTATCCAAAAATATGCTATGTTTGTGTAAATTCTACGAATTTATGATTGATATCTCTTATGTTGCAATGCTTGCCATTGCCGATTGTGTGTTTTAATACCCAGTTTAGCGCGTTCATAACGAGTAGAGTACATATAAAAAGGCAGTCGCCTGCACTGTGGTTGAAAATAAACAAATCGAACATAGTGCATCCTAGGAGTTGGTCTCTAACTGACGTCTGTGTACGTGTTTGGGCTGTGAGGTTGTGGGATCTCGGGTGTATATTACAGGGCACTACTCAAAGCGCTTTGACGGCGGTACTAAGTGCTCCGGCAGAGTGGTGGGCAGCTCGCAGCCTTCCAGCTTGACGTTGATTAAGTGCAAGGCCAGCGCGAACTCGTCAGCGTCCAGGAAGCCATCGCCATCGACATCCGAAAGCTTCCAGATCTTGCTGAGCACCGAGTTGGGCAGTTTCGATTTGATGAGCTCCTGCTTGGCAGCTGAAAGTTAACGATGGATTAGTTTTCATTTCCAGGATATTATTTAAGCTTATCCACTTACTTGCACCGGATATTTTGCCATCCACGGGTCCCAGCCCGTTGAAAATGCCGTCTGTGCGCGGCTTGTCCTTGTTGCAGATCCAGTCGTGCTCCCCGTAGCCGGCATCGATGCCCTCGCCCTTCATGTAGCCGAAGGGTGAGACGTGGTCGTCGATGACTCCCTCGAAGGCACCACCTGTTGAAGAAGAAGTGGGAAAAAGGTCAGCTCGGTATTTGATATTCTGTGTTTCGCCATAAATTTGCATTAATTAAGCATGTAATCTAAGTTGATCGGTGCGTCGCCGTGCACAAACATTCAATTTGAGGCAATTAAAACCTTCAGATCGTTTTGGCTCCAATTGACGTCGCCGCCGTATCGTGACTAGGCCGGCTGACCGACTTAAGCATGTACTTTGCCGGCTACTTTAACAGGCAATTGTGGTGCATTCTGGGGGCAATTGAGATGGGCGGTGCAGGTTGCCAAGTGCGATTTCAATTCACTTTTTTGAAGTTCCTCAATTTGTTTGCGGCCTCTTGCTGTCGCAGCGTGTAATTGAAAAGGGCTCTTCGGGTGGTATTACTAAAAGTCCTCAACCAAAATTTCCTGCTTTTCATACTTTAATTGACTTATGCATTTAATTTATGTGAACGATCTTAACATATGTTTAATTTCTTGTCTTAATTGAATTCTATGGTTAGTGATACTACTTAGACAAATTCTTTTAGAAATAAAAATTGAAAAACGCAACTCATAGTTACTTCTTAGTATCTGTCAGAAACATTTTAATTATCAAACCGAAATTTCGCAAGTCTTCATAAATGTGTATGTTATTATTAAGTTTATACATGCGCAAGCACTGTTATTATATTTTTTGTGTGAATTGGATATTTCCATAAGAGAATATGTTTTACGTTAAATTAAAAAGTAGTACATGTATACTTTGTGGAATCAGTCTGAAATCTTTTTTATTACAAATTTCGCAACATTGATAAATTGACAAGTTTATTTGGTCTATGGAATTTTTTTTTATAAGAACACACACATTATTTGTTTTACTTTTTATACAATGATTCAATTTTAATGAGGTATGGATTTTGTCATCACACTGTTTTAAGAAACAACTACTGAGGGTGCTTACGTCAATGTCTATCCCTGTCCCCGCCTCCTGTTCGGCCTCAGGTTCAGGATCAGCCTTAGCTTCTAGCTCAGGCTCAGAATCAAACTCCGGGCCAGCCCCAAGTTCTGGACCTGAACCAGGATCGACATCTTTATCATTCTCGACATTGCCCACCCGACTAGTGCAACTGCTGAACAGACGAAGCTGCTGTTGGCGCAGATTTTGCAGCCAACGATCGAAGCGCTCCGCAAACTGCTGCCGCTGCGAACTGGGGGTCAGAAGAGCAGGCTCCTCGGACACATCGAAATCCTCGTCAGAATCCTCTTGGGTTATGCAAAAAAGAGAGAAAAAAGGTTGACAGAGGAGCATCTGGAGAGTGCGGGAGTGCGACTCGGACGTGGAAATCAAACCAAGAAAAATTAGTGGGCCAATGGCGAAAACGAAAACCAAAAGAACGTCGAACAGAAGAACTTATTTCTGCAAGATCGTGTTAGATATGTGTATAACTATTTAGCGACATATTGCTAAACATGTGATGCCCGCACGCGTTCAGATGTGCGGTGACTCAAGACAGAGGTTGAAAACCAGACCAAGTGCGATCCAGGGCACGGTCCATATCAGACTGATAACATTGAGTATATTTTCGAATGTAAATTCCATTACCGAAGCAACAGAAACTATAAAGACATCGCTGTACACCCAAATTATCCGAGACAAAACAACGGAAATGCTATGAAATAAAAGCAAACAGTGCACCGAACAAAACGAAAATAAAATCAGAGATACATATACACACACAGAGAGACCCATGCACTAAATTAGAGCCCAGAGTTCTTGACTTTGATTTCGAGCTGTTTGATCGCGATTCGCTTTATCAACGCATTCCGCCTCTCTTTCAAGGGTACGTCCACAGAAATTCTTCTGCCCCTTTCCCCTAGTGTAATAATAAACGAAAAGTTCATTCACTTGCCGAGTAATTTTTAGGCGCTATCGAATACAAGCTGCAGTATAATAAACACAAATCGACACCCAATGCCCGAAACTGAGGATGACACATTCCGTGAAATAATGATCCCCCCATGACATCAGTCGATCGCTTTCAGCAATCGTATTATGCATAGATTTTCCCCCAGAAAAATGTATACGTTTGTATTTGCCGAATGCTTTCGTACAAGGCCATACGAAATGCGCTAATAGTTAAATTAAAAAGCCACTCAAGTGGTCCGCAATCCAAAAGGCGAACTAAAAAGATCAGCCACGGCCTCAGACAATGGAACAATAGTTGAATGGATGCTCCCGAACCATATATCATAGTAAAATGCTTTCTTCCTGCACTTAGCGCTAGTTCATCTGAAATTCCTATTCCCCTCTGGGAACTCACCGGCGGATTAGGCGGAGGATGAGCCAATTTATGCCACACGCCCCAAGTCAGAATCGGAGGAACACAAATTGATACGCGGCCTCAGGTTGCCAACGCCATCAAAAGTATCTGTATCTGACGGCAACCGGTTCGCCTCACAGATATCTCACCCGAAGTGGGATGGTGTGTTCAGGAATCGTCTGAACTGGGCGTGGGGATTATTCTGTGGTCCAAGTCTGTGCTTTGTTTAATCAGCTGGCCGCATGACAAATGCGCCGGACAATCTTCTCAGGAGACCCTAGAGCATTGGCTCTCTGTCTTAAAAGCCAGCAAATATTGGAATGCAAAGTTTTATTATGTATTTTCCTCCCCATTTTAAATTGCTTTGCCTATTAGAGAGTTAATTATTTTCGTTCTCCTTGTCTGGCTGATTGTGTACAGAATTAATCCTATCACACGCTTTTGGATTTTAGTTTTCGTTTAGGGAATGGAAACGTTCGAATAAAATAATGGACTTGCTGATAACGAGTATTGATGTATGGAAAGTGTATTTAGAAACTGCTGACAAAGCCTTTTGTTCGAACGATAAAAGGGTGTGTACATTCAGAACAAATGATTATATAATGAGCAATAAAATTAGTAACTGGCTCATAATAAGTTGCTTGTATCTAAAGCCGAAGATAATTTGTAATTGATTAGTTTAGTGGTGAATGCTACGTTGGTAATCCATTGAGCTACTCATAATTTTTGGTATGATGCATGAAATAATACCTACATATACAAAGCGCAACTGAAAAACATGTCTAAAAAATTCTCCAGCTTAGCCTGACCAGTAGCAACTGTCTACTTATTACTTAATTATAGTGTTTACTTTGCAGATAAACGAAATAAGCAATAGAAATTAGAGCACTGCTAATCATAGAACCCCAGACAGGCAAGGGCAAATAGGCTGTGAGTTCATTCTTAGTCCACCCAATTAGACTTAGACTGACTTTTCTGGACTGATAACAAATTTGAAGATGGCAGTCTGACTCGGCCTTACATTGATTTTTATCTAAAAGTTGACTTAGAGTAGCAACATTGCCTGGCAACCCGATAAGGGTTGACAAACAAGCCACTTTTGCTTGGCCCACTAACGAATGCATGAGGGAACACGAACAGGTGTGCTGGAAAAGCTCCACAGAAAGTGTAATTAGGCCTTGAACTCTGGGCCACGCACGAAGTTCATAGGTCGCACTAAAACCGGTCGCTTCGTCCACTTGCATCAAACTGAATTGGCTTTCAATTAAAGCTTAGTCTGTTTGTAGACGACTACAGTGCGACTGGCGCCTCTAGTCTCTGATTAACTATATAACTGCCCCTTCCAGCGTCAGATTCTCCCCTTTAAATTCGATTGTTTTGCTGGGCGTTTTAGTTGGGCATTGGGTGCGTGGTACTCGTCATGGCTGCCTGGATGCGTCTGCTCCGGAGAGCCAGATCCACTGGGGGCGCTCGACTGTGAAATGTTTATCATGCCCAACTGTACGGCTCGTATTTTCTATTTTCTTTATGACTCATGCCCCAATTTAAACGAACCCTGAGCTGGAGCTATCGATATTTTCCAATGATTACATCATAGCCACGAATCTTATCTAGCCGGTGAGAATACAGCAGTCTCGGTTTACTCCTTGCCATGACGAAAGCAACTCGATAATTACTGACATATAAATGGAATAATTCCCGAGACCACGCCCAGCCACGGTCGCCCTTTTTTCGAGTATAAACAAGTTGATTATCATTTTGGCACCCAGTATTTGCAAAAGATACGAGAGTACGTGGTTCTAGGCTATATTAGCTTCCACCTCGATGTTTGGTTTTGCACAGAAAGTGCGTGCGTGTTGCCTAAGCGCTAAACTGACACCGACTTTTTCCCCTTATCAGTTTTCGGGGCTTATCACTTTGTTTATATAGCTCAAATATGTTTCGTATATAGTATAGGGTTATATATAGTCGTTGCCAAGGCATTGCATAATTCGCCAGCGAACGCGAACAGGAACCTGCGAATTTGGGCCAGGGAAATATTGTAAGAAAGCGAGCCTGGATCTTGCAGTTGTAAATGTATCCATTAAATACATTTGGCTATGGTCTATCTCTAGCTGTATCTGAATTTAACCCGCTCACTCCACTTGGCAAAACTTGTTTTTCTTCGCATTTTGGCTTGGCAAATATCTGGGTTAACTGGGGAATTTTTCTCGCCGCGCATGCGCAATATTTCAGTGCGATGGGAAAGCGAAAACGCCAGCGAAACTCTCGTGGAAAAGCAAGAAATTTCTCGAAATCTACTCAGCATGAGTCGGAAGTCTGATTCCTCATTCGGATGGCTAGCAAGTGCAGCGTGACTAATGCGATAAGCGGTGCTCTTGGGCACTTACCCTTGACCACAGGCTCGGTGACGAGCGACATCTCCTCCTGCGGGATCATCTCTATTAGCCGCGCAATGTCCTTGGCCAGCATGTTGTCTACGATGTCCAGCAGGTGCGGCTTGAGCGAGTGGAACTTGGTGAAGTCCTGGTGCTGCAGCACTTCCTGCATCTTCTTGATGTCGGGGAAGTCTCCCGGAGAAATGGATTGCTCGCGCTGGATGCGATCGTACACCTGGCCGAGGTTCTTGATCAGGTCCTTCTTCTTGCTGTCCTTGCCGAACACGGACGGCATGTCCTTGCGCAGCTCGGCGATGATGAAGGCGTGCACCTTGGCCAGGCGTGCCCGCTTGATCAGATCGTTTAGCTTGCGCAGGGCGGCGTTCCGCGGCAGGGACTGCAGGTCCCGGAACAGGTCCTGCTCCTCGTCCTCGAAGAGCCGTCGGTTGGCGTCGAAGCGAAGCGGTTGGTCCCAGAAGGACCCGATGTACACGCGCGCCACCTCCGGCGTCTGCAGCACCTTGCCCAGCGACCACATCAGTGCCCCGTACACCCGCATCAGCTGCTGGTGGTCGATCATGTCCGCCTTGTTCAGGATGATCCTGATCTTGTCGTCGTGCCCCTTGAGCGCCTCGATCGAGCGCCTGAACTCGTCGGAGATGTCCAGTTTGTGGGCGTCGAACAACAAGATGATGCGGTCCACCCGCTCCGCGAACCACTCCAGCACCCCGGTGAAGTCGTAGCCCCTGTCGATGCGCTGCTTCTCGCCGGACAGGATTCCGGGCGTGTCCACGATGGAGATGGCGTTCAGCACCGGCGAGGCCACGCTGCTGCACTGGAAGCGGTTCAAGAAGGCGTTGCCGTACTTGGACAGCGGCCGGAACTGCTTCTTGGGGTCCACGACCAGGGCGTTGCCCGGAATCACGCCCTCCTTGTCGTCGTACATCACGGCGATGAAGCGGTCCGTCGTCGGCTCGGGCCCAATCCGGATGCCCGGGAAGTCGCGCTCCAGCAGGTAACGGATGAAGGTCGTCTTGCCCGTGGAGTACTGGCCCACCAGCAGGATCATCGGCTTGGCATCGAAGTCCGGATCCTCGAGCTTCGGCGAGTGGAAGTCGTGGAACTGGTAGTGCTCCTCCAGCGGCAGCAGCTTGCTCCGGTAGATCTTCTTCAGCTCGCCGATCACATTCTCCACCACTTCCTGGGTGTTCTTCTCGCGCTTCAGAAAGCTAAACATTTTGCAACACCACAATTACAATTAGAAACCGGAGTAAGTGGGATAATCGGAATCGGGCCGGATAAGGAGTTATGCTGGCGCGGATGTTACGGATTCGACGACTACGGCAGTTATGTGTCTACACTCGATTCTCGCGCTGCGCTGGGACGTGTGGCGAATGATTCACGCGCGTACGTATTATTTTTGGAATATTTTTTTTTCGCTCTGGACCGATAACCGACCAAGGCTGCAATCGGCGATGGGCGACGCCTATCGCTATCGATAGCAGTCTACGTGGCGGTGTTTTTTGGCAAATCGGCTATTGGTTACACTGTTCGCGAAACGGTCTTACTGGTGGCGATTGCGCGCACTTATCGGATTCAAATTATAGCTCACCTGTCGCCCGCTTCTTGGCGCGGCATTGTAAAATAGAATTAAGCCCACTGGGGTATACCTAAAATTTTTGGGCTTTACAAACTGCAGTCTACAATGATAAAACAGTCGTTTGTACTTTAATCTAATAAATCTGTTGTGCGATATCGAAAAGCAGCTCACATTATCAACATAAATTTGAAATTTTTAATACATAAATAACGTTTAAAGTCACAATAAATAAAACTCTGTGGCTACGCCGATCATAGATGCCGATTGTTTGGGGCTTGAACTCTCTAAAATTATATTTAGGGCCTAAATTTTAGGGCTTTAGAGGCTCCGCATCATCACTGCTGTGAGGAACGGCCGGATCGATGCCAAAATTCATCTTCATAATGTCGCAGAACACGGACAGATATATGAAGACATCTACAAAGTGGTTGATTTTGAAGCCCAGACTTCGATCCTTGGGATTATGCATATTAATCAGGGACTGAATTACCAGCAAAACTCCAGCAGCCACCTGTTTGAGAAGGTAAGAAAAAGTGCCGTGTTTTAACATCAATTCATTTATTTATTCTGCTTTACAACTTAAGTTTACATTAGCCTTAAAGTTATATGTTTTTGTGTAAATCGTTGGATATCGCCTAGTTTTTAGGGAGTTTTTTCATGCTGATCGAGGAGTCTGAGTGGCTGCGACGAGTACTCTATGCCAAAACCGGATATGATAACGTTCACCACTGATATTATAAACACGACCACCAAAATGACATCGTTCAGGATCACCGCCGCCGTCTGATCCTGCTGTTTGTTAATGTTGAGACTGCCGATGGCCACAAACAGAATGCCCACCAAAAGCTGTCGAAATGGATATGGAAAGCGTTAGAACCGGAGATTAAGCACCTTTTAAAGGCCTTTCCCCACTCTTAGTTCAAATTGTTAAGAAATTCGCCCTGTGGCGGGGGCAGTCGACTATCAAATGCCGAGATAAACAGATTTATCATCGTGGTGAAAAAGGCGAACCCCGTGCGCACATGGTTAATGACATTGGCCGACTGGTGGAACTCTGGTTGGTGCAGCCGACAGTCCCGCAGCAAACTCAGGGACAGGCTCAGCACGCCCGACAGAACCTACACAGAGAAAAACATAAACATTTCAGTTCCATTGTCATCTAAACTTTAATTTTAACGACAAATTTATCTATGCTAGAATGGCATGGGTTTTATGAAAAATGTAATATTTACATATTTAATTGAACCTAACTAACTAAGATAGAATTTAAACATAAAACATCCCTTTAGTAATTACCTCGAAACACCATATAAATAAAAATATATATCCTCAATATAAAACTCAAAAGTCAAGAGCTAGTTTATGTTATTAATGCCTGAAATATTTTTGATGTTTTTCTCTGTGCAGGACACGTAGAGAACTAGATAAAAGGTAGAGATATATAAGCTTACCTGCAAAACTATAGATAGACTGATCAGGATCAGCATCAGCTTGTAGAACTGGTGCTGCTCGCCCACTTGGAGGATGTACTTCAGCTGGGAGGCGTTAGCGGTCAACAATGCTATATCCAGCATGCCCTGGGCAATCGTCTTCTTGGTGGCATAGCGATTGGCATCCATTGCTTTCATCTGAAATATATGGTAAATAATGGGTAATTCATGTGAATAGAGCTGAGAAACAGAGTGATACATTATTGAAGAAAGATGTCATGGTGCCGGTGCAATAGTCAGATTGAAAGTGAGTGATTGCTGTAGTTCGATTCCAAAGTTTTTCTTTATCTTTTTGTCATTTATGTCAGATCTTCTGCTGATAAGAAAACAGTACACTCTAACTTCAACTAATGAAAATGTAGGCATACAAAAACTTTACATTGGGAGCAAGGGGTACAAACAGAAAAGTGTTATGCTTGATTCCATAAATATTGCAAATAAATATTAAAAAGATTCGTAAAGTATTGACGTTTTTTTGGTAATAGTTAACAATAGAAAAAGTCTCTGAAATATCCTACCTGCCAAGCGTTTTTTATGGGTTTCTGCAAAAAAACAAATGGTTTAACTATACTACAAATAGGCACAAGGATAATTACCATTATAGGGTGTGTGGTTTGCCATATAATTGTCATCACAATTAGAAAATCAATATGAGAACAAACAACCGGTGGGAATTAAAATGTTTTTTCGCACAGCTCATCGGAGTTTTAAGGTGCATGAGGCAAACGAGTCGGGCACATATCATTTTTAAATTGCACGAACAGTCGAACAAAGACAACAACAACGACAATTACATGTTCTGGCAATTACTGATGGGATAGAAATAGGGATATGGCGGTGGTGGGTCTCATTCGCACGATTGAATAAATAATTCATGAACAGGAATATAAGGTAAAGATCAAGGTCAGTGTGTAAGCGAAATATAAAAAATACTTGAAGATGGAATAATTTCATATTTTTCTTTAACTCACTTCATTTTCGTTAACGCGCTCCAAGCCTGACGCCATTATGTATGAATCTTTTGGGTTTTTAAGCTTGGATTTCGGTTACACACCGCTGCACTTCGGATCAGTTTGCAATTCAGACAAAACAAAAGAACTCAAACACTGCCAATTCGAGTTGATTCCGTTTTCATTGTCTCCTCAAATTGGCAAACACAATTGTTGATACTTGGGGAGGCGTTGTCGAGGCGACGGTTAGCGACACAACCAAACGATTAAACAACTGACAACTGACTGAAATAATGTTCAGCCCAGCGAGTTTCGTACGCGAATGAGTCGGGCTTTCGGTACACTTGACCATAAAGAGAGTGGCCAAGCTCAAAAGAGTGTTTTCGAGTAGGCATGACTAATGACAGGACCTTAGTGGATTGAAAATTTATTGATTAAAGTTCAGGAATGTGAAATTGTATAACCTTGTATTGAAATTTCTGTTAAAAGCTTGCAGCACAGTAAAGGAGGTTTTTCCATAAAAAAAAAGAACAAATTAAAAAAAAATTAAACATATCGTTTGTTTTCAAACATAAAATAATAATATATTAACATTTTGTAACATTTTCAAATATTACTTTTAAAATTTTTTTCTAATCTAGAAAAATAATAGGAAATGTGTAGTTTTGAACAATTTTATCATATATGTAGCTCTCATGGGAACAACCTTAAAAATGTACAGAAAATCGACATAACTTCATTGTTTTTATACCCTTGCAGAGGGTATTATAATTTCAGTCAAAAGTTTGCAACGCAGTGAAGGAGACATTTTCGACCCTATAAAGTATATATATTCTTCCAGGAGAGTCGATCAAGCCATGTCCGTCTGTCCGTCCGTCTGTCCGTCCGTCCGTTTCTACGCAAACTAGTCCCTCAGTTTTAAAGCTATCTGCTTGAAACTTTCCCAAAAGTTGTCTTTCTATTGCAGGTAGTATATAAGTCGGATCGAGCCGGATCGGGCCACTATATCATATATCTGCCATATAACTGAACGATCGGAAATGCCATAACTTTGGTGTTTTTCAAGTTAGCAAATTAGGAAGTTCTATGGGTTTTATTTTTGACTAATCAGTCTGACTTACCAAATTTCATAAGGATCGGACGACTATATCCTATAGCTGCCATATAACTGATTGATCGGAAATGCCATAACTTTGGTGTTTGTAAAGTTTGGAAGTTGGGATTATCTATGGGTTTTATTTTTGGCCAATCAATCCGACCTGCCAAATTTCATAAGGATCGGCCGACTATATCCTATAGCTGTCATATAACTGAACGATTGGAAATGACATAACTTTGGTGTTTTTAACGTTTGGAAGTTGGGATTTTTTATGAGTATTAAGAATGCATCATATAAATAATTTTGGAGAATATAATTTACAGAATATTCTGCAAGGGTATATCAACTTCGGCTCCGCTCGAAGTTAGCTTTCCTTTCTTGTTTTTTATTATATTTGCATAAATATCCTTATCTTCTTTTTGAATATTGCATTTTTGTTATAGCTGCAAACGCATATAAACTTCCAAAGATATCCATATCTTCTTTTTGAATATTGCATTTTTGTTATAGCTGCAAACGCATATAAACTTCCGAAGCTTGCATTCTTTTAAGTTAATCTTCAAGAAAGAGCCCAGCATGAATCAACACAGTTTAGACTCACAGTATGTTTCATTTATATAAAGGACTGTAAATAAGAGTATGAGTTAAAAAAAAAGCAACTCAAAAGAAAATTTATGGAAAGTTAAATAATTTTACAAAAGATATTTTTTAAAGGAGAATCCGGAAAGATTACATTTTTTTCTTATTTTTTTTAAATAGACTTTTTTTAATAAAAAGTATGCAAATAGCTCTTAATTTAATTTTTTTAATTAAATTTAAAATAATCATGTTTTTTTATAAAACTTAAAAAAAATGTAATTCAAATTTTTTTTAGCAGCTGCGTCTTTTTTAAAAATACATTTTTTAATATCTTTAAGTTAATATATAATTATAAACATCTTATTTCCTGTACCAAAAGGGAATAAAGCATAATTGTATTGATATCAATATAAAATATGGTAGGCTTTGAATCAATTGCTTTTTGTTTCTTCATAGAAACGTATATTTTTTGAATAGTTTATGTTTGGAGTTATAACAGAAACATACATAAGAAAGAAATTCAGACATACTTTTTTTTAAGAATTATTGAAACATGGAATTTCCCATACCAGAGGCGCAGTATTGGGACGTTTCAAAAAAATCACAGAAAGATCGTCAGATGATACGGAAATTCGTTCCTGATGCCGTCGACCTGTCCACTATAAATCGTGGCGAGATTTACAGGATTGACACGTTTTATTTGGAGTGTCAGAAGTACAGGGATCATTATCGTGACCCCTATGGCAAGGTACATTGTCCACAATTCTTCCACTTGCATAAGGGAAAATGCGGCATCAAATTGGACCAGACCCTGGCCCAGATGACACAGGCGATTGCTGGAAATGTGGACAGGCAGCCAATAGTGTTTCCCCTGATTCCGAACAAGAGCATGTTTTTGGGAGGCAGCATACCAATGGGGTCACAGACATCCAAAATTGGCGTCACTAGCTACCTAAGATGATGTACTTGTAAATAAATATTTTTGTATCCAAAAATATACTACGTTTACCAACAACTTATTTATATGAGACCCTCTCCTGTAAAAGTCTACTATCCCATGGAAACACCTTATTTAATAACAAAATATTCGGTCAAAATTATCACTTGATTCCAATTGGATTATCTGCAATTATCTGATTTATTCTTAATGAGTTGCGCTGGGGAATTTTAGTAATTTTTGTTTTCTATTCTGGGAAAGCAGTTTTTTAATAAATAGCATTTTAAATACTTTGCGCCATTTTATGCGTAAAACATACACAATTGTTCTGAATTTCTGTAGTACTTGATGTTAGCTGACACTAGGATTTGATATACATTTTAATTAGCCTTTTACAACTGGCGTTTAAGCTAGTAAACACACTAAAAAGTCTTTCTGTGCACGGCTTTCTGTCCCTCTTCCTCGTATTCCCGCTTCGAGATCCACATCTTCTTGAAGGTATCAAGCGAGGCTAAAATAGATCCGCCCATCCATGTGGAGTACAGTCGTTCCTGAGGCGCGGCAATCTTTTAAGACATATTTGTGAGTTACAGAAGTACGACAAGACTTGTTTGGTTTGAAATATTTACCCTGATCTTGAGATCCTTGGCCGAGTGCTTCTTGAGTTCGGACAGCAGGCGGTCGCCGAATCCCTTGAAAAGCGTGGATCCTCCGGAGAGGACGATGTTCTGGTAGAGCATTTTTCTGAGATCCATATCCGACTTTTCGATAGAGTACATCAGAACGTCGTGTATGCCCTCGCACTCCTCGCCGAGCAGATCGGGCCTGAAGAGCACCTCCGGTGCCCTGAAGCGGGCCGGACCGATCTCGAAGGTCTTGCCGTCGGGCAGCTTGTAGGCGAACTTCTCGGTCTCCACCGTCTCCTCCTTCTGCGGGTTGGTGGCCAGATAGCACACCTTCTCCTTGATGGAGCGCACAATCTCAAATTCGGCAGTTGACCGGAAGTTGAAGCCCTCCCGGCGGATGAGTGTCTTCAGGTAGCGTGTCACATCGCGCCCGGCAATGTCCACGCGCATAATACTGTGAGGCATGGCGAATCCCTCGTAGATAGGGACCGCGTGCGTCACACCGTCGCCGGAGTCGAGCACCACGCCGGTCACGCGTCCGGTGGCATAGCTGTAGGTGGCAAGTAAATGTGTAAGTGGAACTGGCAGATGTTGTAGCAGGTATTGTAAAGCTTACAGACTGAGCACCGCCTGCATGGAAACAAAGAGCGCAGGTGCATTGATGCCTTCGAAGAAGAACTCGGCTGCCTTCTCTCGATTACGGCGCGGATTAAGCGGAGCTTCGGTTAGCAGCACGGGATGATCTTCCGTGAAAGTGGCCAGTTGTTCCTGATTATTAAGATTTACAGGGTTTATTTAAGAATACGTCAGATTGATAGCGACTTTACTTTGCTGTAAATGTAGCTCCATATCCGCTCCATGTCATTCCAGTCGGTGACGATGCCGTGCTCCATGGGATACCGGATGCTGAGCAGACCACGGTGCTCCTCGGCCTTCGGGCCAACGAATATGTCGCCCTCCAGGGCACCAGCCATCACCCGGACATGCTTGGGCCGGCCAATGCTGTAGGGGATGAAATCAATAAAACAGGTTCGTGGGCTTGGAGTGTTTCAAAGCACTTACTAATTGGGAAACCTGCATTTTGGAATGTGCTCGCCAGCAAAGCCGGCTTTGATCACACCGGAGCCCTGCAAAAAGTGATGGAGAATACATTTAGTTGGCTGCGATAAAACAGTACACTATAAATTACAAGTGAAGGGAGAGGTAATCTAAATTGAAAGCATGGAATCCTTCAGCGTGCCAGAAGTAGACATGATGACCGTGTCCAAGAACTCGCAATACGAGCGGGAGTGGCTCCTAAAGTTCGCCCCGCCCGTTGGACTGACAAACATCAGCTACGGCGGCCTGTACAAGGTAGACTCGTTTTATCTGGAGTGCCAGAAGTACCGTGACCAGTTCCGCGATCCCTACAACAAGCTGCTGCGCCCCAAGATGTTCAGCACGTTTAGGGGCAAATGCGGCATAAAAATAGATCCCGAGCTGGAGCGGCTGAAGCGACCCGCGGCCTCGCATGCGGAGCGCATTCCGGTGGTGTACCCGATGGAGTACGGGCGGCAGATGGACTTCGACAGGGGTTTCCAGATGGAGGGAAGAAACAGCAGGGCCTGCGCCACCGCCCGAAGGTATCCGTGTGTGCGTGTTCTGGGCAGGTAAAAGACTCCTGAGAACACCTTTCGATCAAAATTGTCAGTTTGAGTTTTGTTTGCTCGCAAATTAAACCATCTTTGGAGTCTGCCCAGTTTTTGTTTTCCGGATTAGTCATGTTGGCCATTTGAAGACGGCTTGAAAGCTCACTGACAAAGGGACGGGCGGTAGGTGATGTCACTATTTGCTGGCCAAACGTTGCAAACTCCCTTTCCAGCCCCACTTTCTTTGATTTCATTGCCCCCATTTCCACTTACGTTATCTATGACGACGGGCTGGTTGACGACGACATCATAAGGCTCCATTTTGTGCGTTTATAAAAATTTGCAAATTTTTTATTAAATAGTTGGCCAACAGGGTGACCGTAGGTGATTTGCTGAAATAAACCGTAGGTGAAAATATACTATGCATTTTTCAAAAAACTCCTAAATATGCCTCAAAAAAATTGACATTTTTTAAGGAATTCACTAAGCGATTGAATCGCTAATTTACTAGAATTGAACCTTTTGACAATCAAAGGGTACAATTGTTTATAATAGGGTATTCTCTAAATATTCAGTCGTTCGAAAATTCAACAAAACTGTTTAGTATTTGAGGGAAAGATTTAAATTATCTCTGTTCAATTGCCAAACAGCTTAACTGAGTTGAAGTTTTTGGGACCCAGAAGAGTGATTAAATTTCTAATTTTCTTTGTTCGATTCGGTAGTGTAGGGAATACCCTAAATGTATTGGTACGAGTCTAAGATAATATGTTTTGCTCTGAGCCGGCGGTATTTCTGAACGGCCTGGCTGCGGTCACACTGATTACAATGGCCGAGGCAAATTTGGACAAAAAACAGGAGGTGAAGCCTCCGCCAGGCCTGAAGGCCATCATAGACCACCTGGGGCAGGTGTATCCCGAGCAGCCCAACCCGCTGCAGGTGACCACGCTGCTCAAGTACTGGCTGGGCGGGCAGGATCCGCTGGACTACATCAGCATGTACAATTATCCGGGGGATGCGGACAGGAACATTCCGCCGCATTGGCACTACATCAGCTTTGGGCTGAGTGATCTGCACGGCGACGAGCGCGTCCATCTGCGCGAGGAGGAGTCCACAAGGTCTGGCATGGGCTTCGAGCTAACCTTTCGGCTGGCCAAGACGGAGGCGGAGCTGAAGCAGCACATTGAGTTCCCGGAAAAGCCACAGCGGCCACCCACATGGCCGGCGAACCTGCTGCAGTCCATCGGACGCTACTGCTTCGAGACGGGCAACGGACTGTGCTTCGGGGACAACATCCCGTGGCGCAAGAGTCTGGATGGGAGTGCCACCTCCAAGCTGCAGAGCCTCCTGGTCGCCCAGGACCCGCAGTTGGGCTGCATTGAGACGCCCACCGGCACAGTGGACTTCTGCCAGATTGTCGGCGTCTTTGAGAACGAGCTGGAGCAGGCCTCGCGCTGGAATGGACGCGGAGTGCTCAACTTTCTGCGCCAGGATGTGCAGACGGGAGGCGACTGGCTGGTAACCAACATGGAGCGCCCGATGAGCGTATTCGAGCTGTTTCCCGAGACGCTGCTCAACCTGCAGGACGACCTGGAGAAGCAGGGCTCCGATCTGGCCGGCGTCAATGCCGAATTCACGTTCCGCGAGCTGAAGTCCACCCGGCAACTGAAGCAGGAGGTGGACTTCATGGCGCTGAGCGAGAAGTGTGCCAACGAGGAGAACAACCGACCGCTGACAGAGACGCAAATGAAGCGCGAGGAGCCCAGCTTTCCGCAGTCAATGTCGATGAGCAGCAACTCGCTGCACAAGTCCTGTCCCCTGGACTTCCAGCCGCAGGCCCCCAACTGCATTTCACTGGATGGCATTGAGATTACCCTGGCACCCGGCGTGGCCAAGTACCTGCTGTTGGCCATCAAGGACCGCATTCGTCATGGGCGGCACTTCACCTTCAAGGCTCAACATCTGGCACTCACACTGGTGGCGGAATCCGTGACCGGTTCCGCGGTCACCGTCAGCGAACCTTACGGCGTGCTGGGCTACTGGATTCAGGTCCTGATCCCCGACGAGCTGGTCCCTCGCCTGATGGAGGACTTCCGCAGCGCGGGCCTACACGAGAACTGCGAGCCCAAGCAGAGGTTGGAGCTGGAGTGGCCCGACAAGAACCTGAAACTGATCGTTGACCAGCCGGAACCCGTGCTGCCCAACGTTCTGCCCATGTCCCTGGACGCTGCTCCTCTGAAAATGTGAAACTGTCGGAAACCTAGCTAGTATTATTTTAATTTAATCGAATTGAATCTTCCACTAACAAGTAAGTTATACATTTATACATTTCATCTAACACAATGCACGTGGCCTTTGCTCTCCGGAGTCCAGTCAAAATATACATACCCAAAACCACTCGACGGGCTTTTGATCCGCAGTTGAAAAGAGGAAGCGCCGGCGCCAGGAGCGAACAATTCGCCGGATGAGTCAGTTGGGCGTCTTCTTTAGTGGCTGCGGCGGATATGGCCACTTGCCGGCTATGGAGTCAATGCCACCTCCTAAGCCACCAATTGATGGCACTGCGCAGTGGCCAAGTGGCATGCTTCAGTTTCTAATTCTGAGAATTGATAAATTAGAGGAGTATTCAATTTGAACACAAACATCCAGCCCTTGATCATGTGATATGATTGAAACTGGAGCTGGAGCTGGAGGAACTGCATCATCTGCCTGGCTGCGAAACTTTTCGCGCCCCGTTTGTTTTTGTATCTATCTTCGCGGTTGCCTAGGTGAATTTTTGTTTACCGCAGAGAACGCAACCGCTGTGGTCTCTGATTAGGCGCCTTAAGTGAGCGAACGAATTTTTGCAAAACAGCTCGTGGAAAATAATTCAGTTTTCTTCATTCCGCCGCCGACGACGCAAGCGCTCGGTTGTGTGCTCGCTCGAGAGGTCTTCACCCGCCCACTCATCGCTCCTCGATTCGCGTTCGTGCGCCGGATTCCTGGAGTCTTCAAGTGAATCAGACGCCTTCGACTGGAGTTCCGGCTCAAAAGTACGTAGGGGAGGGCCTCCAAGAAGGCTTGCGGTTTAGCAACCTACCGGCGGTTGCATAATGGCGAGCCCATCGACCCGTGACCTTCGATTTCGGCAGTGACCCCCACGCCGTGGGACTGGGTAGGGTGCAGTGCGTCGTCATCGAGCGGACACGTGCACGCCGTTGATAGCGCGGGTTTCTGCGATAGCCGCCAAGAACGAAAGCGGTCACAATTCTTTTTATTGTTTCGGCGAGCGGCTCGCGTTACATTGAGTTTTCGCTATTGCGGTGCGGTTCTTCGGCTGCCCCGGGGCGGGAAAAAGAAAACGTTTGCAGAACAGAGCATGGCGATGAACCGTAGACCCACCTCGAACCCCCCAATCCCAAGTGCACTCGACAAGGGCATGCATATTCGAGAAATGCGACAAAATTCAGTTATCGCTTGTAATGCAATCTGTTCTGCGCAGCTTAAAAATGCCTTACAATGTTGCTGACTAGATATGAAGATGGGAAATTAAAATCGGGCGTGTTTCCACGACAACTTGGTGATTGAAACCTGAAAGTAATACCTTTGGTTACTAATTTGAACCTATTAGCTAATGAAACCCTAGATTGTTATTGTTTTTTTGTTATACAGCTCTGCAATTCGATCCAATTTATAATTTTAATTGTTATGTCCTCAGTTTTTGGATTGTTATTTAAAATAAAAACAGTAGGGCCATTTCCTAAAGGTAAAATAAAATTCCATTAAAATAAACACCAGGTCGAATTTTCTAAAATTAGAGAAATAGTTTTCTTAAACATCCAATCTTTTGGTTTTTTTATATGTGAAACTTTTTTTGGTTAAGTCAAGGTGTATAAAACCGAAATACTTCCATAAAGGTTTATTTTAATAACTTAACTATCCCTTAATTTTGTGGGTGGATAGATCTGGTTATCTAGCTTCACGCTTCCAAAGTATCTTTCGCTCCCTTGAGAACTGACACTTTGTGGCTTCGTCTCCCATTTAGTTGGATTCTGGATTGCCGACAATGTAAACTGCATTTTCATTTGCCGGAGGCGCAAACAGCGATAAACGTGGTCAAATATTTGCCTAGCCAATTCCGACAGTCTGTGATTGTCCGGGATGGGGAAATACTAGCGGCACACGTATCATTTCGGCAGGCGGCAGTCAACAGCATATTTGGGTGCAATGTGGCTGACTGATTACGGAGTGCACCCCACTGATCCACCCCTACCACCCCTTCAATGTGTATTTGCAGGCAGCACTCGCAGCCAATCCTCCTAGCCAGTAGCCATGGCCGAGACTGAGCCCCTGAACGACCTGCAAGGCCAGGTGAATGGTCGCATCCTGCCCGCCAATGGACACACCGCACCGGTCTCCAACGGCCAGGTGCATGCCAATGGAAAGGATCTGGTGAAGCTCCCTGTTCCAGTGCAGAACGGGAACGGCACACACATCGAAGCGCCCTGCTGTCGGGACATTCACGGCAAGGAGCCTCCCGACGGAGGAGCCCGGGCCTGGCTGGTCATGGTGAGCGCCTTCCTCTGCAACGGCATCATCTTCGGATTCATCAACACGTACGGCGTCATCCACTCGCTGCTAAGCGACCGGCTCACAAAACTTGGGGATCCGGAGGCCTCCAGCAAGGCGGGTAAGTCTCTCATTTCCCCAAGAAAGCGACAGCAATTTGTCCATAATCCCTTTAGCCCGCGGCATATGAATTCGGAATTTATGACCAGTTGCCGGCGTTGATTGTAATTATGCAGGCAGGGCAAATGGGATTTGATGGGAACTGGACAGTTGTTGTGCAGGCGACTATCTGTTTCAGCACGGAATTGCCCAACCTCTCTGAAACAAATCTAATTTTGTGGCCTTTGATTGCTGCCGGTAGGCCTCTGACTTTGATTCAAATAATGCCTAGAAGTTCGCACAAAAAATACATTTAATTTGCGTTCTTTAAAATCCCCATTTATTGATAATATTCTCAAATCTGACAACAGCTTTTATTTTTATTGTACAATCAGCATTTTAACTTTTACGTTCGTTCTTGAATTTGCAAATATAAATTTGATTTATTTGGGACATACATAGATGCAAAGTGTTGACGCAATTGACAATGAATTGTCAATATTTCTTTGGAAATATTTTATTATTCAAATTTGATATATGTTTCTTCGAATCTAACGGACATTCGACCATGTCAACGCACATTGCTTTTCTCTTCTGGGCTCTTTGGGTTCAATAAAACGTTGTAGTACGTAGTAGAAGTGACGATATAGGAATCCAACGTACCCACGTCAAGTGAATTAAATTGCTAAAAGTTGATTGGATCACAAAGCATTATTCAACAGCCGGCGAGTGCGAAGAGCGCGAAGACGACGACGTCAAGGGACGGGAGTCGCGTAGAGTTGGAGCTGGAAATTCAGAGCGATCCCCGGTTGAAGTGGATAGTATTTTGGCAGCTTAGCTCTTGACCACTGGGAACAGCCACTCCAAACCAGACGCAACTGCTTTGTTGCGAATGCAATGGCAGAGCAGAGCTCACTGCATTTGGGAATGTTTGTCAAGGTTTGCTGGCCGGCCTGCATTACGCATACGCAGCGTGGGGCGGCATCGCATTGGGGGCACGGCCGGCGCTTTTAAGACGAGCCGGAGAACTGGCCAGCAGAAAACAAAAGCCACAAGCAAAAGTGCACCCGCCACTGACCCAGTTACTTGGTCGGCCGGCGCTGCCGGGGAAGCCCCTCAAGTGCTGCGCCTGACAGCGATCCTCCTCCGAGCCAAAGCAACAGCTACAGCAACAGCTAGGGCTAAGGCTAAAGCTAGAGCTAGAGCTAGAGCCAGAGATGGCTGCCAGTTCCGCAATATGATTAAAACCTGACGTAATCCGAACCTGAGCTCTGTGTGCCATATTTTCCCCACTTTTATCGCGGTGTCGGTTCATCAATTAATTGTCAGCCTTTGTCAATTACACACGTCCATAAGCACATCATAGCGACTTAGTGGAGCTTAAAGGCGCTGCCCCATCGGTTCATCCGTGTGAAACGGAGGTCAAGATCAATCATCCAATCGACTGCCAATCTTTGGCTTTTCCTCCGATGCAATCCCTTTGCCTATTGCGTCAGATATTGCATGAGATCGCATCGGGTTGCCATCTATGAATATGAGGCATGCTAAAAATATTCTGATCTATTTTCGCCGCTCCTCAGACAAACGCCAGACGCCAGCGGTGCCATGTAATTCGGCAAGTCCCCTTCCGTTCGGATTCTTTTTGAATTTTTGGCACCGCCTCGGGTTTTTGTTGGGTCGGAGAATGGTCACGGGTATTATCTAATGGCTCTCCTCGCAGCTCTCGAGCGGATTGCCATTGACTGCGAAAGAGAATCGTCTGTGGCATTGACATTGACTGCCTGCCTTTTGCTGAGATTGCGGGAGAATCATTCTGCGCATGTGGGGGAGAAATACGTGCCACCTCACGGCCCCATTTCCCGGCTAGCCATGTCTCACCGAATGGTCAATAAATATCCATGAAGCATCCAGAGTGGGTTAAGTTTTATTTTGGGGTAATGCGCTGCAGTTTTTCAATTCTAAGTTATGTAGATGTAGTTATAATTTTATATCCGCCGTTTCTCAGATAATTTTATATTTTAATACCTTTATTTAGAGCATTTAAAATTCACCAAGAGAAATAATTCTTAAAAAAATGAAAATACTTATGTGAAAGTTAATTCAACGAAAAAACATAAACATCATCAGGTCAAAGGTCAAGGGAGGTTGGATCCCGGCTATTAATAAGCAACTTTTATGAATTGCTCGCGGAACGCAGATTATGACAATAAATTCGGACTGACACGCGAGCTGAATCGAACGCTTATCTCTAGTTCCGGCGTACAATTTGATAGACACTATGATTAGGATTTACAAATCCGCTTTTTGTAGGGTTTAATAAAGACATAAATACGGTTCACTGTGTACTTACAAAATAAATTAGTTACTTTCAGTCGGAAATACTGTGTAGTACGTACTTAGAAAATAAACTTAATAGTTTCAATTTGTACCAAAATCACAGAAGACAGGCTTTGGGTGATCTCAATCCGGAATAAGATATAATTGGCTTTTGGGCGTTCTCCATCCGGACTTTCATCCACTACCTGCTTTCGGTCCACGTTCACTGTCCATGTCCCAGACAATGGACCAAAGTCGCTGGAGCGGCTGCAGCTGCACATCGCTCAGAGGAGGGTTCTGCCAGAGGCGCGGGCCTTATCAGAGCATTAGATCATCTTCGAGGCGGGGAACAAAGAATTAACCTGAATCTGTCAATCGAACATCAATTTGAAGTGCCGAAGTAGAACAAGCGAAAGTGTTTACGCAACGCAAACAATTGGATTCCCCCACTTCTGCCCGCAGAGTTCAGCGGAAAATTATTGACAACGAAAATCCAATCTTTTAATGGCAAGCGACAAGATGCGTAAAGTCCTCGATCCCGCAAACCGCCGACGGATCGGGTTTCCAGACCACGCTCCATTCGACGCAGTAGGGCATCCACCTGGAAGTTGCACTGAAACACCTGGAACTGTGGCCAATAGCCAGACATGCATTAAAGCGCCTCACTTCACAATCAACCGCAAGTGCGTGAGATTCGATTTGTCGAATGAAATTTGTCCGAATTAGTCTAGCAGACTATTGGCCAGCTCGCTTGGCTAAAGATTTTATATAATTGGAACATTTTTTTCAAAAATTGATTAGCATTAAACAAATTTGTTTCTATACATTTTTTTGAATCAGTTTTGAGTTTGAATCAGTTTGTTATGCAATCAGAACAATTTGGAGTAACTTTTGTTATGTTATCTGATAGGTAAGGACAATGGTTTAATGGTTTAAATACTTTTTTTTAAGAAAAGTACATTAAAACCGACTAATTAGTGAAAAACGAATTAGAGTCAAACACTCAAAAGCCTGTCAATAAACTCTTTTCTAAAGAATCTATCAACATTTCGTAACGATCCGTCCAGAAAACAAAAGAAGGCCATCATCTTCTTAAAATTGTTTTTAACACCTATGGTATGAAAAAATTAAAAGAACTCGAAACGTAATTTTGTGATTATATGATCCTAGTTATTTAAAGCAGTACTCGAATGATTTATATTACGATTTCCATAAGTCGAAACTGGGAAAAACTGCATTGAACTAATGTTGACTCATACGGGCCTCTATTATCAACATAATATTGCCTAAAGAGATTATAAATCGTAAACATTGCTTCTCTGACAAATATAAATGTATATATATATTTTGATTGTTTTTACTTATTAATAAAGGAATTTAATATTTCCATAAGAGATTTAACAATAGGTCAACATTTAGCTGCGTAAGCTACACATATAAGAGATAATTATCAAGTATAAATAAAGGAATTTAATATTTTCATAAGAGATTGAACAATATGTCAACATTTTGCTGCATAAGCTGAATTTTAAAAGTACACACCTAAGATAGTCCATCGAGTATTTCTGGCTGTTTCATATCAGTAAATGTTTGCCAAACATTGCTTATGTATGCCCAGAGTTATAATCTGCCATATAATTTAATGGTGCAACCATTTCCTTAATTACAGCTCTGATCGGATCCCTGGCCATCGGCACCACATTCCTCTTCTCCACTGTGGCCGGCTGCTTGACCGACAAGATTGGACTGCGGCTGACCACGTTCGCCGGAGGAGTCCTCTCTGCAGGAGGACTGCTGCTGTCCTCGTTCTGCACCGAGAACATCAGCGCCCTGTACTTCACCTACGGGATTATGTTTGGCCTGGGCGCGGCCCTCGCCTACACACCCACACTGGCCATCCTGGGCCATTACTTCAAGCGCTATCTGGGCAAGGTGAGCGGCTTCGTGACCGCCGGCTCCAGCGTTTTCACTGTGATATTGCCACCCTGTCTGGACAAGCTCCTGGCCAGCAATGGCCTGGAGGGAACCCTAAGGGTGAGTGGATTAAATATAGCCCTTCAGCGCTTATATACTGATTTCTTTTTCTTGTATCCCAGATAATGAGCCTCGTATCTGCCTTTATCATCCTCTGCTCCTTCGTCTACAAGCCGTTGCACCCGCCACCAGAGCCGCCTAAGAAAAAGCCAGGAAGGTCGCGCATCAATCTCTTCCTGCGCTCCATTATAAACGTGGAGATCTGGAAGCGCAAGCGCTTTGTCATCTGGGCCCTGTGCGTGCCCCTCGCATTGTTCGGCTACTTTGTGCCGTACGTCCACATGATGCAGTTCGTGAAGACCACTTTTCCGGGCGAGGATGTGAACCTGCCGGTCATGTGTATCGGCATCACCTCCGGCATCGGACGCCTAATCTTCGGCGTTATTGCCGATATGCCGGGAGTGAACCGTATGTACCTGCAGCAGCTGTCCCTGGTTTCCATTGGCCTGGTGACCTTGCTGCTTCCCCTCACCAACTCGTATGTGGTTCTCGTCTCGTTTACCCTGGTCATGGGTCTCTTCGATGGATGCTTTATCTCGCTGCTGGGCCCGATTGCCTATGAGATCTGTGGTCCATCGGGTGCCACGCAGGCCATCGGCTTTCTGCTGGGACTCAGCTCCATTCCGCTGACGGTGGGACCCCCAGTGGCGGGCATGATCTTCGACAGCACGAACTCCTATAATTTGCCCCTGATTCTCGCTGGACTGCCCCCACTGCTCGGCTCCTCGCTACTATTCCTGATCAAGTGCGTCAAGGAGGAGGAGAAGGGGGTCAGTGCGCCGCGAGCTGTGGTTATGGCCAACGGAGACATCGAGATTGCCGGCAACGGCCATTATCGGCCGGGTGGTGAGTTTTGCGTAATTTAAGTCAAAATTTGATTCTTTAATTCGGAACTTTTTGCAAGAAAAAATAAGTAATTCAAGAGTAAATGGGTAATGTATTCGTTGAAAAGTATGTAACAAAAAGAAGGAGGCGTTTTCCATACTTTAAAGTATATTTATTTTTGATCAGGATCATTAGCCGAGTCGATCTGGCATAATCTTCTGTCTGTACTGTCTGTCCAGCCGTCTGTTTCTATAAACTTCGAGCTAGAGATTTGGGGTTTAACATTTAGATACATAGGTACATAGGTATTACTAGATACCTTCGCAGCGCAGGTTTTTTAAAATTGTCCACTGTTACGCCCACAAATCGAGGAAGTCTATGTAGACATGGTTAAGGCCAGTAAATGGGCGGTCTATATCTATGTAGAAATCTAAAAATTACCCTTAAATCTGAAATTTAAGTCGGGTAGGTTTCAGTATAAATTTAGAAAATGATCTTTGAAAAAATTTTCATTTCGATATTTTTCCTTACATTTCTTTTTTTAAATCATATTTATCGTTATAAAATTATATTTATTAAAGTAATGCAAATAAGGGTACACAATTAAGTAGCGTACAAAAAGCAATAAATTCATAAATATGCAAATGATAAGAACACTATCACATAACATTTCAATATATTAATGTTAATTTTAGTAGTGAATAGTGCTTATACGTGTTTTCAGTTGAACATTTTTGTATATTACCCCTATCCTAATCGACGTGATAACGCAATGTTTGATTTTTATTCGCAGGCACCAAGTCGAGCGCACCGTTGATGGGTGCCAGTAATGGTGTTAATGGAACCGGCGATGCGGCCCCAACGACCCATAGCAACGGACACGTGGACAGCGGAACTGGTGCGTACCCCGACTCACCTTGGCCTAGCCCCAATCGCATCTCAGACTCCGCCGCCTGCGACCATCCCAGTAGCTCGCTTCACACTAACCCGGGCATACATGTGCTGCCCAGCTGCTCACACACCGCACTGCTGGGCCGGGGCTCCAGTCCCCGCATGTCCCTGCCCCTGACTGACGACCCCAAGAGGCGTCGCTATAACTATTCCATCTACTAACCCACCGCCTAACTGCTAGCTGCTAGAATCTCTCTGCTTCGCCTGCTGTAAGCCCTTCCTTGGGCTCTTTGCCATCTTGGTGTAAATAGAGTTTGTAATCGAATAGCATGACTAAGACGCACTTCTGACCACCCCACATTCCACATCCCACGTCTCTAACCTCGCACCTGCATCCCTGCACCAGCACTCCCATTCCCATTGCCTCCAATTGCTTTGTAGATCGTAAGCCTTGTAGACCGGGACCTGCTGTAAATAAATGCCAGCTTAGTTCTCATAGTTATCGCTGAGTGTTTCGGAGTCATTGCGCATGGGCAGGCTCGAATCGACCGACCAGAAACCACTTTCAACTGTATTATCCTGTGCATCTTTCAGGGAAACTCGCCGTGACCAACGGATCGGCGTCGTAGGGAGACCGTCGTCGCTATAACTCAAAATTCCACAAAACTTTCGAAACCAATTGAAAAGTTCTGCCATTTTCAGCTGTAATCTCGTCGTCGGAGCCCACAGCTTAGCCAGCGCAAAATCGAGGTGTTCATTCTTTATATAAACCATAGCTACAGCACATGTTTCCAAACATATGCCCATTCATCGGGTCGGATGAGATGCCCGTGCCCTTCTCCTATCCTTCATGTGTGCATAATAAACCTAGGCTAAGGCGATTTCGCAAACCAAATAAACGTAAAATTTAAATTTTAATAAATAACACACAGAATAAGAATCGGATTTTGACTTTTAATCTTATTATGGTAATATCTGACAACAAAAACAAAAGGTTATTGAAGTATGTAATTGTAAAAACGGTTTACAATTGTATTTGCAATAACTTAACGTTTTTTATTCACGAAGCAAAATTGGTTATTATTATGGTTTCAATACACGCCACTGAAAGCTTAGGTCAATGATTTATTATTTACTTATATACCGAATATCTAACAACTTGGAGGATAGGGAAATTGGGGAATTACTTTAAAATTACCCGAAACAATACGAAATTGTCCTACTTTTTAATGGCTAATAGCCCGAATCGATTACTAATAGGCTCATGATTTTTTTTGTGAATGGCTCACTGGGGCTATTGTATCATTAATTAACTGAACCGTAACAAGTATCTGTGTCTCCAAATTATTGATCATGGCCGTTTAGAAGTTTTTTTTGATTATGCAACGCAATGATTAGCACCCCCTCATAGGAACCAATTAATGACGTAGTGGATTCGCGTTGCCCAATTCGCATTCTTAAAGTGTTTGGCATGTCATCACTGGCCATTAGTTAAAATTATAGCTATTTGTATGCACGCTTCCATGTCGGATCCAATAAAAAACGGCGCGCTATGTGCGGTTCAATGGGTCTCCACCCGTAGCCCCGTAGCTCTTTCTTTCTTTCGCCGAGAGGAGAGACACCCAGGTCGATCGATCGCTGATCATTACGCGTGACAATAGATCGATCGCGTCCCAAAGCAGGCACCACGTCCGGCTTATAAAAAGTCGATTGACTGAAAATTGGGCAACCAAACTGTTGGCGCACTTCAAACCGATCGGTCGAAAATCGTTAGGAAACGGATTACATTTCGAGCTGCAAGTGGATAAGGATTAACTAGCCATGCTGACCTGGACCCTATGGTGTGGATTACTGTTCCTGCTGTGGCTCTATTTTCTGTGGAGCCGACGCAGGTTTTACCTGCTCACTCTCAAGATCCCGGGTCCACTTGGATATCCCATTCTAGGCATGGCCCACTGGCTAATGAGGAGGGAAGGTGTTAGAAGATTTCTGGGATTATTCAGCTGATCGGGAGTATTAATTAAGGTCTCCCTGAGCAGATATCCTCAATGCGTTCGGGTGCTTCCTGGACAAGCACGGCCCGACAATATTCTCGTGGCTCGGGCCCATTCCCTTTATGATTGTCAGTGATCCCCAAGTAGTGCAGGACATCTTCACATCGCCCCACTGCGTCAACAAGGGCATTATATACAAGGCGGTGGACGATGGGGCGGGCACTGGACTATTCAGCATGAACGGTGTGCGTTTGGAATTAAGTGTGGGAGTTACTAAAGTGTGGATTGTTTTAGACCCCCGTTGGAGCATCCACCGAAGGCTGTTGAACCCCGCCTTTGGCCACAAAGTTTTACTTAGCTTCCTGCCCATTTTCAACCGAGAGACGGCCCTTCTACTGGATCAACTGAAACCATTGCAGGATGATGGGGAGAAGGACCTTATTCCACTGCTACAGAGCTTCACCCTGGGCATAGCCACCCGTGAGTACAAAAAATAGTGTAATAAGTTGAATATAAAATGTTATTTTTCTAAAATAAAGGCAAATAGAAACAGTCACCTCATTGTTTTCGCTTTTAATAATAATCATCGAATGTAAAGTTATAAAAATTGGTTGTCATTCACAGCACCAGTCCGAAATTAGAATAAATACATAAGATAGTCCACATCCATATTTTAAAATATCACTTTTTCAACTATTCTTATTCAATTAAACAGACTTTATTTAAATTCCTGATTAACATGATACATAATGCATTAATAGAAACTACCATGGGCAGTGACGTCAAAAGCGAGGAGAACTTGATGAGCAACACCCTGCTGGACCGATATCAATGGTGAGTGTTCAGCTGGATCTGGACTGCTTCTATCCAATAATAGTATTTTGGAAACCATGACAGATATGTGCTTCTCGCCGTGGCTAAACAGCCAATTTATTCGCCAGCTGGTGGGAAAGGAGTCACACTACTATCAGGCCAAGACGGAAATTCGCCAGTTCATCAAGAAGGTGATAACAGCATAATTAACCAATGATTAACGAATACATTAATCTTTAACTTCTTTTAGCTTATTGAAAAAAAGTTGTCCGAAGACCAAAAAGAAACGTTACCTGCTATCAAATCTATTGACAAGAATATATTTCTTAACCTGGCCACGGATTTGCTGAGACGGGGAGTGTTCAGTTGGAAAAATGTCGAGGATGAGTCGAATATTATTGTTTTTGGCGCTTTTGAGACCACTGCAAATGCAGTGTATTATACGCTGATGTTGCTGGCCATGTTTCCCGATTATCAGGAGAGGGCCTTTGAGGAGATAGAAACCCTGTTCCCAAACACCGGAAACTTCGATGTGACGTATGCTGACACTCAGCAGATGGTGTATCTGGATCTGATTCTCAACGAGTCAATGAGAGTTATACCCCCTGTTCCAGTTGTCTCCCGACAAACGTCGCAGGACCTTAAACTATCCAATGGGATAGTGATCCCCCAGGGAGTTCAGATCGCTATCGACATTTACCACATGCACCGGAGCAAAAAAATCTGGGGCCCAGAAGCAGAAACCTTCAATCCAGATAATTTCCTACCCCACAATATTCGGGACAAGCACCCGTACGCCTATATACCCTTCACAAAGGGAATTAGAAATTGCATAGGTAACTTAAGTTATGGTTTTCATTTATTCATTTTAATCATATAATTATTTTTTAATTTTAGGTTGGAGATATGCATTGATATCGGCTAAAGTTACACTGGCCAAATTATTGAGAAATTATAGGTTTAAGACAAGTTTTCCGTTTGAAGATCTTTATTTTGTTGAAGATATAACCATGAAGCTTAAATCCGTGCCACTGTTGGAGCTCCAGAAGCGAACTTAAAAATTAAATAAGCTAAGTGATACAAAAAGAAAGTTGAATAATAAAACTGGTAAGAGCAATATATTCTGTAAATTCGGTAATTTTTTTAGCGAAAAGGGATTCTCATGTGCCAATTAAAAATTGTAAAATCTAGTAAAGCGCTACAAAATTCATTTAGAAATAGAGTCCGTCACAGAGGGTGTGTCAAAATAAACATAGGTCTTTGTTGGGTTGTAATGTTTCGGGAAAATTTTATAAGAATGAAATTCAGTTTTTGAGAAAATCGCATTACAGTGGGCGCAGTTTAAAGGGATATGAAAATGAGACATTACTTGAACCAGTTCGTTAGCCATGACATGAACCAACTAATTTTCTGTAACTTAAAATACCAATTCGACGCTACCTTTTGAAAAATGCCTACCCCCTTACAAAGCGTGTGCCAAGTCAAGATTTTAAAAAACAATTGAAACAGTTGTACTTACTTTAAGAAAAGCATCATTGAATTTCAATTCGGATTTTCAAGACACTTACCATAGTCATCAATAGTTATTTAATATTTCAAATATTAAATATCCCACTACCGCAATCCATTAATGATAATTTTAGCAAATGTTTTATCAATATCCGTTCAGCCATTCCGAGATATTCTTTATTTCACACTTAATTACAGTTTTTTAGTTATACAGCAAGACTTGCAAATTAGTATGCCAACTTTTGATCAAGTAACGGAGATATCTGGCTTTTTGAAGGTGTATTTATATTCATTTCCCCAAAAAATGCTTTAACGTTCGATTTGATATATTTATTGAGGTCCGAAATCTGTTTTTGGATTGCAAAGACACTGGTCGCTCCTTAGAAGAACTGATGCCACAGAAGATGTGCTGATGTAGGTATGCTGGTTCCAAATATTCATTAAAATGTCGCTGCATCGTTTACACCCAGAATTCAAAAGTAGTTTAAATTGCCTACATAAAAACTCTGAAAGCTTTGCATTAGGTTTGTTTACTGTATTTATTGTGAGGTCTGGTTCACTGATACGATAACCTCTTCAGTTTATAGTTTGCCTATAAGAATGTAATGCAGGTTTAGATATAGCGATAAATTAGCATGAAGAGTAAGTAGTATAGATTTATTTTTAAATTTACTTTTTTTTATTTACAAAGATGTTTTGTTAGTTTCGTTTAATATGGGTTTTTATTTTGTTGAATATTCATTCTTAAGAACAAATAATTTACCTTTTATTTTGAACAATCTTCTACGGGATTTAAAAGTGCAGGCTGGTATTCCAGATTTATTTATTTATTAAAACTTAAATTGTTTTATTTTTTTATGATTACTAAAAAATAATAAATACACCTAATTTCAGAAAATTTTCGGGTTCTTGTTTAAATTTAATATACAAATTTTAATTTGTATACGGTTTTCCTTTATTTTCAAATGTTCACCTTATTTTAATTTGAAAATTCTGAGCTCAAAGCTCATTCTTAAAATTAAATTTTATATTTAGGAAGAAACCAGGCCCATTTCTAAACTAAAGTCGGTATAAATCTTAAATTTGCGTCTCTTTATTTTGTTTGCTGTTCTAAATTATGTATAGTCAAACGTGTTCAGATCTTTGTTGTTCAGTTCTCAAAGACAAATATTTTTTGACAGAGGCATTGGTTTCTAAGCTAAAAAAAATGGTGCTTAATCACTTTTAATTGGCTTCTAGTGGCGCCCCCCAAACATGTTATAATGAGGGGGCACCTGCTGTTGCTGTGGGTTGAAAAAGTTCTGAGGCATTTGGTTGTATGGAGCCTGCGGCGGTCCATTGTTGGCCCACGGGTGTATGGGACCGCCATATGGACCATGTCCGGGTCCGGGTACACCTCCGGGTCCCATGGTCCAATAGTTCTGCTGGACACCATTGCCCGCATACAGGCCATGCTGATTCGGATATTGATTGGGATCTGGTCTGGCGTTTGAGTTACTCATTAGAGGCTGCGGTTCCTGCCCAAAGTTGCCGCCCTGCTGCTTCCCCGAATAGCCCGGTTTGGGATAGCCTGCTCCCGACTGGTGTTCGCCATGATTCTGGCCTGTGTTTTGATTAAAATTCAGCGGATTTGGCGGTGCATGCTGCTGTTGTTGTTGCTGATTTATCATGTAATTGCGATTATCTCCGGAGGATCCACTCGATCCCCCGGAATTTCCTCCCTTGCTCAAAGTGCCCATCAGGTTGGCTATAATGCTTTCGGTGTCCTTCAGCGAGATCTTGGAGGCAGCTGCTGGCTTGAAGGTAAGGGCATTTGGCGATGATTCCACGTTTATAATGGGCGGACCTGCTGTCTTTCTGGCATTACCACCGCCGCCGCCATTCGAATCGCAGGCCTTCATCACCAGATCGTCAAAGTTGTAATCATCGTCTTCGTCGTCATCGATTATAAAGCTAGGCGAGACCGGAACGCGACGCTGCTTGTTAATGGGCAAATTTTGGAAATCGCGTTGCCGTTCACGCTCCACACTGATACGTCGGGTGGTCAGCGAGGAGAGAGCTGCCATAGGGGAGGATGAGGAGGCGGCGACGGCGGTGCCGGAGGAGGAGGCCATGCCGCCTGAATACGAAACCCTGGACTTGGATCTCTCCGTCGGCTTTGTGGCCCCACCAATGTTTACTACGCGCGACAGGAAATCACTGCAGGACTCGCCATCACCACTCAGCTCCGCGAGATTCACATACTTGCGCAGTCGCTCCACGCGCGAGGGCTCCTGGACCTCCATTTTGCGCAGATGTCCAATAAGATGCACCTGCTCCTCGTTCGACAAAAATTTAAAGTTCTGGAGTAGCGTCTGCAGATCTGAGTCGGTCAGCGACTCCATGCCATTGCTGCCGCTGGCTGGTTCCAGTTGAGACTTGGCCGTTGCTCCCGCACTGGGGGCAGCCACATCCAGAGACTCCTTGTTCAGCTGGTTCTCCACCTCCTTCATCAGCTCGTCCAAATCGATGCCCATGTTAACGGCGGGCGTCTCTTTTTGCAGACCGAGCTTGGCCAGAATCTCATTGAATGACAGGGCATTACTCATGTCCACCTGACGGCGCTGTTTGTCCGTCTTCACCAGCAGCGTTAGCAAGTGCAGCAGTTTGTTCATGTCGCCGGTACTCACGTCGTAGTATCCTTTGAGTACCAGAGCGTTGGCCAGCTTGGGGGCCACTACATTCCGGTCGAAGGGCAGCTGAATGGGCGCCGGATTTGCGTTCGCCTTGACCTTGGCCTCGGCGGCATCGGGTATACCTAAATCATCCGGTTATTGGGGAGGAACAACACAAAAAAAACAATCAGTTAGGATTGGCAGGCGTGGGTGTCACAGAAAATGAAGCTTCAGTGTCGCGCGGAACTACGTAAATTACATTTATACTTATGGATGGAGTGGATGGCGACAGGACTGCTCAAGGATCGTTGGCACACTTTGTTCACACACCCGCCAACAAAAATGGAAAGCTGACCGCAAATCGAGTTTACCGAATACATTTTTATTTGGCGGTGGTTTCGATAAAAATCACAGCGTTTCGACAAAGTTTTATAATAAAACTAGATAAGACTTTACTCAAATAAAGTAAAATACTAATATTAGTCCCACTTGAAAATATGTGCAAAAATTTCCAAATTCTGTTTTATTATATCTCGTGTACTGTTCGAAATATAGTTTCTTATTATTTTATTGTGAGAAGAAAACCACCGTAAATAATCCTGATTAATGTAAAGCTTTTGGGAAACATAACCCGAAGCACTCGATATGCGAGAAACGCTCAGTAATTGCCAGGAATAAGCAGAAATTCAGAGCATTCAATTCAATTGAATATAGTTTTTTTTAAAACAACTAACGATTAAAAAACCTGGCCCAGGATAAACATAAATATAAATGTATTGAGCACCCATATTGTTTATGATTTAGTGAGAAAGAACAAATGTGTTTTACATCCGCCAATATAGTTTATTTTTTAAATAACAATGTTAAAAAAAACTTATTGCGAGTCTTCGTATTACTTAAGAACCAAACACTGAATAATATTTCATATATCTTTTAGTGTTAACCGCAGAGGTTAGTAGATGAAAGTAATAAATGTATTATTTTTCAATTCTTTATCACCAGCACATAAACAAGTTTTCGTTGAAAACCACTTTGAATGTTTCAAATTTTTTAATCTAACCTATGCAACCGATTGGCACAAAACTCACATCAAAGATAAACTTTAGAACTTCACTAAGTGCTTAACAAAAACCGTAAACCGCGCGGGTAAATCGTTTTATTTTTTTATGCAAACCTTTTTGATTTAAGGGGCAAGTCGGGAAGTTTAGTTTTGTTCTACACTCATACTTACCTCCGGACCTCTAACCGCGAAAAACAGGGGCGAATGGGGGCGGGCTTACCTCTGGAGTTCACCTGAAAGATGATGGCCGCTATGTTGGTGATCAGTTTTTTAACCACCCGCACCTTTTGCGGATCGTCCAGAACCTCGGCGATGAGGATGCCCTTCAGCTTTTCCTTGGTGGTCTCGAGAAAGACACAGTTGTCGTCGTTCATAAGCAAATCGTCAGCGGCATTTGGCTGCACCATCTCCATGGCCAGCGCTTTGCTGAGCAGATTGAGGGCCTTGGGCCCCAAGCTGCCCAGGTGTTCTTCCACGGCGGACAACATGCGAAGGACACTGACGACGGTCAGTGGACCCTCCTCGACGGGATCTGAGGGTTCCTTATCCTTGTTGGAGGAGACGGCTGGCGAAATGGACCGCACCTTGGGGTTGTTGTATTCCGGATACACACGAGAATCCATCATGCGGAAGGTCTCTACATGGTCATAGCTGCGCGGCCCGCGTGCATAGCCCTCACCACGGAAATACTCGGTAGATCTCTCCCGCTCCAGGCTGCGACGATCCACGAAATCCCTAGGTGTGGGGGACAGGACGCGCTCCCTGGAACGGTGAGCGGCACGATCACGTTGGCGGTAGAAGGCCGGTGAGCGCGATCTGAGTCTTAGGCTGCGGGAACGCGAGCGGGAGCGTGATCCCCGCCGGAAATTGCGGCGCGGCGAACGACTACGTGAACGCCGCAAGGGACGACGTCCGCCCCGCTTGGGGGACAACGACCGGGATTCCGAGCGCCGTTTGAAAGGCCGACCACGGTTCGGAGGACTAGAGGTCTCGTCATCGCTAATATCTATGACAGCATCGGGAGCTCCTGCCGCACCCCCTGCACGATTGTTGCGGAAGTTCTGCTTGCGACGATTGACGGCTTTGGTCTTGGGCGGCGCTTCTTTTGGACTGGCCCCTCGGATCTTGTAGCGTTCCATTAGCTCCTTGGTCTTCTCCTCGTCTTCGTCGCCCAGCTTGAACTTTTCCTTAAGATCCTTTTTGATTTTGTTTACCGAAATGTTGAACAGCTCGATGCGGCGATCTTTCCAGTAGCTAATCCACTCCGGCTTGTAGTCGTACTGATTCGGATCGCAATTCTTCTCCTCCTGCAGCTGCTTGTAGCGCCGATTCCAGAACTGTTTCCACTCGTCCGGATAGTCCGGATGCTTCTCGGGATTCGACTCGTACGTCTCCGTTTCATCGCGCAGCTGCTTGAGCTGAAGTTCCAACACGCAGCGGAACTTCTCCCACTTGTAGCGCTCCTGGGCGATAATAGAGGCCTGAATGGACAGCTGCTTGGGCGTGGGCAACTGCTGGGGCTTGATCACGCCACCAGGTGGCGGAGGCGACCGATTGACACCACGTCCAATGGCATCTTCGCCCAGGTTATTTTTGTGCAGAAGCACTTTCGGCACCTGGAGGGCAGGAGGAACGGAAGGGCCGAAATTCTCATCATCACTGGAGATGGCATCCAGGGAGGTTATATTGCCGTCCTCCCGCTTGTTGCTGTTGCCGTCGGCGGCGTTCATCTTGAGGCTGACCTGGATAGACTCGTCAGGCTTTGGTTTGCGCAGGAGCCGTTGCGCCTCCTCGGCGAAATCTGGACCGGCACACTCATCGAAATGGAAATTATCCCGCACCTGGCTGCAGATCTTGGCGCGAAAACGCCGGAAATCCTCGCCAGTGGCCGTCGTCATCTGACGAGAGCGACCGAAGTGCTTCTCAATCGCCGTAACGAGTTTCCCGGTGGCGATGACCAGATCGCCGGAGCTGTTGGGCGTGCGCTTGAGCTTCTGGAGTACATCGTGGGCCTTCTGGAAATGGGTGTGCAGGTACTTAGTGCGGTGGGCCAGCGATGTCCAGTGGACAAAGACGCTGCGGCCATCGGTGCAGGAATTGCACAGCACGCAGAAGTAGTCCGGACGCAGCTGGCCCGCCTCGTGCAGCTCGATGGTGTACTCGGTGCCGATCAGTGGGCCGCCGGTGTAACTATCGATCTGCTTTTGGATCACCGACGATTGGGACATGTCGTTCTCCTCGAATCCCGGTGGCACCGGCTCCCCCGGCAGGAAACTCATGACCAAGTCCCCGAATCGCTCTGCGAATGGGAATCACACAGAGAACGCCAGTGAACGGATTTCGTCCAGGGTCAGCACTTACCTTAGTTTCCGGTTCCGGTTCCTGCGTTTCGTTTTCCCCTTATCTTTTTTTTCTTCCGCCAGTGGCCGATTTTTGTTCACTTTTGCACTGCGGATTTCACCATTCACGATCACTTTTTCAAAGGGGAGGCTTTCGCCTGCGGAGTTACCGGTACTTACTATGCCAGGATATGCAATAACAGCATATAACTATCCGTTTTTCCAGCGCCTTTCCTCCTTTTTTTTAAGTGGCGTGAAAATACGAAGACCTTTTTTTTTGTGTGGTAGAGACTGCTTTGCAGTGTTACCGTGCGGTGGTACTGTAGTAAAACCACTTACGATAGTTTCGAAATATCGACGCTTGGCTTGGTATCATATTTTATATAAATTTTGTAATAAAATGTCAAACACATATATTTTTTAATCTCAATCAAATTTAACGATAAATTAAATGTTATTTTGTATATTAGTCTGTTGCGTAATTTATAAATTAATAGCGAACTAATTTAATTTACCACAAAACCATTTAAACACCACTCTCGAATGCTCTACAAAAAAATTCCGCATTGTCACTGACGCTACTTTGACGCACATACATATGTATGTAACTTAAGTCCAAAGCTTGCAACATTTTAAAGGAGTTATTTTAGTTATAAAATATATATATTCTTAAATATGATAATCAGGCGAGTCCAACTATACTAGAATACCTGCGTCTGTCTCCAACTTATCTTCAGACTTCAGACCTAACTCTCAAGGTCCGATACTTCTTCCTCAAATAAGCCCCCTTCTGTTTGTCAATGAGAAAAGTGAGACTACAAAAATATAATTATAAAATTTTTGGGACTAAAGAACTTGTTTTATTATTATTGAGCAGCCGGCAGTCTCTACATAATTCGACTCTTCAAAAACTCAATCGATAAGAGAATACCCCAATTTTTGTTCTGGTGACTTGTTTCTTAATTCTAAAGGGAAATTATAGGAATTTTATTAAGATATCCGTTTCTTTCGCTCTTCTCTTTGGTATTTATCTATAACTATATTTATTTTTTTATTCAATGCAAAAGTTTAAAATATACTAAAACCTACAATGACGGATTTTTGTAAGATACCATAATACTATCACATTTTGGGAAAAAAAAGCGGGCACAAAGCATAAACAAACCGGCAATGTCGCTCACGGATATTTTGGAATTAAACAAAACTGAATTGTTTGCGAAGATTCGCGATGGCTTGCCCCTGGCGCAGAGGACTCAGAACCTGTTGGACTGCAAAGACGACCTTCTGTTCGCCTGGGACGCCAAGGAGTGCTGCTTGTTGGTGCGCAACTGGCGTTCCTCACTGGCGGCCGATGTGAATGTCCAGTTTCAGACCCTGATCCCCTCGAGCACGGTGAGCCTTGAGGTGGACCGCGTGCTGGCCTCCAACGAGTGCTCCCTGGTAGCGCTAAGCGGACCACGCGGCGTGACCATCCTGGAGCTGCCCCGCCGCTGGGGACCTGAGGGATACTACAAGGACGGCAAGGCCAGGATCACCTGCCGCACCTTCGGGCTAGATACTCAGCTGTTCCTCAACAACCCGCACCTGGAGGTGCGTCAACTGCGCTGGCATCCGCACTCTGTATCGGATTCTACGCTACTGGTGCTGCTTAACAACAACACCATCCGGGTGTACAACCACTCCAAACTGCGCCACGTGTGGCAAGTTGGTCCATCGTTCCGCCGAGGCGAAGCCAACAGCTCCCTCTGCGACTTCGGCGAGGTGGCCGTGGACTTTGACATTGCCCCCGCAAAGAAACCAGTTGACACAGAACCCGCCACGGAAAACGAATCGACTTTGGATAAGAGCAACAGAACCCTGATCGCGGCCAAATCGGTGCCTAAGCAGGACAAGATCGAGTGGCCCTTAGTGGTGCTGCGCGAGAACGGCAACATTTACGTCTTAATGACAGGCCTGGACTCGGACAATACGCGTCTGCAGGGCCCCATTACCATAACGCCTCAAACGCAGGACAACTATGGGCTGGAGTCGTGTGCTCTCCTGATTATTCCCTCGCTGCCGCCGACTGTTGTTATAGCCGAATCTAACGGCAAGCTACATCATGCTCTGCTCATGGAGGCGGAGGGCACCGAGCATTCCTTTAACGAGGTGGATGACTTTGTGCTTATTGAACCCGCCGAATACGTTATACACGTTCTTGAAACTGTGGAACTGGAGCTGGGATTGGCTGCTTCTGGAGCTGGAGGTGTAGCAGGAGCTTCCTACAACTATCCAGTTTATTTGAAACGTGATTTGATAAACGAAATGCGCTACTTTGCCTACCACAACGCAGGCCTTCACGCCGTCACCGTGAGTTTCATCTCCGAACTGCAGCGTTACCTGGACAGCGAGTCCGAAGAAGACAGACTGGAGCTGGCAGCCTCTTCCCGGGCCGAGTATATCCTGTGCACTAAATTCGACTCCAGTGAGTCTGTGAACGCAGTCTTTGGACTGGCTTTGCTGCAAATTCCGGCCGGAGTGGTCCTGCTTTTGGGCAGCGGCCAGGTCATCAGTCTTAAGCTGGTTATCGATGCCCAACTACTAGTGACACCCAATGAGAATAAGCAGGCTTGCTTAGATGTGACGCAGCAAGAAAGTGGCCCTTCGTTTGTCGACACTATTAAATCGCTATTGCAGCGCAGTGTAAACCAGCCCATCCTCGCGGAAAAACTTTCTTCGCCATCCGCTCAGGAGAGCTACGAACTACTGAACCAGGCCATCGAGGTTCTACGCGAACAGTACCTGAAGCGGCATGACCTCGTCCGCGCTGCCTTCGCCCGGCACATCAACCAGATCCAGCTGAAGAAGGAGCAGCAACTGCAGGAGATCCAGGATCTGGAGCACGAGCGCGAGTTGATCAGCGAGCGGGCCCACAAGCTTGCCGAGCGCTTTGAGGAGATCAGCTACAGTCAGGAGCTGCTCGTGCGCAAATGCAACGGGCTGATGCAGAAGGCCAATGCCGCTCTTCCGAACAATGTGGTGGCGGAGCGCGAGTTTGCCCAGGAAGTTGCCCGTCTCAACACCGTCACCCAAAGCATTGCCGCTGGATTGGAGGGCGCCAAGAAGACGCTGAACAAACAGCGGTACCATATTGCTAAGAGCCAGGAGGATCTGAAAAAAAATGCGTACGAGCTGCCGGAAAAGCAACACCGTACTATTACTGAGATACTTACCCAATTGACCGGGGAGATCGATCGCCAGATCACCGACGTCAAGCGTATCAACAAAATCGTTGGTGTATAAACTCGGATTGGAAAGCATACTGATATATTTAGCCACGTTTTTGTTTATGTTAAATCCGAATCTTAGAACTAAAACGTATTAAAAATAAAATTGTCGATTAAGTCATATATTTGGTTGCGTTCTTCTCTTTATATTCAGTGGCTTTGCAATCAAAATACGTCAGACGTGTCTGCCAGACAATCCTCCAAGCATAGACTGTTAGAAATGTTATACACATGTGTATTTCAGCACTAAATCGATTACAGTAAACGCTTTTTTTAGCCGACTGCAATATATATAAATCAGTTTTAATCCCAACAGTTCTCCCTTGGAAATTTCCTTTTCTTGTTCCGGTAATTAAAATTCAATAAAACCATAAAGTTATAAACTAGTATTCCCTTAAGGAAGGTTAACGCCGGTCACCAATAGAACTTTTACTGTATATGTCGCACTTCGATCGTTTACTCATTCTCTTTAAAACGAAACCACTTGAAAGCGCAATCGAAAAACATTTGCAAGGCTAATGACATTTGCCACAAGCCTTTGGGGTCTCGATTGCTTTTGCGTTTCAGTAGCATTCTTAAGCGAAGTTTGGCGGACGAGAGATGACGTTGATCCTACTGGCCACCCTCTCCACCCTCTACACCGAGATGTTCAACTACGTGAAGGCGAAATTCCCGTTCGTGATCGAAGCCGCCATGGTGACTCTGTGCTTTGGTTCCATTGTGGGTCGATTCTGCATACTGGCTTAGAAGAATACTTAAAAGACTCGGTATTGCGTGAATTGAAGAAGCTTTATATTTAAATGAATTTTTCTTGTGGCTTTATGTGAATACAAACTAATGACTTAAACCTAAACCTGTGGTTTCTCGATAAAGTGGATGTAGAAGGCGGGATTCTTCACCTGGCTCATCTCCTTGAAGTCGCCGTACAGCTGGTGCTGTGCCTTCTGCGAGAAGATCTCGCCCAGGATCTCCCGGAACCGCTTCAGCTCGTGGGGATAGTAGGACAGGCGGAATTCGCTGGTCAGCTTGTTGCCAGCGATAAGGTAATCCATGGACACCAGGGATGGCTTGCCGCAGTAGAAGAGCACAGACGTCTTGATGTCCGCCGTATGACTCGTCTGTAATTAGGCACAAGTCATGATTGGATTAATTGAATCGGGAGCCGTGTAACTGATAAGGCAAATGATTATGAGGAAGTGGAGTGATACATCTGGGTTCAAAATCAAGATCATCCGTTCTTATCGCTACGATGATGCGACAACTTTTGGTTATTTTGAATGAAATGTGGCACATAATAGTTTTTAATTATTTACGAGATGATGTGGCATAATTTCTACTACTCATCTAAGATTATTTTTATATGTTTGATTTGCCAGCCTATTTGATTTGACTTTTCAGATAGTCTAATAGAGTTGACTATAGTTGAGATTGTAAAAGTAAGACTGGTTAATAGGGTAATTGACTTTAGATGAGATTAATTAGGCAAAAAAAAAGAGTCATGGATTGAAATATAAAAGATATAGCGGGCTTACATTATAGTAAATGCTCTTGGCAGGCGTGGCACCCGTTTCTAGGATGTTGTCGTAGTTGCGATGATCGATTAAAAGGACGCCCCCAGGCTTCAGGCACTTTGCGAAGTTGCCGATGGCCTGCTTGTGCTCACGCTGATCCCCGAAACCATCCATCAAGTGGGCAAAGGAGTTGCCCAGGCAGATAACCGCATCAAAACCGTCCTGGATGTGTTCCTGGATGTCGTCGTACAGAGTCAGCCAGTTAGCCTCTTCAATGACTGTCAGAGATAAATTGATATTTAGCATGGGGATGTAGATGTTTGCTATGAGTTAACCCACTCCAATTATCGAAGGCGGCTTCCTTTCGCCGGGCCCAGCGTTCTTTAAGGGCATACTTCAGCATCTTATCGGAGGCATCTACGGAGACAACCTCGAAGCCCTCTTCTACTAGCATCAGGGAGTCCACACTTGAAAAAACATTTGAATATTGGGAAACAAGAAAAGGATAAAGCTTAGGAAGTCTTTGCGGACTTATTATTTAAATACTGGAATGCTTACATTTACAAGCTAAACGTATAGTTTAGGCAATTAAATATATTGCTACTTTGACATTTTGGAATATTTTAATTTTAAGGTTTTAAATTTTTTAGAATATTTCTTACCCCGTTCCACAGGCCACGTCCAGGACACGCTTACAACCCTTGTTGCGCAGCATGTCGATCAGGAAGTTCTTGTAGTTGTCCGTGCGCGAGTTCTTGTCCCCGATGAAGATCTCCCACACCTTGGCGGCCTTGCCATCGGCGTACTGGTCCCGAACTCCTTCGGCGGAGATTCCATCGGAACGGGTAACGAACACACTGTCGGCGGAGGTGGTCATCTCTGGAAGTCAGCTCTGGTCGGCGGATCGCAGCGAAATAATTTGATGTGGCAAAAGCACGCTCCACGTTGGCTTCCCGGGGACTCAGAAGCCAACAGCTGTCGCGCCCACGAAGCGCCGACGTAGGCCACATAGCAGTCCGTAATCTTATCAGTCCCGCCCGCTTGACGTGTGACCCACGGTCGGGATGACGGCGAGAGCTCCACATCTGTTCCCGGCGGAACGTGTTTTCGCCAGTGGGCTTTCGCTTTTGTGTCTTGACCCTGACCCTGACCCTCCGGTTGTGATTAGGGCTCAGCGATCGCATCCCGTGGTCAAAACAGAATGACGGAGCAAAATAATTAAGCATGTCAGTCATACAGTAAAATCTCTTATTTAAAATGTGTATATGCCGATATTATCTAATAATAATATCGGCTATATCACGTGTCCCCATTAAATTTATTTTTAGTTGAACCTTTTAATTTTGTATTGCTTCTGTTATTTAAATGGCTATATTAATAAGTGTTAGAAATAACAGTGTACCGAACTTGATTTTAAGGGATGTATAAGTTTCAAATAATTAATATTTTAAGTTTTTAATAATCCACGTCTGTTATTACCAGTAGTCACTGTCCATCGTATGAGCTCAATGAATATTATATTTTCCTTGAATTTCCCAAATCACTGTTCCCTGTTGTCAGTCGACTCAGACAATATATATAGACGTTCATATGTATCATCAAGATTCGCCAACTCATTTTCAGCCCCATTAATAGAACCACATAATACATTTTTGGATTCATCGATATAAAAAATTGTTTTTATTTTTAATAGTAGTTATAAATATTGCACTGCTTTAAATAACTGGAACTCGAAGTTTCCCAAATGGTTGGTTTGATATTGCACCTAGATTTATACGGATACGATCTTAGAGATAAAGTCACACTGAATGTTCTATAGGAGGTACTTAAAGCTACACTTGATTACGTTTCGCAAGATAATTATTCAATCAATAAGGACGATAATTGTCTTGGGAAACATAAGCCGTTCGAGGGATTATAGGATTATGAGTATGTGAGTATAGCCTTTAAATATAAGCTTATGTGCTATCTACTTCGTAACTGAGAGCCGGCTTCGAGTGGCGGATCCCACATCCTGGTCTATGGCAAGTACCCCAGCGAGTCCTCCAGGGAGGCGCTAACCGCCCGCATCGACTGATAGCTGCCCATGCGGCTCCGGCTGGCGTTGCTGCGGATGGAGGCGGCCTTGGCCTCCATGGCCTTAAGGTTGGCCAGCAGGTTGTCGGCACTGCCCATGCTCTTGCCCAGCGGCAGGGGTAGCGGCAGGGGCAGGGGCAGCGGCATACCGCCGCCCATCCGATCCGTGCTGAAGGACTCACGGGTGCGGTACGAGGACCTCCTGGAGGAGGCATTCGATCGGCAGCTGCCCACCCTCGATCCCGGTCCCTTCGGCGGGCACAGGCTCTTGATGTCCGTCGTCTGGCTGAGCTTCATGTCCGCGAACACCGCCGCCGCCTCCACGCTCTTCTTCACGCTCAGCGCCTCATGGGGCTGCACCGGCTGTCCACCTCCGCTGATGCTGAAGAGCTCGTAGTCCAGGCCCAGCTTCTCCGACGGCTTGCCCTTGCGGGCCGCTCCAGCGTTTCCTGGGCGGGACTTCCGCTGCTGCTGCGACAGCGAATCCTCGCTAATGGCCGCCGCCGCCGAGGATCGCTGACGGCGATGGGTGCGCTTGCAGTAGCACTTGCTGGCGCTCACACAGCTGTCCGAGTCGCAGGACGTGGTGGTCTCCGTGAGCGAGTTGTGGGCCGAGTCCCGCTCCATCGAGCTGGCCGGCTCCTCCTCCACCATGGAGCAGTAGCACTTGTCGTCGGAGCGGCACGAGATTAGCGAGTGCCGGTTAGTGGCTGCCGTTCCTGCTACATTTTTGGACAGGACTCCGCCGCTCGAAGGCTTTCGGGTGGGCGAGGCCACGAGGGCCATGTTGCGCTCGTTCTTCTGGCGCAGCTTGTGGTTCAGGTGCTCCGTGCGCAGGCTGCAGTAGCAGCGATCCGCCGAGGCGCAGGCGCAGGACTCGGAGTCGTAGCTGCACTCCGAGCAGGACACGTATCTGCGGGATATCAGGATTTAGTTACACCGAACATTTTAAAAACCATTCTTAGACGCAAAAAGGCATTGATAAGAACGCGAATTAGAAAAGAGAGTTGGAAAACCAAAGCTATACCCTAATGTTTCAAGATAAATCGCTTTAATTAACTGGCTAAAGAATTTATTTAGATGAAATTTCTTAACGATTCTTATAAGTGGCAAATCACTTTTTTTATCCTAGAATTACGATTTGTAGTACAAGTTCATGAATTTGGAGCACAGATGTCTCTCCATTCAAAGCTATGGAACTTAACAAATCATAATTAACGAAACTTATTTTTTTTGTTTAAGCTAGCCAAATATCTAACAAAAGTAAATTTTCCTAAACCAAATACACGTATAGTGAATTCAACAACTCCAATTCTACTTAATATATTTTTTAAATATTATATATCAAACTCCAAGAGTTAGGTTCAAAATTGGAATAAACGAAATTTATTTACTAGTTGTTGCCATGACCGCTATTTTATTTAGACGTTCTAATAAGTTATTTTTTTCTGAATGGTATAAATACCTAATAGCGGAAACATACCCACTGCTGCTGTTCCGGTTGAGTCCTTGGGTGTGCTCGTTTCGCACCACCGACACATCGGAACCGCTGGTGGCCGCCCTATTCCGCTGGTGCTGCTGCTGGGCGTGGCCATGGGTGATGGGCGGTCCGATGATGATGGGCGGACTGATCTTGCGCTTGCCCTGGCTGTCCAGAGTGGCCTCCTTGGAGCTCACCGCCGGCTTGGATAGCTTGCCGCGGCACGAGCGGAACTGGCCCAGCTGGAAGACCTTCTTCAGGCTTTTGGTGCCGAAAAAGCTGCTCTTCGATTTCTTCTATGGGTTCAGGGAATATTATTCTGATCGTCCAGACTTAGTGCGCCTTGATGACCCACCTGTGATCCGTTAACACAAGCCTTGCGCTTCTGTTTCTTCTTCTTTTGACGCCGCATGATGTTCTTGGAGCGCTGGAAGAGCTCGTCCTGCGTAAGGGTGACGGCCAGCTTGAGCAAGAACTCCTTGTAGATGGGCTTCAGATCGTTGAAGGACATGCCGTCGGCGTCTATGATGGCGTATAGGATGTCGTCCAGCGAGTGCAGGTTCTCGTGCAGGCGAAATTCGTTAAACAGTTCGCTGAAACCAAGTGGGGAACTAGAAGCACAATTCAAGCGATGCCAATCAACCAGGCCAAACCTTCTCCCCCATATTGCAAAAAGACTGCCTCCCGTGCCCAGGGTCAGATGCAGTGGATTAGTGGCCAACTGCACCTGTCCCCCAGTCCGGTGGCAATACTCACCCTCCTCCGCCGCCGCCTCCGCCGCCCAGTTTGCCGGAATGGCGCCTCGCCGCTCGCGACTTGTAGCGGGTCAGTCCTCCGGTGTTGAGGAAGCTGCCGGATCTGGGGATGGCCACCCGAGTGAGGATGTCCCCGTTGGCCGGTGCCACATCGACGCCGGCTGACAGTTCCGTCCCCGCCGAAGGCTTCTTGCCGGGATGCGAGTTCTGGTGCAGCCGGGTCACGTGTCCATTGCCGCACACTATGCTGCCACTACGGGATGGCGTTCCAACTCCGCCGTTCCTGTGCCCGCCCGAACCAGGAACTGTGGTGGGAACTGGCGGTGCCCGCTTCGACTTGTGCGACTTCCGTCTGCGCTCCTCCGTGGAGGTCTCCAGCTCGGCAGCCTCGTTAATGACATTGCTGTGAGAGCTCAAGGAGCTGTTCGAGACCCGCTTCTTGCGTCCGGATCTCGATGGAGCCCCACCCCCTCCGGAACTACCCCGGAAGGAGCTGCGTCGCCCGCTGGCACTGGGCAGGATCTGGGAGCGGGACAGGTAATTGGAGCTGGCCAGCGCCGAGCTGCTGGCGATGCTGACGCAGCTGACCCCGTTCTGCTGGCGGGGCGTCCTTCGCTGGGTGTTCCGCCGCGAACTGGTGCTCACGTGGGCCATCAGACTCTGGTAGAGCGTGGCCGCAATCACGATGGCGTCCTCGGTGCTCTTGCAGATGAAGCCATGGCACTCGAGCACCTTGGGCGAACTGGCCGAGCGCATGACCACCGCGAAGATGGGCGCGTGCACATGGATGCTGTGCTCCACCGCCAGCTGTTCGCTGGAGCTAAAGGGATGGATGTATTTAGCCATTAGTAAGGTAGAATATTAAAGTTGTTTCAAAAGTCTTTCCATTTTGAAAACAATATTGGAATTACAACTTTCGGATTCAGAAATCCTTTGCAAAACTATACAACGGAAAATAAAATTCAAGCTTTGAAAAGCAACAAATTATGACTCCTACGGATTTTAGGTTTAGAACAACTTTGAATATTTACAATATAATTCATAATAAAGTAATTGAGCATTATTTTGAAAAATCCAAACAAACTTATTTAGATAACTTATTTTCCTTGTGGTCTTTTCTTTTATCTGTTTAAGTAGGTAGCTTACCTCAGTGGCTGGAACAGGGCAGTCTTGTCAATGTTTTCGGGATCGGTGATCAGAGGCAAGAAGGCTGCGCCACCGTCGTCATCGGATATGACGAACTTCACCGCCGACCACACGGCAATGTTGTGGAAGGGCGTGATGAGGGCGTCGCTCTCCTCCGGAATACCCGCTCCATTTGAGACGGCCATTGCGCTGATCTTCACTCTCAGTCCGGTGGCGCAGATATCCAGCGATCCGGAGTTGAGCTTATGCTGGATGAGCCAGGATATTGGTATTAGTTGCATAATACTCCCATTATTGAGTGAGAACACCCACCTTCTTGGTCACCTCGCTGAGGTACAGCTGTCGCAGCGGCTCCTGCAGACCCTGCAGACTGGTCACCTTGTCCTTCAGCGGCAGCGATCCCAGGCAGGTGATATCGAAGCTACTGGTCGCGTCCTTGGCCACGTCCGTGAACAGCTGCTCGATCTGGGCCTGCACACTGTTGCTGATCCGCTGCACGTCCTTCTTGGCCGCCTCGGCCAGCACCTTGGCCGACTGCCCGTTGTCCTGCAGGAAGCTGCTGAGGGAGCGGGGCGTGTCGCCCGAGGTGCTGGCCAACTCACTGCGCCCATACATGATGATGGAGCGGGTGCGATGCGATCCCCGGGGATCGTCGAGGCGGCTGCTTCGCATGGATCTGGATGGGGGATACAGAAAGTAGCATTACATTAATGATCCTAAATAGTCTCATTGTATCGTTGAATTAATAATCATAAATTATATAATTATAGATATAGGGAAATGCGCTCAAAGAATAGAAAACATTTAATTGTAAAACTTTTAAAACCAAATCATTTAAAAGGCCCTTCTAGTTTAAATTGTAATTTTATTTTATGATTCACATATTTTTCTTGAAAATAAATCGTTTTTATTAACTGGATGACAATAATTAATGGATAATAAATTTATATAGATGAAATTTGCTAACGGCTCTAACGAGTAGACATATCACTTATTTCTTTATTTAAACTCCAGAATTACGATTTGTAAAACTAGCTTGTGAATTTGGAACACAGATGTCATCCCACTCAAAGCGAGTTCTTTTGCGAACTGAACCAAAGTTACGGAATTTCGTTAAAGAAATTCCTGCTTTGTTTTTTAAAGTATAATTATTTAATAGCCAAATCGACAGAAAGTTCTTTCACAAAATGAATAAAATTTAAATTTCCCGAACCACATAATTTAGAATGTCATCTAGATCATCGATTAGATTAAAAAGTTGATGAATTTCAATTTGTATTTTATGAGCCGTTCTCCAGTCAACACTTTTAGTGCTTAAAACGACAAAACGGTTCCATTTTTGTGAAAGTTTGGCTGATTAACGCACGAACAACCTGAGATTAGCATATTCGACTCGCAGCGGAGTTTGAGTCCGACTGCCTTCTATTTGCGAGCTTGCTGGCTGGTAGCTGAATTGGCCACATCCTGCTGACCAGGTCAGAACCCAGGTCCCATGAGTGCGAGTGGAAGTGCGGAGAGGTTTGACGGGATAGAGGCGTTTCGGCGGCCAATGGCCGAATGCAGCTTAAGGTGTTCCCAATTCGAGCCATTCCGTTTACCGCTAGTTGACATAAAATCGGAAATGCTTATTTCCATAGAACGTCTTCGGCCGTCGAGAGTTTTGAATGGGAATGAAGATGAAGGTGACGATGAGTGGTGGGCATTGGAGTGGGGGGCTCTTGGTTTTCTTTCTCAATCAATTAAGTAGTTCGTCTGCGAATGTGTGTCAACGATGAATATTTAAGCCAAGAGCAAGTGTCGCTCTATCTTTGGCTGCTCCAGCCTCAGGTTCCCCCCTATTCTCCCCCAATTATTCCATCGGACAATAAAGTTTTTAATTTTGGAACTAACTGTAGTTTTCGTTGGTTATGGAAATGCAAAACGGTAAACGAAATATCTCTGGGTCTCTCACTCGCCGCTCGTATCTGTATCTGAATCTGAATCTGAATCTTTGAGTAGTTTGTGTAGCTTCGAGAACGAAAGTGTTGGGTGGTCAAAGGCAGCTCAGAAGGCTAATTGATTTGTTTTGCCCTGAGATGGAGAGTGGGGCTAATGGGTGAAAAAAACACACCTCCCCAGGCTATTTGCTCCCAATTACAAAGTTTCACCCCGAAAGCCCCAACTCACCTGGAATCGTCGAACATCAGATCGATCTTCAGTTTGTAGATGGAGTTGCGGCTGACACTCGAATTGTTTTCGAGCTGGTCGCCGTCCAGGAGCCGAAAGCCGGAAGAGTTGCTGTTGCTGTTGCTGCCGACGGGCTTTCCGCGGGTCCGGGCCGCATTCATTTTGGGAACAGCCACCGCGGTTTGGGAGTCCACCTTGCAGGTGACCATCCTCCTCCTCCTGGGGGGCTGGACGTGCTAAACACTCGCGGAATGCCGCTGCTGCGGATGCAAATCGCTGTTTGCAATGCACCGTGCAATGTTCACTGTTCACTGTTTCACTGTCTGGGTATTATTGGTTTTTGTTTTTTTTCTTTTTTGGCGGCGAAGGAGCGCGCAATTTGTGGGCAATTAGCGGTGAATGCAATCCGTTTAGGCGCAATGAACGTTAATTTCCAGCATGTTAGCGAATTACACGAGCCTCGGCCTCACACACTTTGCATAGGGTGAGAGTGAGATACTCGGGGAAGGGGGTCTCGATCGCGAGGTGTTGCATGGCGTGCTCCGCTGGGACCATCATTCAATCTTCATTCATCGCACTGGAGCCGGCTCATTAATTAGCTGCAAGCAAAACCAAAAACCGACAAATTTTAGCATAATTAGATTAAGGCACAGGCCCGGCAACCGTTGGCCATTCACGAGGAAAAGGTATTGCAAAATAGTTATTAATAATTTGGTATGATAGCTTTTTGGTTTTTCAGCTTCCAGTTTCAAGTTGTTTTTTTTTTGCGCCGTTTCGGCTGATAAATTGCCCAATGAAATGCAATTGTTGTATCGGAAAAATGTTGGCTATTTGCGAACGCACAGAGTGGGATACGGGTTGCATCTATGAGATACTTTCACTGCAGAGATATTCGCGATAATTAGCAAATGCCGAACACACACAAGCACACACTCGAGTGAGCCAATTTGAAATGCCATTTACTTGTGTGCCTTATTGAACTTCAACTCCACTGCACCACATCGTCACCGACTACGACCCAATCCGGTGAAATACAGGTCTGGCTCTTGGTAATCCAAATCTCCAAGTGCTGTAACTGGGCTCCGAAACCGGGCGCTCCGTCCGAGTTCGTTGAATGCCACACGGCGACTGGCCGGGCTGAAACGTCGAAGCTCTCAAAAGAGCCAGAGAAAGATAGAAATGAGCGGACCATAACAACAATATCATCTCTGGCGTAAGTGGGCAGTGGCGGCACAATGAGAATGCCCGGCCATAACTGACACTGACTTTGTATCGCGGAATATGGCCAAACTGTTTTTCTTTGGCCAAATGTTGGGGAAGACGAACGGGTCCGTCGCCTTTCGACAGCCCCAATCACTTGCCCAATATCGCAGCATTATGTGTGATTATCATTTGCATACACGGCCATGTGAATGTCGCAAAGTTATTTGGGCAATGCACCTTTGGGTCCGATCCCAATGTCAGTCTCCCACAAATGTCGCACCCGCGGGCCAACTGCAATTAAAGCCAGTGTCGCCAGTCCGTTCGAGTGGGACTTTGGCTACTCCAAAATGCCGGTGGCCCGGGTTTTTTTGCCATTTGCGCAAGCGCAGAAGCTGTGACCGCGTTTGGGGGAAGGGGAATGGGAAGGGGAGGGGAAACCATCGGGCTGCAGCAGTGAAGGCATTTTCGAAATCAATGACCGTGGTCAAGTCTTACGATAATTGGAGCTGCCCGCGGCCTCTTTCGCTTCATCGTAAAATGCATTTAATTTTTCACTTTGAGCCGAGCTGAAATCGCTTGGGCGCAGTTGGAAATTGAGAATAGCTGGCGAGGAGTGAACAGAACTCCAAGGAAAAGAATAGTTTCAGGTAATAAGCGTAATAATTCACGGGCATGCAAAGCCATAATATGGTTGATATTAAATTTACATTTTGAGTTGCAAATTAGAATGATTAGAATAAAAAAGCTGCGGTGGCTTGTTTAACTAGGGGTTTTATCGGTTGTGGCACTATTTATTTTTATACCCGTTACTCGTAGAGTAAAAGGGTATATTGTATTCGTGCAAAAGTATGTAACAGGTAGAAGGAAGCGTTTCCGACCCTATAAAGTATATATATTCTTGTTCAGGATCACTAGCCGAGTCGATCTAGCCATGTCCGTCTGTCCGTCTGTCTGTCCGTCTGTCCGTCTGTCCGTCTGTCCGTCTGTCTGTCCGTCTGTCTGTCCGTATGAACGCTGAGATCTCGGAAACTATAAAAGCTAGAAGATTGGCATTTTGCATGTAGATTTAAGGAGTTCCTACGCAGCGCAAGTTTGTTTCAAAATGGTGCCACGCCCCCTCTGACGCCCACAAGCCACAAGCTGTGGCCACAGTTTTGATGCTATTATGAAAATTTTAATTGATATGTATTTGTTTCGTCAATACCTATCGATTGGCCTAATAAAAGTTTGCCACGCCCACTCTAACGCCCAAAAACCCATTAAACGCTTAAGCCTGGCTAGCGCCTACATTTCCGCCTTTCATGGCGCCATCTAACGGATGACTTTGGAACAGCTGGCCAAGGTGCTCAACAGAGTCAACGTTAATTTTCGATAAGGATTTATATTAAAGGAAATTGCGATGGTTTTCATTTGTCAATACCGAACTATATCCCAAGAACTATGCAAATCAAATCAAGTTAGCCAAATTGGAGGTCTGAGTCAAACAATGGCGTATGTGTGTATGTATGTAAGCATATACATATGTATGTATTTACATTGTACACAGTTGCAATTGTTTAGCGGAGTAACGGGTATCTAATAGTCGAGGCACTCGACTTTAGCGTTCTTTCTTGTTTATTTTGCTTTGCCTGGCCTTCCATAATGAAATCAACCTGTACCACATCGACCACACTCGTAATTCAAGATGATTTCAATTAAAAACTCCGTTTCCATTTCACTAATAAAAACTTTTAAGCCAGCCGCCGTAAAAATCTATCTCTGTGTTTACATCAAACTTTCCATTTTCCATTTTAGATTTTAATTTTGATGGCCTTTGATCGGCTGCGTTTGTTTCTCGAGTGTTGTCAACTTTTTCGTTTTATTCATGAGTTAACAGTAACAAGTAATTAAAAGTCGTCCGCGTGAGACAACAAGAAATGCGAAGCGAACTAATTGCCCTTTGTTTGTGAGGAGCCTGTCCAGAAAGCTCTTACTTTTATTACTTTTCTAGGCCCTTCGACCTGGCCAGATCGGTGTGACTGGTTTCGTTTTAATGGGCCTCGAACGGAAAACGTTTAAATAAGATGCCTGACAGATGATAGCGAAGAACCTGAATTTCGTTTTCAACGCGAAGAACCCGAACCTTTTCGTTTTCGTTTTCGTTTTCAACGGTTTTTCTTGTTAATGGCTAGAATTTTCCTTTGTGCGTGGCCAGCTTTTACTTTTAAGAGAATTTTCTATTGGTAGTTAAACCGTTAACTGCACGCATTCGACGGGGTGGTTGGGTGTTGATGGGTGATGTGATTTATTTAACAAATAACATCATACTACCGTGATCATCACTTTCTCTATTCAATTTACCAGGCTGTGTTTTATCTGTAGTTTCGGTGTCTGTTTTAAAGGTTTCTTGTACGAGTATGTGCAGCGGCAGCTATTTCAGAAATTAGTCGTATTTTTTGCTCAGCGTCAGCCCGACGAAGGCAGGCAAGCTTGAAGATACAGATACAGCCGGAGGGTTGAGCTGGAGCTGAAGCTTGGAGCTGGGTGCGCTCCGAGAGATACGCTTGATTCCTTCGCGCTCGTCTTGTGCCCAGCATTGCGTATCTGACATGCGCAGGCAGTGAGAGAAAATGCGACTACCCAAGGCCCCATTAATCTAGACGGAAAGCGTAAGCCATATCATTGAAAGCCCACTGCTAGCCTAGGTGAGAACATTTTCGCCAGTGTACTCGAGTGGACAAGTTCTGCAAATTATTCAAATCATTTACACAAAAACATTGCGCAATTAAAGTTTCATGACTTTCCCTGCCTCAGCCCAGACATAATCGCTCTGCGAGACTTTCTTTGTAGAATCGCGGCCCAGAGTGAGATGTCTTTCCCTCCGTTCCAAGTGCCCTACTCCCCACGAACTCCATTAGGCTCCATCCATTCATTCATTAGCCGCCCGGCCGTTGCGTCACGAACCCGAATCCAAAATGAGTCTTGAAAAATACACGACAATTGTCACATTGTGCTACTCATTACGCCATTTCTCGCCTCTTTCTCCGCCCGACCGACCCACTCATCCGTCCAACAATAGCGATTCACTTTTCACGAGGCGGAGCTGGCTCTGATACCAGCGGGTGGTTAAAAAGAAATTAATTTCGCGGTTTTTATCCCCTTTGTAAAATTTGCAGAGGCACTTGGACACTTTGCTTTACGATCTGGCTACGTGACTTGACCAAGATCACGACCACTGACCCTAAGTGGTGCGGATTTGAAGTCCTAAGCTTCTCATTAAGATGTTAAACACTTGTGTTGTTTTCGCCTTATATAATTGGCCAACAATCATGAGTGCATTTCCTTGTTTATATTGTCACTCGATTCGCTTGCTTTTATAGCTTTCTACAGTAACACTTCATAGTCCTCCTTTATCACTTGGTTAATAAGCTTTTTAACTCATTACCTAAGCATAAGCACTTCATGCAAATTGATTTCAGGAAAACATTTAAATTTAATTTAATTGTGTATAAACTAGACTATCCCTGTGACATATTTATTTTTAATAGAGGGTTAATTTTGAATTGGCAAAAAGAAAATCAAAAGCTCTTGCTTAACTGGGGCTAATCATGAATATCTTTTGGACAGGCGGCGTTATGGACACTTTACCGAACAATGCCCCTGCTTTAAGGAGAAGGTGAGGCGCATTACAGCGTAGATAATGAAATTCGACAAAGAAATTTGCCCAAAAGAGCGTGACGCGCGGCGCTGCTCATGAACTCTGCGCCATAAATTGCCATAAGCATTTGCATTTGCATACCACATGGCCACTGCCCATGGCCTAAAGCCCCCGGATCGGACCTTAGCCGCATCCAGTCACGAAAATTCTGATGGAAATTCTTCGCCGCTCGAAATGTTTTATGGCGTCGCTGGCCGAAAAGTTGCCTTTTAATTGGCCCCTTCAACAGCGTTCTTCTGCTGAGGCGGGTGCTAAATGGCTTTCATTTATTGCGGTTAGCTGGGTTCAAATGGCGCGTGCTTTGTGGGTCAGCTTTCCGCCCCCCAGTTCGTCGGAACTCCTCAAACCGGGAGTCGAGATGGACGTTAGGTATCCGCATTGACACCATCTGATTGTTGGCTAACTGTGCTCTTTGTGGCCCAGTGCCGTTCCTTACCGAGATAAGATCGTAATTCTTGGCTGGCCAGATAATTGTTTTCTTGTCATTTATCGCGTTAGCGGGGAAAGTTTGCACTTCTCGGTGGGTACTAGAAAATAGATTTTCTTTATTGCTATTCATAATTACGAGGTGAGACGCCACTGACCATTAAGGCCTCTAGCTAAATTAAGGGCTAGCTGCTTCTGACTGCGGATTATTGTAATTGTTTCTATTTTTGGTTGGAGTGCCTGTGCGGACACCACAGCGCGGTAATGATTGCCAATATGCGTACACTACAAAAAACAATAAGCTGATATTTATCTTAGTTGCTAAAATATATAAGAGACTCTTGAGGTTTAATACAATGTTTTAAGCTTAGATTTTGTCACTTGGATCTAATCTAAAAGTATTGGTTAGACTATTGAAAATCTAAACAGAAGGGCAATGATAAAAAATATATATGTCAGTTTGTTTTTTTGTAGATTTTAATAAAATTTGTGTACAATCGCTTTGACAACCGCTGTTTTAAATTAAATTTCTTTGAAAAATAGTTTGAAATGATAAGCTCGATAAAGATTCCATGGGCCCTCTTCTTGGCTGGATGTATAATTGTCACTCAAAGATATGTAGACAATTACGACAATCCCACCATAAGTGATGCATTGCCGACTGTTATAAGACCGACAATTGAATCGAGCTTGTAGTGCATTAGAATGGTTCATTAGCACATTCTAGCGTCCCGATAAAGAGATTGTTCGATAGCGGTAAACTGGTGATTGGAAATGGCTCAACGCACGATTATAGCCCCGTCCATCGCAGAACAGACGTGTCTGTGAGGAGATCCAGTCGAGGAGTTATGGCTGTGACCCACCTTCAGAAGTGGAAACAAGTTGCCTCGCAGCTGAAATAAACTGCGCATCGATGCTCCAGTTTCTGAACCGCGGACCTGTCACGCAGCCCCAGCGTCGAGGAGAAAATCTGAAAATAATTGCAAGAAAAGCCAAGATCCCTCCTAGAAAGAAGCGCGCGCGGACAACAATTGCGGCCAGCGGACAAAGCCCGGTAAGTAGGAAACCTGAACGAGTTTAGCAGGAAAAATGGCTTGTCGATCTTGATTCGAGTGTCGTCGCCATGGAATAAGAAGCTACCAACATTGCAGTTGCAGTGGCCGTAAATCCCGCTAATCGAATAAGCGTATGCCGCACTGCTAACAAGGCTTTTATGGTTGTCAACGCACACACCAGTTTTTATTTGCCATTCTTGGTTAGGAGAATGTCATGTTCCGAGTTTGTTCTTCGGGTAATTAGGATCACCTCGAACATTTAATTGGTAGGAAAATAAATAATTGCTCTACACTGGTGCAGACTAAGTGCACTATATCAAATCAAACAAATACCCAACAATGAATTGCAAGTTAACTCAAAAGGTCTTGCTCACATGTCGTATGAGTAATGCATATCTAGTGCACCCTAAGATAATAAACTCTTACCTGCTTTGGCTTTTCCGCGACACTATATTCATATCAAAAATCACTTTTCACTTGGCCGATAATAAATTGCTAAATGTTGGTCTTGATTTAACCCAGTAATAAAACAGGCAAAACTTTCTTCCTCAGCCCCGCAATCAAAGTACAAATTCAGCTTATTTTCCGAATGACTCGGTCACGTTCCTATTCTTTAGTCGGCGACAACACTTTCATTCATTCGTAATTTGCATTTTCCAGCCGAGAAAATGGTGTGGAAAACTCAGCAGCCGAGGCAGCGACCGGAGTGCGCGAAGTCAATAACGAGACTAACAGCGGCAGACCAATTTGACGGCTCCCAAAGCCAAAGTCTAGATGCAGAGGCCTAGAAAGAGACGGATACTATCGCAGAGAAAGAGATGCGGCTAGAGGTCTACCCGGTGCAGTGGCCAGTTTTGTTTTGGCTTCGGCGCATGCGTGCAGTTGGCAACCAAAGTGCTGACGGCTGACGACTGACAACAGCTGAAGTGGATTAGCCAAAAGTTCGGACAGCAGTCGGAACCTGCGGCGACTGGTGATCCTAAGTACGACACTAATGATGCCAAATTGCCACACTTAAGTCAACAGTAGTCGCTAGGAGTTTGCTAACTAAATATCTTTTCCCTTTTGCAAAGAAGTTTGAGTTTGAAGAAGGATGTTGACATGAATGATTTCTCTAAACAGCTAAGTGTAGGAAGATGTAAAGCTTATTCAAAATCATTACAAACAGATTATAGTGCTATTAGTGAATTAAGTTATGGAATGATTGATGTTTACTTTAAATTTTGTTTTACAGCAATTATATTTTATCAAGTAACAACTATTATTCTTAACGCACATACATTTTGCTTACTCATCTCTTTAATATAGCAATATATTGTTTTCTTAATCTATGTAATGATTATTACAATGCCCATTGACTTTAGAACTGACTATTTTTAATGTCTGCTTCGTCTTAATGAACCCGTTTAGAAAAGCTTTTGGTATCCGCACAAAAAAGATTTATGCTTAAGTTACATCAATTATTCCACCATTTCTAAGCAATCATCTCAATCATTAATGAGCTTGTTAAGAAATTACCTTGTAAAATTAGCAATATTACATAATTTTATAATTATTTTAAAGTTATTCTTTTGTAACAATGTACATAAATAAGTAAGAGGACGAATTCCATTCCAATTAGCAAGACGCTAATTTTAGTTAGAAATTCACGAAAATGTGATTACTCACATCGACTTCATTGGGGCTTGGTATTTTTCATTTGCATGACACCTATCCCGCTCACATGCAACATGTCCCGCAATCATAATGTAGTCCTCGCTTTTTTGGAGCAGGTCAGGTCGGATTCGCCTCGCCCGTCCACCTTGACTCGATCTCGAGGCCCAGTTTCTAGTGCCGAAAAGTGGAAAAACCTGCGTGGACAGTGGCCCAAATTGCCGCGTGCCCATTTGCTAGGCAAATATCTGGCCAATATTCGAGTGCACCGTTAGACAGACGATGGCGCTGCGGTCGAGGCTGCAGCTCAAGGCACCCGGGCCAAATTAATTCATGTTTTGGCCAGGCCGTCGATAGCATTGGCCAGCCAGGCTGCCCGCGCAGCTCCATCGCATCATCGGAACGGAAACAGGTTCGCTGACTCGGGCCATTCGGCAAAATGGGTCAATCTCTGAGAACAAGTGTCGGGTTCTGGTGCAACCCACAAAAGATGAAGTTGGCCAGTCAGCGGCGCATCTCAACTCCTTTGCGCCAGGCGAAACTGGGCCAGGCGATCTGTTCTAGTTCGAATCGGGGGATTTAGCTGAAATGTCCCACAGTTGGAGGAGCTGATCCAATACCATTTACCGTAAACGGCCTGGCTCCTTGCATGCAACGACCCATTTCAGATCGGACTTTGTCAATCTCAAGTCGCCTGTCTGGCACCCAGGTGCTGAACTGGATTTGACAGCCATTGGGGCCATTTGAGAAGTATTTCAAGACGGGATTATACTCGTTGAATAACTATTGGATAGAAAATGTCTCATTACAAACACAAGTAGGTTGGGTAATCTCCAGTGTGTTAATCTGCGGCATTGGCAGATGCTGCAAGACAGCTTAATTGTATCAGCTTTCAATTAATTTTACTCATTTTCTATTGGCTTGCATTTTGTTAGCCGTAAATGTTCCTTACAATGCCGACTTGTTTTTATTAAGGGACCAAAATTCAAAATAAAATTGGTTAGGTGCGTTTTTATTATTGTTTTCACACTTTAACTGTAATCTTATTCTTCACATATCACAGGAATATTTCCAAACTTCAATCAAGATTTCTCCTACTTTTAATGACAATACGAATAATTGTTGGAGTTTTTTCGCGAAAATGGGCGACAAATAAATATTAAGTATAATCTATTTAGAATATTTTTTTCCAATTTTAGGTATGGAAGATGTACCTAGTTATTGCAAAAGTCGTAGCTTCCGAAAGTCGTGTGTCCTCCGTGAAGACCCGTCGACAGATCCAAAAAAACGCGGAGCACAAAAGTAAACAAAGAAGAGTTTACCCAGACATTTACTTTTTTTCCAAAAAATTTCAATCTGTCGGGAAAAAGGTCAAAGTTACAGCACTGCAGGGCACTATTAGCAAAATAGTAAACGAAGCCGGAAAATATGCTAGAAAATTCTTACCATCATAATTTAATGTAAAATGTAAGTCTGTCTAGAAAAACTCTGGCCAGTTTTTTCTTCTTCTCTTCTTCAATAAAAACTGGTATCCATAATCACGAGAAAACGAGCCTTATCTCTATTTTGTTTTTTTATTCATGGCTTTTTTTGCAGGGCCTAGAGGCACCTGTTTCATTTCTAACAGCCTGATAAGGCACACTTTTTGGGAGACCTGTTTCAAACCCATAATTCGTACTTTCCAAATTATATTTAGAAAAATATACAATGTTATTTCTTAAGTATAGAGACAATGCTTGTATTATTGTAGTAAACAGTTTTAACATATTTTTGGTCGATTACGATTAAAGATTTTATACATTTCATTTTACGTATTTGGTTTTAGTTAATACCTATTCCTAAACATGGAACTTGGTGGCAGGGTGCGATTTTTTACGATTTATACTCGATGTTTAGGGCCAAATGACGTTACTAAAATACTAACAGTTGCAGTTATTAATTGGTTCGATTTCATGTTAGTCCCAGATTCTCTCTTTAAATTTGCATAGCTAACTAAATCTAGATAATTATAGACAGTGTACACTAAAAACCCAGGCCCTTAGGATCGCGTGGAGAGGATCGCAGAAAGGACGATAGCGAGACCCAGGACTATTAATGGCCCGCTGGTGTGGCCACCACTTCCTCCGCCGGTCGCCGAGCGGTATTCGTCCTCCGGCAGATACTCCCGGATGTGTCGCGTCTGGTTCATCATCCAGTAGAAGGCCCGCATGTTTCCCAGTTGCTTCAGCTCTTCGCCGACGACGTTCCGGATCTTGGCATTGTACTCGTTGAGCAGACGCTTCTCCGCGGCGCTGAGGAGCGTGCTGTCGATCAACTTGGGCTCGTAGGGCACCATGGTGACGTCCTGGAATGCAAGGAAGTGTGCGCCGGTGGTATGCGTGAATCCGGTGTCCACCACCTCGAGCACGTTCTTCAGACGGACACCGAAGTCGTCGCCCTTGTAGTATCCAGACTCTACACAGGAGATTACGATATGGTCAGTGGCTTGGATCTATGCTGAAACAACTCACCGCTGGAGAAGAAATAGCCCGGCTTGAAGTGAAAGCTGCTGTTCTCTCCGTAGGCAACTGATATGGGAGCTGTTTGGAAATTTAAACCATCTAGAAGAGATCTACCAACAGGAGAGACTACTACTCACGTTCCTCCACGGAACCGAAGGAGCCAATGCCATGGCCCGTTGCCTGCGGGAAGTCCGTCATGTCCTTCCACACCATGCTGCGCACCAGGGCGTCCACCTTGGATGGCATTATGTCAGCCGGGAACTTGAGTTGCGTCAGGTGCAGAATCCCAGCCAGCACATTCGTGTACGCCTTCTTCATCTCGTGCGTAGGTTCGCCAAATATGAAGGTGCGCGCGACGTCCGTGGTGCCCTCCAGATACTGACCACCGGACTCGATGACCAGCAGACTCTGGTCGGAGACCTCGATGTTGGTCACGTTGCTGGAGATGTAGTAGGGCAGGGCGGAGTGCTCTCCGTAGGCCACCACGGTGCGCAGGGAAAGACCTTTGGAGTGCTTTTGCGAGAGGCGCCACAGCTCCACCTCGTAATTGATCTTCTCCTCGGTCCACTGCTCCGTGTGAAAGCGGGTAGCCATGTTGCTCATGGCCTCGCAAATGGCGGCTCCATCCCGGATGTGTGCCCTCCGCATGCCTGCCTGCTCATCGGAATTCTTCTGCGCCCGCATAAAAATAATGGGGGAAATCTCAAAGACGACGATTTTGGCAGGCATCGAGGAATATATTGCCTCTGAGGCGCCAAGATCCTGAACACAAGGTGCGGAGACTAGGACTCGCTTCCAGATCTGGGCATATGTGCGGATGTCGCTCCAGATCTGATTGTACTCCTTAATCCTGCAAAGAAATTGTTGTTTTCCTAATACTATTCTACTTTTGATCAGATTTTTGTATTCTTACTTTACGCAATTTTCATTAAAGCAGTCTGTGCGCAGATGAAGATCAATACCCAAACTGATCTTGGTATGCTCCACGTAGAAGAATACATCATCCTGGCTGACAATAGCGTACGACTAAAGAATAAATCAAAATTAGAAGTTGAAGAACGGTTAAGAAAAATAAACCCACCTTCACCACTGGCGTGTAGGGAATGTCTGTGCCGCGGATGTTGAGCAGATAGGCAATCTCAGTCAGCGAGGTGATCACCATGGCATCGCAGCCCAGGTGCGCCAGTCGCCTCCTTAGCTCCTTTACCTTGTCCTGCCAAATCTCGCCGGCGAAGAACTTCGAATGTACCTGAATCACCTGGTTCTTGGGCGTCTCCGGGCGCTCGGTGCCCCAAATGTGGTCCACCAGATTGTTGTTGATCTTAACCAGCTTGATGAGCTTATAGTCCAGCTCCCGCTCCCATTGGATCCAAAGGGAGTGGGGCACCAGGTGCGGATCTGCGCCCACTCGCTTGTCGTATTGCACATAGCTGCTCAGCCAGTCGGCCAGGCTGACATTGCCGCTGGTCAGATAGATCTCCCAGTCGCACTCAAGCTCGCCATCCGCCTGCTGGGCATATCGCTGCTCCAGCCAGATGGCTGCTCCCTCACTGGTGACGGCTGCAAAGGCGCGGACTCCTGTGAAGCCGGAAAGATACTTCAAGCGCCGATCCCGGGGCGCCACCTCCTGGTTGAGGTGCTCGTCCGTGGAGGGTAGTATATACCCGTCAATCTCGGGCCCTTCCAGCGTGGCTCTAATCATCATTTGTTTGCGCATCTCCATCAGGCGAGTGTGGTAAGCACTCATGGGCTGGATCTGCAAAGGTCATATGGGTGAGTAAAGACAAACACATATACTTGAGGCATCCGGACTCACATGTTTGCCCTTGCGATATTGGCAAATCTCCCGGTGATAGCCTTTCGGCTTCTCCGCGGCCACGAAGCCCATGACTGCAAACAATCCAACAAGGCCATAAAAAATAAGACGAAATATTTGCAGGTCGTAAAAGATGTTGATAAATAAAATTTAAATTGTTGCCATTAGTATCCGAATTCGTTATGCTTATTTATTAATGGCCAAACTAGCGGGCCGAAAATAGCAACAAGTGCGTCACGGTAGCGGGACAAATTCCCACGCTCGTTAAACGGCCATGCGACGCGGTCTCCTCGTTTGCTGACTTTTTCTACATCTTCGCCCAAGTGGGATCTCCGTAGTGACAGGCTGAAATTTCGTTTGAATTTCACTTTCAATGGACCACCTGCTTCCTACCGCCCAAGTTGAGTCAACGCTGCGTATGCGTAATGGAAGCCTGCGCTACTTGGCGTGGGTTTTCGATTGAACCATAACGCAAGACGATGTGATCAGTGATTGGGATGTCAAAGCAGGGGGACAGATCAGCTGACAAGTGAGTGAATGCATGTCAGCCTTTTTGGCCAGCTTTTTAAGCACAATTTGTCAACGTCTTGTGAATTATAAAAAAAGAACTGATGCGAATATTTGCCATATGGACTGAGGCATTACTACATATATTCTATTGATTTATTAAGGCAAGCCGGCGACATGGTGGGCCAAAAATGAAAAACAAAAATACATTAGAGTTCCATTGAGGGTATCAACATTTTGGAATACATCTTGCCACATAGACTATTATAGAAAAAATTATTCAAGATCAGATGTAATTAAGAGACCTTCAAATTCTTGTAGTTTTTAGATTTTTATTTTTATAAGAATTTTTTCAAGAGTATTTCAGCTTCCACATGACCGATTCAGAGACATTTCCTTGATTATCTTGAATCTTTTGTTTAAGTGGAAATATTGAGGAATTAATTTTCTTGTTAATAGCCACATACTCATCTCTCCGAAATAAGTTTATGTGATTTAAAAGAAATACACGATAGCAAACTAAAGGCGGGCGAATGACAGACAAACATCCAGCCAACACAGCTGACTTTGCATTTGTAAAAATAAACATTATGCCATTTGGCCAGAGATCGCCTAAAACATATTCTTATGACGCACTGTGCATAACATTCTTATCGAAGTCTTCAACGGCGGGGGGTAAAAGGAATTCAAGTTCCTAGGGCCATGTGCGAAACGTTTTTCGTTTGCACAACTGGCCAAAAATACCGTAAATCGATCAAAAGTCCATAAAATCAACATCTTGGTCTGCCTTAAAATAACATAGTAATAGTAATAGGTGGTCGTACTCACCCAGCAAGATGCTCAGCGCCAAGCGCCAAATCCATTTGGCTGTCGTCATTGTTTTTATTTGCACTTAAAATTTCCCGCGATGTACTAGCCGTCCGCGGAACTTGGCCCGAAAGCGAGCGAACTGTTTGTGTTTGCCCGAATTGGCTCTTCCTGCCTTCTGTACTTTTGCGAATTGTTGCGTTTCCGAGGGTTCTTTTTTTTAGAGTAAACAAATCAAACGGTTGCAATTAATGATCTGGGAAAGTGGCGATCGGCGGGATGGGGGATGGTGCTAAAGGCTTATTTAATGGCCATTCGTCTGAGCGATGCACTTTTCCGGTTAATGACCGGAACGTGGCTGGGCGAAGCTATAGCACATGTTGCACCTAGCTGTCCGGGGCGGAGTCGCATGTGCCAATCCAAAGGGTGATGGCCTCGCCCGGCGCTTTCTTCTAATTGATATGCCGTGCACTGTGTGACCAACTTCTAGTCCCTGGGGTAATAACTCATCTGCTGGCGACATATGTATAAATAGCCATGATATCAGCCCGCTTAGGAATTTATAACTTCCGCTATTCGCGGGACGCTTTTGAATTCGGTTTTCTTTTTTGGAAAACACCAATTTGGCAACTATTCTAATTCGGTTTGTGTTCTGTAGCTTAACAAAATACTTAATTGCTGCTTTAATTAGCCATGCGTAAAGCCAAAGCCAGACCCGAACGAATCAGACCAATCATGCTGGAAATGAGCAACTTAAACCAGAAAGTGTGGGTGGCAGGGAAGTGGATGGGATCCGAGGCGATTGCCCAAGTTTCCCTATAGGGCACCTCAAAGGGCGGTGGTTCGAAACTGCTTGACAATAGCGCAGATGGCACACAAAACTGATTGATAGTGATTGGGTAATACACCAAATTTTCAATCTTTAGCTTAGCTGTCGATAAAAAACTTTATTTGTGTTCTCAATTGTTTTGCAATTTGTCCGGGCAAAGCTATTTTCATTAACATATTTCCAACTGACCGAGAAATAGTTTTAATTTCGATGTCATTTCACTTATTTTATTTCCAATTGAGCAATTCAAAAACAATTTCGCCGCCTGGGCGTTACTCGACTATTAGAGGTAATTTGTTGCTGCTACCATTGTTCACTTTGCCTTTTTATTGTCATGGTATTGGCGACAGATATGGCGAATCAAACGCCCCACATCCCATTCACAAATGGCACAACCCAGCCACCGCAATGAATATGGCATGCGAAAGGCCATTGAAAGGCATCGGAAATAATGGCATTAAATAAAAGTTAAGCAAATTCGCCAACTTGTGGGCGCTGTGTGTGTGAGCAGTGAGCATTCAGCATTGAACATTGAGCGGCGCTGTGAAAGTGGCAAGTGTCCCTGTAATCCGCCTCCGGCTGGCAATTATACGCTTGACTTTGGCACCAAAACAAGATGATGCTCTAGTTATCGCAGTGCTTGTGTATCAATTTGCATGTGCATGTGCATGCTGCCAAGTCGCAAATGACAGAGTGGACTCGGAATCGGGCCCACAATGTGCATCCAGTGCCAACTGGCCGCCTGCCCTTAGATCTCTGTTATATCACTAGTTGTGGTTTTGCTGGTGGCGCTGGGAAAAAACTGGATATGGATGCAACACCTGCCGACTGCCGAGTAATGTGCGGCCTTTTGTTTACGTTTCTAATTAAGGAACATTTGTGAATTGGGAGCGAGGTGGTCTCATTTGTTTTCTTCTCAAAATGCCAAACAAATGCACCGCCTTTCATTTCGGTTTCACTGCCGTCGCGGTCACGGCAAGAAGCCGCTGACTCACACCGAGAACATGGTTAAGCGGTGCTGCCAAAAAAAATACAAGCACCCCGCCAGCAAACACATAGATCTGCCTGTTTATTTAGTTCACTATATGTAGTTGGGGATATCAAAATTGAACTGAATTTTGCGCCAATGCGCACCTTGAGCGTCACCAAGCGCCAGAAACCCATTTGAAATATTTCACGGCATTTGCAGAAAAGACTGCACACAAATAACGGGCGGCTTCTGGGCCCACAGCGCGTATGGGTGACGTGCTGACAACGTTGCGTATACGCAGCGTATATCACTAAGTTTGCACAGCCGTCCGAAATAGCAGCGGAATTTCAGAATCATCTACCTTTGGCGGCTTCAAACACGCACACACACTCTCTTTGCTTTTTTTTAAGCCGAAGGAGGAGCGAATCCAAGCGAACCGCACGCGTCTAAAGCAACAAGCAAACTGAAAAACTTTTTGATGTTGCTATTTTGTTTTTTCAAAATGTGTGGCAGATGAAAAAGCGCTGGCACACACCCACAGAGCGAGCGAGAGAGAGACACTAGGAGCATGCATGCATAGACTGTTAAATCGGGAAAATAATTGCTTGGCGGTGGCGGAAAAGCGAACGGCGGAAAAGCAGGCGGCGGACGGCGGAAAAGCGGAACAGCTGAGCGAAAGGCGCGTGAGCGGGAGCTTTAGCCGCTTAGACGCTCGCCAGACGCAAAACAGTCCGGAAGAAAATGGGAAAAGTCTCCTCGTATTAGCTGCAGCACAGTGGTCGCTCGTCCGTGGAGTGCAACCGCAACCTAATCCCGGCCATTACAATGGTCTTGTGGCATCATTGTGCCGGCTTACATTTCACCAATGCCAAGTCGAACAGACAATGACGTCGTTGAATCGCTGGACTTCCGAGAAGAGCTCCATGGAGTTCGAGTTTTGCAATTGACTTCGATGGAATCGAGAAAATGATGCTGTCAATTGGTATTTTATTGCTTTTAAATTGATTGGTTAGTGGCGACAGAAACCGAAGACCACTGTGCGGGCCCTCTTGCATAATCCCGCGTAAACAAATATATATCCCAATAGACGAGCTCTTAATCTTAAAATCGTTTTGTTTATTTCATTCGGTCACGAAGTGAGCGCCTTTTCATTCTGCTCATTAAGCTCATTTACACAGAAACAGCCACTCAATTTTCAGATGAAAAGCGGAGCAGTGTCTTCTAAAATTATGGGAGTGCCGACTGGCGGGTGGGAGTTCAATATGCTCTTATTTATTATGTTGCAAGCTCGCGGCAATCTCGCCGCTCTCTGCCACTCTCCGTTCGGATCACTCTGCTCTCGATTTATTATTAACTAATTAAAAATCGACTTTGAAGCGTGCCGCCCGCACTGGCCAAGTGGCAAATGAGCTTTTGATCAATACGCCTGGCAAGCAATTAGGCGTACGGGGCCATGGGTTACCGACGTGTATGTAGTTCTCCAGTAAATCATTTCTGGTTAACCTCTACGGAGTATAATCTTGACTATGGCTTAGTAGGTGAACTGCACTCGGAGCAAATACATGTTCACCCAAAGAAGAATCATAGTAAATTCAATAACTTACACCTTTTATAAAATATTTTTAAGTATTTTCCTTAAATATTGATATTATTATCTTCATATTTAGATTAAATAGGCTTAAGTAAAAAATAAAGTGTGCGTTTTTTTAATTGTTTCTAAAAAAAATATAAAATAATTAATTATGAACATAATTAAGTTTACTTGCCGTTTCTCTGGGTGTTGTTAGACACAAATAAATAAATAACTTATGAATAATGGAACAGTTTTCCGGCGATGGTTAAACATACCTGCGGTAAAAACTATCTGGAAACGTATATTAACTGTGTGAGTGACAGTCAATCAGCGAGAGAAACTTGTCGTGTAAGGTTTCTATGGTCGTTTAGTCTTTAAAGGGTTGTAAGCGGCGTTAAACCTTCTTCAGATTATATTTAACAACTCCAGTAAAAAAGATATGTCAATCACTTTAAGAAAAACATCTCAGTTGAGCTATTTTTAAAGTAAACAAGAAAGGAAAGCTAACTTCGGGCGGAGCCGAAGTTGAAATACCCTTGCAGAATATTCTGCAAATTATATTCTCCAAAATCATTCATAATGCATTCTTAATACTCATAAAAAATCCCAACTTCCTAACTTTAAAAACACCAAAGTTATGGCATTTCCAATCGTTCAGTTATATGGCAGTTATAGAATATAGTCGGCCGATCCTTATGAAATTTGATATGTCGGATTGATTAGGCAAAAATAAAACCCATAGAAAATCCCAACTTCCTAACTTAACAAACACCAAAGTTATGGCATTTCCGATCAATCAGTTATATGGCAGCTATAAGATATAGTCGGCCGATCCTTATGAAATTTGGTACGTCTGATTGATTGGCCAAATATAAAACCCATAGAAAATCCCAACTTCCTAACTTTACAAACACCAAAGTTATGGCATTTCCGATCAATCAGTTATATGGCAGCTATAAGATATAGTCGGCCGATCCTTATGAAATTTGGTACGTCGGATTGATTGGCCAAATATAAAACCCATAGAAAATCCCAACTTCCTAACTTTACAAACACCAAAGTTATGGCATTTCCGATCAATCAGTTATATGGCAGCTATAAGATATAGTCGGCCGATCCTTATGAAATTTGGTACGTCGGATTGATTGGCCAAATATAAAACCCATAGAAAGTCCCAACTTCCTAACCTAACAAACAGCAGAGTTATGGCATTTCCGATCAATCAGTTATATGGCAGCTATAGGATATAGTCGGCCGATCCCGGCCGTTCCGACTTATATACTGCGTGCAAAGGAAAGAAGGGTGTGTGCAAAGTTTCAATTCGATATCTTTAAAACTGAGAGACTAGTTCGCGTAGAAACAGACAGACGGACAGACAGACGGACAGACGGACAGACGGACAGACGGACATGGCTATATCAACTCAGGAGGTGATCCTGATCAAGAATATATATACTTTATAGGGTCGGAGATGTCTCCTTCACTGCGTTGCACACTTTTGACCAAAATTATAATACCCTCTGCAAGGGTATAAAAATATGTACGAAAACATTTAGTTAACAAGAGAGAACGCTATAGTCGAGTGCCTCGACTATTAGATACCCGTTACTCAGCTAAACAACTTAATATAAATATGCCTTCTTGTATGTTTTGACTCAGACCTCCAATTTGGCTAACTTGATTTGATTTGCATAGTTTTTGGGATATAGTTCGGTATTGAAAAATGAAAACCATCGCAATTTCCTTTAATAGAAATCCTTATCGAGAATTAACGTTGACTCTGTTGAGCACCTTGGCCAGCTGTTTCAAAGTCATCCGTTAGATGGCGCCACGAAAGGCGGAAATGTAGGCGCTAGCCAGGCTTAAGCGTTTAATGGGTTTTTTGGCGTTAGAGTGGGCGTGGCGTTAGGCAAATCGATAGGTATTGACGAAACAAATACATATCAATTAAAATTTTCATAATAGCATCAAGCTGTGGCCACAGCTTGTGGCTTGTGGGCGTCAGAGGGGGCGTGGCACCATTTTGAAACAAACTTGCGCTGCGTAGGAACTCCTAAAATCTACATGCAAAATGCCAATCTTCTAGCTTTTATAGTTTCCGAGATCTCAGCGTTCATACGGACAGACAGACAGACAGACAGACAGACAGACGGACAGACGGACAGACGGACATGGCTAGATCGACTCGGCTAGTGATCCTGAACAAGAATATATATACTTTATAGGGTCGGAAACGCTTCCTTCAACCTGTTACGTACTTTTGCACGAATACAATATACCCTTTTACTCTACGAGTAACGGGTATAACAAGAGAGAACGCTATAGTCGGGTGCCCCGACTATCAGATGCCCGTTACTCAGGTAAAGGGAGTGCGAGGGAGATGGAGATAGAAACTTTGATCACGCATAACTTTTTAACGAATGGTCCGATTTGAAAATTTTCTTCTACATTTCGATAGGTATTGATAAACACAATAAAACTGCATTTTTACTTTTCCGAAATATTTAAATTTTTAAAATCGTATATAAGCGGTTGTGGGCGTTAAAGGGGGCGTGGCACCTTTTTGAAACAAACTTGCGCTGCGTAGGAACTCCTAGAATCTGCATGCAAAATGCCAATCTTCTAGCTTTTATAGTTTCCGAGATCTCAGCGTTCATACGGACAGACAGACAGACGGACAGACAGACGGACAGCCGGACATGGCTAGATCGACTCGGCTAGTGATCCTGAACAAGAATATATATACTTTATAGGGTCGGAAACGCTTCCTTCTAGCTGTTACATACTTTTGCACGAATACAATATACCCTTTTACTCTACGAGTAACGGGTATAAAAACCCGGCAGCGGCGACTTTGGCCCAGATTATCTGTTGTTATACATTTTAAGTTTATTTTTTTTTTTAAGTTTTAAAAACAGTCAGTAATTTGTGATGTTGCCTATTATGTTATTATTGTGAATTCGTATAGATAAATATCAGTAGAGTGCATTTTTTTATAATTCAAATAAATGTAGGCAAGCGTAAATTTGAAAATTTTCATACCCCAGACAAAAAGTATGCAATGTAATTTATAAAAACTATCCCAAAAATACACTTTAAATTGACCAATTGAATATATTTATTCTGACTTCTCATCAGACTCAATAAAAATGGGCTTAATTCTAAAAAAAGTGTCTAAATATAAATATTTTTGTCAAACTTTTGCAAAATCTTAGAGGGTAAAGTGCATTTAAAATTAAACAGTATGGCAAATGATTTCGTTTCGATTCGATATTTCGCTTGATTTGCTTGCAGCTGCTCTCAGTCAACAATTTAGAAACCAAAATGAACAGCCAGCCGGAGGAGCAGGCTGAAGTCCTCTTCTCAATCTCAAAGTTAATAAATATTTACAGGGCACCATAGTGTTCATGGTGCTGAGAGAGTCTACAGGCATTCGTCGGTCTCCTCATTGCCCATCGTCAAAATGACAGGCGATGAGAGATCCACATCCAGCAGCTTCATCTGGGCATTATCCTCGTCCTGGACATCTTTGCCCAGCCGCTGTTCCTGCATCTCGATGTCCAAGGTGCCGTGCTGCCGTTGGAAGGAAACTACGAAGATCACCAGTGAGGCCACGATGAAGACCACAGCGGTGCCGGAGCACAGGGCGATGATCAGGGTGGATCGGTAGTTGGAAGTTCCCGAGAGCTGGGCCGAGTGCTCGTCTGCCGAGTTGCTATCGAAGGTCTGGCCAGCATCGTGTGGTGGATAGGAGACCAGCGGAGTGGCGGTGCTATCGTCGGAGGAGGGCTTTGCTTCACCCGCAACAGGCTTCTTTTCTTCTTCCGAGGAATGGTCATCTGTTTCTGTTCGTTCGTTTGGTTTTTCATCCGATTCTCCGCTTTCTTTCTCCTCCACGGATTCACCATCGACATTGAGCGAGCCCTCTTCCTTTACTGACTCCTCTGTGGAGATTGGTTCATGGGTGTCCTCTGAAGATGTCTGGACAGTGGGACCCTTTCGATCAGTTTGTTGATCTGAAACATCTTCCTTTGGTTCCTCTTCGCTTATCTTGGCATCTTCTGTGACAGGTGTTCGCTTCTGATCAATTTGCTGCTCTGAAACTTCTTCCTTGGACTCCTCTTCGCTTATCTCGGCAGCTTCTGTGATAATTGGTTGATCTGTAACTTCATCCTCCTCAGCAACATCCTTAGTTTTATCAGCAATATCCTCTTCTGGCTTTGTTTCTTTTGGATCTGCGGCCTCCACAACTGTCTCGTCCGAAGGAGTGATGCCCTCCACTTGTGCCTCGATTTCCGCCTTGGCTTCAGCCTCAGCTTCTTTCTCGATCGCTTCTTTTAGCTCAGGAACTGACTGAGTGGGTTCAACGTTGACTAAAGGTGGTGATGAAGTCGAAGTTTTGGTGAACGTCTCATCATCGCCTTCAATAGTGTTATCGTTGATATCATTTTGGTTGTCATTGGCCTCCTTAAATTCCCGTTCCTCACGGACAGGGATAGTCTGAACTGCCGCGGAATGGTCAGTCTCGGGCACTTCCGGTGCCACTTCAACGGGGAGAGGGTCTTCCACGCCTTGTTTCTTGGTCACTTGGTGCTTGGTGTCCTCAAAGCTTGGAACCGGAGTGCTCTCCTCTCTCTCGAAATCCTCGTGCTCCTTCTCTAAGGCCAAAAGATTGGTTTTGGTGATGGGTTGCTCAGTAATGGCACGATCTTCGTTGAGGATCACAGAAACCAGGTCACTAGTAATGCTCGGTAATGGTCTGCTGGTACTTTCCTCATGCTCACTGGACACGGCAATGTTGTCTGTTACTGCCTCTGGTTCCGCTTGGTCCTCCGACCCTCCGTCCTGGATCGGCTTGTTCTCCTCTTCATCATCAAGAGTTTTGGGTTCGCGAGCACTTTGGACTGCTGCTGGGGAATACAATATCATTAGATCAAGTTTAAAGGACAAAATAATGTAACTTACCCTCACTCCCTTGATTTTCAAGTACGGCTTCCACCGCCTTTTGAACATCTTCAATAATTGGTTCCACCGGAGATCGTGCAACTTCCACCTCACTGTTCACGTCATTCTTGATATCCTGCTCTAAAGTTCCCCCGTAGACCGATACAAAATTGTCTGTTGTCTCTACAGAATCAGCAGGAATAGCTTCCTCAACTTTGGGATCCTCTACAGGATGAGCAGGAGTAGTGGTAGTGGCATTCTGGATCGTTGGTTCCGGCGTAGATGAACTCTCCTCCAACTGGACAGGAAGTAACGTGGTGGCTTCTTCCTCTTCTGGAGTGAAGGTCGTTGACTCGACTATTACAAGGAGAAGTTGATTAGAAAAATTTTAATAAGCATGGGAGTTAATTATAATTAAAATTAAAGTTCTTATATAGAAATCGTAACAATGGCATCCCTGTAGTCAATCCACAAACCACTTGTAAAAGTAATGTAGACACAGAATGTGTCCATGTAAATGTAAATGTAAATGTAAAAAATGACGAATTCAGAATTCTTTAAAGGATTTGGTTCCATACTTAATACACAATCAAAATGAATTCCTAATAAAATATAAGCCACTTTTCCATAATGTAATCACTATAATATATATCTTTATAGCCGATCTATAAAATCGATAGCATTTTAGACAGTTATATAAGTTCCAAGTAAAGTCTTAGTTTATGAATACAATTCTAAAATACATAAATAAATCAACAAAAATTGTTTAGCTGGTTTTTATTAAAGTATTAATAAAAAACTTTTCGAAAAATTGAAAGAAAAAATTAAAAATTGGAATCTTCTGAATCAATTTAAAAATGTTAAAATTTAACTATAAGCACCAAGTTAGAAATGGCTGAGTTTGTATTATAACAAAATCACAACTTTTAAGATTATCTTATTACGGATTATTGCCGCTATTACATATGGCTCAGAATTTTTTCTTGTTAAATGTCTAGATAAGTTATTTGGGAATTTTTAAATTAATTATTATAATAATCTTGCAATGCTTACAAAGTGTTGATTGAGAAATGAAGGAGTCATAATTTCCCAATCAACAATTTTTTAACATTGTGGATTCCGAGAAATGAAATTATTAAAATCATAACTTGACAGCGATGACTAGGCTTGGCTTTCTCCTCAGAAATTAAGAGCACGTCGCAAGTACCCAACCAGAAATGGAAATAGGCTTGGAAAATATTAAAAGCTTCTCCCTAACTTTCCCCGAAAATATAAGAATGCATTAAAAGGCGGAAATTCGGAAATTAATAAAATGTATTTTCAAACGATGTTTATAGACGGACCGCTACATTGATAAACTTCCCATTTAACGCACTAATAAACAAATATTACAGCCATATTCGAAACGAGTGCCATTAGGCCTTTTCGACGGGTTCTTTATGGCCCCGATTGGCATCTAGCCGGGCATTTGTCTGTCTGTCGACAAGCAACATCGACACGGCCCATTCATAGCCACATCTAGGCGGCGGCTATCACCGCTGTCATCAGTGCACATTTTCTCACACATTCATTCACAACTGGGTCCCAGGTCTTGCCCCGCCTGGTCGCCAAACGCGACTTGATCAACCCGAATTCTCCTCCGGGGACGTTCGCCCGCGCCCCATTACTCAAAATGCTTGCAAGTGGCCGAGGCAGTGATTAAAATTCCGGACACACGCAGCAGACACCAACAAATCGAGGAATCCCAAATTAGTAACCAAATAAACAAACCAACGAGACCGGGCAACCCGCCCAGCCTGTCGCATTGTGTGCCTATAAAGTAGCTGACTTATTTATGAGGGGACATCTATTCCGTTTCCCCATCCATTCAGCAATCCCTTCCCTGCCCCTAAGAAGATGCAACTGGGTTCGTGGAAAAGTGGAATTATTAGATGCTCTGCATGAGATATGCATGGGCGGGCGGTCCATGCCCATTTCTATTCCCATTCCTATTCCTATTTCCAGTCCCAATCCAAATCCCTTGGGAACGAATGCCAAAGAACAACAAATAGCTACAATAACACCAGGCGGAGCGTCCGAGAGTCTGTCTTAGGGTCTTAAAATGGGACAAAGCATGCCGCACAAACGAAAACAAAGAGGCGGCCAAATGAGGAAAATGGCATTTAGAGAAAATACAACTGCTTGCCGCAGTTGCAGATGCAGATGCAGATGCAGTGGCCCAAACCAGGCCAGTGTCAGCTGTCAGTCCCTTTTTGTGTGGAATGGGTGTGCGTTAGGAATTATGTTTTTGGTGTTTAAGTGAGAGAAATTAGATGTCTAACACAACGCAACATGGCAACATGCCATATGATCAATGATCCTTCAAACTCGGTGCTGGGTCCGTTGATAATTTCATAAAGTGATATGGGTTTGTTCACCCCCATTACTGAAACTCAACTGCCATTAAACTCTTCGTCGAATTATCCCCCACTCAAAAGGGACCCGCTATCTGCAATTTGTACTGCGGTGACCGCCTCGATTGGCCTGTTACCAAACATTATTGAACTTTCGCACGCTGCCGGCGAGCATGAATTACAGTTGCCGATAGCATGGGGCGCCCCTCCCCCAGCATTTATATGACACCCAAGTGCCACCGTTTGTGTTTGGCGAAGGGAGCTATGGTCTCGGTGCGGCCCCTTCCGCGGCAGTGGCATAATTACGCCTGTTTTGAATTATGCCAAGCCGAATCGCAGAAAGCGCAGCAAACGAGGAAAATCGCTATAAAGCCGCATCGCACGGCATCTGAAGAAGAGGAGCCCCGCAGATATATAAGTCAAAGGCCCGATGCGACCGCAGCAGCCGCTGCAAGTGATTACGACAATCATGATGATGGAGACGACAATGCAGCCCCATCCCATCCCATTCCATGCCATGGAGCGCTATAGCTGGCTTGTCTGATATATACTCACTTGGCTGAGCCGAGCACGATGTTGAAGCCAGCAGGCAGCAGGCGATCACGAAGAGCAGCGATCCCAGTGGAAGATGCAGCCTGTTTCTGGAGGAGCAGCTGCCGCGGCTCTTAGAAATACCGGCCATATTGAGTGACTGATTGATTAGGTTGTCGCTCCCAGTTTGACGGGCCCGAAATCAACTGGCCAACACGCACAACGGGCACACACAAAGACTGAGACACAAAGACGGGATGCGCACAGATACTCGGATGTAGATAAAGAATACAGCTGCAATGCTTCTCGAGTCTTCAGCTGTTGCTATAACTTCGATTCGACTCCGGTTTCAGACGTTTTCAGACGACCACGCACGACGACCGAACGCGTTGGCCACTCGCAAAGAACTAAAGTTGAGAACGCGTGCGCTCTGGAATTTTGTGTTGCTGCCGTCGCTTGCTGCTTTTGGTGCTGCTGCTGTTGTTGCTGTTTCTGCTGCTGTGGCAGGCATGCATGTGCTGCGGTCGTATATCGATGACGACGTCGGTCCCTGCCCTTTCCCTCCTCTACCTACTTGCCCCTACTGCCGGCAGATCCATCATGCCTTTGCCTTTGCGTTTGCCCTGCCGGGGTTTATTTGCTCTCGGTAATAATAGGGCCTGGCAGGCAGGCGGCTTCTGCAGCTAGTAAGTGGGCTGGCCGGCCCTAAAGTCCCCCCCCACTTCTCCTTGTGTTGGTCTGATAAGTGCAAGTGCCTAGCGCCGGCCCCAAAACCACAGCCAACTAAACCAACATTTTGGCCCGGCTGTGGCCAGCACTCCACTTCCACAGCGTCATCGCCATCGAAACCCTCATAGTGCGAGTGGTTGGCAGCCAATCGCCCGCAGGCGTTCTTCACTCCTCTTCCCGGCAGCGTTGGACCAGTCGGGTCTACCTAAGGCCCTATGTCCATCCCATCCCACTGCCCTCGGCCCAGCACTCTTATTGTTGTTTATTTGGTACAATACAAGAGCTCCAGTACAAAAGAGAGCAGAAACAATAAGGGTAGAGCAGGCCAGACCGACCAAATATTTGATATCACTTGCAATCAAGATGGAAAATATAATTAGGGCAGTAAAATAAATAGAATTTGAAAGGGGACTGATTAGATCACCGAGTAATCATGGGTCAAGTACTTGGAGGTGAAGTTAATCTATATTCTCATAGCTTGACCTATTAAAATGCACGAAAATAGTCTATATATAAAAGTTTTTGTTTATTATTATTATTATTTCATTTGAATTTTTTTTTAAATTTGAGTCCAAGTGGTAAGTAGTAGTAGCAAAGCAAGTTTCAGTGGTTTCATGCAAGCAAAAATTAAGTTTTTATACTAATAATATCATTACACTTACTAATACTGATTATAATATTATTTTTAATGCACAATATTGTGAGTATAATTAAATGTAAGCCAATATCATAATCGGTAGGATCTAACCAAAATAGAACCTAGAATAAACACAAAACAAAATACACAAAACACTTCAATTAATGATCTTTAAAGTGATGATCCAAACCATTACAACGAAATCTTTTGAACACCTTAATCATTTTTTAAGCCCCCATAACTGGCAAGCATTAGAGACAGCTGCAAACTCAATTACTATCTTGGCGAATACGTTTTGCTTGGCTAATCATGACCAATCCACGGCAATCATCGAATGACAGCTGCCACGAATCAATTTTCAGCCTCTTCAGTGTTTGTTTGTGAATGATTTGACTCGCTTGAGTCCGCCCAATCTGAATTGGGTCGCCAGCAGAGCTAGAGTGCCCCTCCAGCTTCTGAGAGCTGCGGTCCACGGGGGTCTTTCCCGGCCAAGTGACTGAATGGATGATGGTCTGGTAGGGCGACCAACTACTTGCTGGCTCTATGGATGTCTGGATGTCTGGCTGCCTGACAGAATGCCCAAACTTCTCGTACGCCTGTTGACAACGACATGGACCACAGGGGCTTTAACTACTCGCACTGCTACTCACATCTGTATATACAAAGTTGATTTGAGCTTTTCTCGATGTGGTTGTTCGTGTAGGCTTTCCCTGCAACATTTTCCATTACGTGATGTAGTCATTTCAATGGGCTGGAGCCTCAGACGCTGGTCGGTGGTCGGTGGTCAGCCCACTGTTTATCTTTTATTGATTATGCCAGCAGGTAACCCCAGCAAAGTCGGGCCGGAAAATTTGCCTGATGTGAGTGAGCGCGCCTTCAGATTCAATTTAGTCGTTAAATATTTAGATTTTGTTATTGCCGTCGTGGCTCTGCGGTGGATAGTGGACGAAGTACGATGTACGGTAGACGATGGACGACGGCAACAGGAAGGAATCAATTGGTTTCCCTTTGAGTAACCACGCTTAGTCATGACGAAACCGTCAGCACTTCCTCCTGAGGCATCGCCGTGTTCCTTTTGTTGTCGTCAAAGTCGTGGGGAGGCGGCTTTTTGTTATTGAGATTTTGTTTTCTGTTTTATTTGTAGCTAGCACTCGCATTTTACGACCGCCCGCCCATTGCCTTGTTTGTCCGGCTAGCCGGCAGTCGTAAATATGCTGCGGCTGTGAGTCAGGCAGGCGCGCGAAACAGTCGGGTAATTAGCGAGCATCGCCCAGGTAGACAGCCACTAGCGACTATCGACTCCTGGCCAAGGCCGTCCTCCGCTGTCTGGTTAGGGAGTTACAAACGCATCAAGAAACAATTAGCGGGGGATTAGCACAGTGACCTAACGGCTGGGCTGGCTGATCATCCAACCCGTCATTTTGCCGGGGAGATGGTGACAGTCATCGTTAGTCGGTTTTCCCACACCGAGAAAAATAAAGACACAAGTTGGAGAAAAAGAAGAAATCTTTGGCCCTTCGGTCATAAAAATAAAATGGCTAAGTCCGAGTTAGTTTGAATACAAATATTCGAGTTCCACTTAAAAATATGTATTTTAAAATATCTTGAAATTGAATCATAGAAAAGAAACATATTTACTTAAATTGGCTTTAATACAAAAGATAAGTTTCAGTTTTAATATAAATATCCTAGCTTATTTAAAAATTTTATTTAAAATTCCTGAATACTACATTATAAACATTGGAAAAAAAAATCTATCATATTGGCTGTAATCGTCTTGATCAAAACATTTATAATATTTTTCTCCATAAGATACTATGGAAATTGCCGAGCCAGAAACTTGTAGCCTGAAAATATTGAATATGGAATGCATAAGCATAGAAACACAAGCTTTAGATAAGTTTTCTCTCCGTGCATAGCTCAATCACTTTCGATTTATGACCCCAAGACGTCAGCGTGGATTGCAACGAATTGATGATAAGCGCTCTTTATTGGTTTAGATAAACCTCGTTGGGTCGACCGGAAACCGGACCGGGAATACAAGAGGGACTGAAAAGGAGGGGCGAAAAAAAGAAAAAAGAAAACGCAACCGAATGCATATCAGAAAGCAGAGCACTTAAAGTGAAATGTCAGCTCATTGTTCGGTGGAAAAGCTAAACGGTCTTTGATTTGTGACCGACACTCAGGCCCATCTTATGCATTATGCAGATCTTGTCCAGCTCGAGTTTCAAGTTCAATACAAAGTTCACACCACGCAACTATCAACAGTGAATGACTCTGCGGTCAACGAAAGTGATACAGATTTTGGGGCACTGAAATCGGAATACCCTATCTACATTTAAGTCAAGTTTCTTTTGAGATTGAGCTAGTGTTCAAATGGGGTAGTTTCAAATAAAACGGCTTAGTTCAATTCGTTATATCTTGGTTACGGTTTCAGCTCACGCATTTTATTTCCCTCAGTCAGGTTTTCCGTAAATGTTTTGAAATTGAATCGGTTAATATCGTTTAACAGCTCCGTTAGTTGCGGTTCGAGCCCGAAGCCTAAAAAGGAAATAAACATCTCTGTTAAATTAATGAAATATGAACTCAACGTATAATTACCGATGGTTATCCATACCTGTTTACATAATAACTTATACCCTTTGATTGCATCACTCGGGTATCACTTGTGCGGGCAAACACACGGGCCCGAATAAACAAACAAATTTGGCAATGGAGTGCGACATGGAGTATGCATTATGGAGTGTTTAGGCCTCAATTACATAGAATCCATTAGCCGAAAGTGAAAGAAAGTCACACGAGGTCTAGGTTTTGCCACCCGGAGCCCCGAAAGATGCCCCTGGCCTGTCCCGTTTGATTGCCCGACTCAAGTGCCCCATGTTAAATTGTCGAAACCAGTTAACTAAACAGTTTACTTGATCCGCCGCAGACACACGCGACAAACACTGTTGTCGCAAGTGTCACAATAGGAATTAGCGTAAACTGTTTTAACGCCAAACAAATGGACATTTGAGCTGTGAGCCATAATCATATGTACATATACGCGACCCGCCTTGGGCTTTACCCAATGGATTGGCAGTGATGGGAAGGGTACCGTTTTTGGTCAAGGTAGTGTGAAGGATGAACTTAAGGTACCATTTTACACATAAATTCTGCTTGAAAATCAAACAATATTAAAAAGCCTTAAAACTTAAAAAGGGCGGATTTATCATAGTCATGCTAAGTTTTGACATTATTGTTTCGAAAATAGTTACAATCGTGTAAAAGTTTATCTAACTAAAAACTCTTAACTAGAGGCAATATTCTAGCTATTATTTCGTTATGCAAAACGAAAATAACAAATGGCGGTCCAACTTTATTAGCGATCGAAGAATTATTATCAGATTTAGAAAGCAAATTTCTGTTTCCGAACAGTTTGATTACAGATTATAAAGTAGAACCTTAAAATGACATTAACAAAAATCGGTCTATAGTGTAACTGTAAAGCTATCGTATCAAATCGATTCGGTGAAAATTAAAGTTCAAGTATATTTCTCCTGCTCAGCATATCTACTGGGTCATAGCCATCGAAAACGACTAAGATCATGTTGTTGCCCTAATGAAAATCGATCGATCATTTTGCAGTATAGATAAGGTAAAAGCTGTGATAAGAAGTACCGAGGCGGGCAGTTAGGTACGCTTACTTGGCTACCTCACATCACTGGGTAATCGCTCGGTGGGCTGTCCAGTACGTGAGTCGCCGTGGCCGGTGGGTCAATGCCGCCAGTGGGGCAGTGGAGCGGTCCATTGATGAAACGGAGTAGAAGCCGTGTGCACAGCAGTTTCAACCCCTTGCGCAGTTGTAGACGAGCTATTAAAAAGCCATATAAACAAACAGAAAGCTCTTCACCGATCCGCTGAATGAATGGTGAGAGCAGTGGAGGATTGGCGGGTGAGCTGTCGATTGTCTTTCAAGTGGGTAAACAAAAACACCGAGCTGTACGGGTATGCAAAGGTACCCCCGGTGGGTACATACATACGTATATACCATATGCTTGTTGGCAAGTGAGTGCGAGTACTTGGGCCAGGCCGGGCCACATCCTAAATAAGCAGCCGCCGTTTTCATTAGGCAACAGGTTATTGCAATTCAGCGAAAAAACAACGGCGATCGACGACAACAATGCGACGAAAAACCACGTCGCAGCCAGAGACACAGCCACAGTCAGAGCCAAAAAAATTTAAGTAAGTAAGTAGCTCCCAAAATTTATACACTGCTCAAAACCAATTGTGTTTTATGAATACATTGTATGTGATGTGCATAACTTTTAACGGCACGCGAACTGTTCATATTGTCAAGCTTATTGAGAGTATTTATCTTTCTTTATCATCCATGTTTATGTGTCTTGCATGGGCAAGTAAAGTTCCAGCCCTTACAAATCCTATGAGATTGATCAGATGAGTTGTCAAAGCCACACGTGCTGCAATATGAATCACTGGCTTGTAAAACAGTTAACCTTGTGTTACTCATTTGACATTTCAATTATATCGATTTTTAAAGATCCATTACATTGAAAATGTTAATTAAATATACCTATACTAAATTTACTATTATGCAATTTTAACCTAAGGACGTTTAAGATTAAATGTTTTTATATTGATTTTTACGAGTCTTGTTATTCGAATAGGTTTTATGAAACAAATTCGAATTAGTCATATTCCTAAAAGATTAATCAATAAATATAGCTTTGTTCATTTTGTCTTCAGGAATATTAAGTTGCAAAAGTTTGACTATAAGGAATCTACGGGGATTTTCTTTAAATAAATATTTGCAATGCAGTTAATGACAGACATAATCTTACTTTTCTGGAATGTAGCTTTAAGGACGTTTAAGTTAAGTTACAACAATTTGACAGTTTGTTGCCAAGCTAAAGACCGCTTGGGGTTTTTCTATAGGACAAGGTCAATTTCACTTTCTTCTGCTGCTCGGAGCTTAAAAGTTAATCGCATCTTGAGGTTGTTTCTGTGACAATCGCCCACTGTACTGGTCGTTGACAGTTTTGGATAGCGTTCTCTCTTTCGCTAAGCTGTTATAATTGCTCAAATTGCCGTGGCAGCGTGCCAACTGATTGGATTTTCGGGCAGGGGGGCAGGCAGCGGTTTCATGCTGGAGTGGGGGCGGCGGCAATTGATATTACGCGCAGTGTATGCCGGCAGCGGCAGAGACTCTTGGATGCGCCGCTGCTCTGGGCGCTCAGGTAAGGTAACCCGAGCCGAGCGACTGGCATGCAGGTGGCTCACCGGTTGGAGCTCTGCTCCGCCGCCAAGCCGCTCAAATGAGTGGCAAGCCCTGCGAGCGGCGGACGCATGCGCAGTCGATAAAGCACATTCGAATCGAACGCTAGCAGCGGTACCGCCAGACTCGAGAAAACGGCACTTCGATTGCAATTCCCATTCATACCCATTCATACGGTTTCAGTTTCAGTTTCTGCTTCGGTTTCGTTTTCAGTTTCGGTTTCGGCGTTTTTGAAAGCTCTTCGGTGGAAAGAAAGTGCTGTCTTTCTTTCTTGAGCCGCCGCCGATCCTTGGGCAGCTTTCGTTTTCATTTTCGTTTCGATCGATCGCGAACCGGTTGGGCTTCTGATCGGTTACCCAGTTACTTAATCCCAGCGTGCGGCGTTCATGTAACCATAATCCTGGTCAGCATGCGACGGGAGCGAGTGGTGCTGCTGTGTCTGGCGCTGCTCGGATTGCAGCAGGTGTCCAGGGCCACTCTGCGTCAGTCGCGCGAAATCATCATCACAGATGCGGTAGGTGTTCCTCGGGATGGCGAGGTGGGGAGGGCGGCAATCCCCAGGTCGGTGCGCCAGCGGAATTCCTAATTAACCAAGTGTCACAACGCACGCGTCGCGTGGCCTCCAAATGTCAAGCGTTTAATGTGCCAACAATTTGTGTTTGCATTTCGGATTTTGGGCCGAGCGTTTCGCCTTCGCTTCCTGCCTCCGTCTGGTCCCAGTTTGGTCCCAGTTTGGTCACCTGTTGGCTATCGTTATTTGTTGCAGGTGCGGCGCATCCAGAACGACGGCTACAACGTGGAGCGCCACTCGGTGACGACGAAGGACGGATACGTGCTGACCCTGCACCGCATCCCGCAGGTGGATCCCGAGCTGGGCAGTCTGCTGCGGCGCCCTGTCGTCTTCCTGCTCTCCGGACTCTACGCCTCGTCGGATGTGTGCGTATACTATGTATTTTATGCTAATAGATACTTCCGCTTGCGGCGGATAGGAAACAAGAAAATAGCCCCACAGCAACACAAGTATTCTCAATGGTGCAGTTAGAGCAATTTTTCCAACAGTTTGCGGTGCAACTGATAATTCATTTCCTAGCTAGAACGTTCTTATTTATCCTTTCCTCTGTGTGCTTCCAAGAAAACTATTATTCATAACATATTAAGCCTCTGAGTTGCTATAGCAACTTCTATAGAATTCTATAGAATCTGCAGTCTAAGTGCCCTTGCTTTTAAACTATCTAAAGACTAAGAGTTTTTCTCAGAAAGTATCCGAATAAGTTATACTTATCTAAAAACTATCTCAAAAAGGAAACACTCTTACTGAGAATATATTCTGATGGGGACCATTTAGCTAAATAAAATTGGAATATAGGACTGACAGCATTTATGAGTACATATTTTTGCTACGTTAAGTGTTTTTTGAGACCGAACCTTTTAATTTATTTACTTAATTTGTTCAATGGCTTTAATAAAATATTTAGAAACTTAACCCTTTGCCTTTTAAATGATCTGTAAAGCAATATAATTACAATATACAATATAATTACAATATAACCCCGTCAACATTTGCAAGAACACTTATTATAGATTTAAAAGGCTATTTCAAAAAGATATTTAAGACTAATCAGACTTAAAAACTAGAAACTAGAGTGCTAAAGCACTCATAAACTTGTGCTTAAACAACCTACAAAAAAATGATTATTAATACTTTAAATAACTTATGAATCAAAAACAGATTTTAGTAATTGCAATAATCCAATCCAATACCGCTGGCTTCTCCTCTTCCAGGTGGCTCCTGAATGGACGCGAGGACTCGTTGGCCTACCTGCTGTGGCGCGCTGGTTATGACGTGTGGCTGGGGAACAATAGGGGCAACATCTACTGCCGGAAGAACATGTGGCGGAACACCACGGAACGCGAGTTCTGGGACTTCAGCTGGCACGAGATGGCCGTCTACGACATGCCCGCCCAGGTGGACTACGTGCTCCGGACCACCGGACAGAGGGACATGCACTTTGTGGGCATCTCACAGGGCGGCACCGTCTTCCTGGTGCTCAACTCGATGCTGCCGCAGTACAATGCCGTCTTCAAGAGCGCCACCCTGCTGGCCCCGGTGGCCTACGTAAGCAACACGAAGAGCGGGCTGGCCAAGGTCATCGGTCCGGTGTTGGGCACCCGGAACTACGTCTCCAAGATGCTCGAGGGCGTTGAGATGTTCTCCACGAACAAGTTCTTCAAGAAGTTCCTCTCGATGACGTGCCTGGAGAACGAGAAGCCGCTGGTCTGCATCAGTCGTCTGTGGCCTGCCGTTGGCTACGACACCCGATTCCTCAACAAGACCCTTTTGCCCGACCTGATGGCCAACTTTCCGGCGGGCGGATCGGTGAAGCAGCTGATGCACTACTTCCAGGGCTACGTGTCCACGCGGTTCCGGCAGTACGACTACGGCCCGGAGCGGAACTGGCTGCACTACCAGCAGCTGGAGCCACCGGACTACGCACTGGAGAAAGTGTCCACGCCCGTTACGGTCTTCTTCTCGGAGAACGACTACATCGTGGCACCAGCGGACATCTGGCGACTGCTCACCCGGTTGCCCAACGTGGAGGCGGTGTATAAGGTGCCCTGGAAGCGCTGGAACCACTTCGACTTCATCTGCGGACTGGGGGTTAGGGAGTACATATTCGACAATATAGTTCTTTCCATGAATCGATACGAACAGCGGCGACGCTGAGGGAACAATACGAACAGATCGAGGGCCAGGAAGTCGGCCAGGAAAGATCACAGCCAGAACTATCACTAGTACCAAAAACAAATTGTAGAATTACGAAACTGAGTCTGCGGTTGATTCGGCTAGATCAACTCTGGATATATGTACTGATTAATAAATAAATAATTTATAGCTTAGACTAAATTAAAATTTATTTTAAACTTGGCTCGGTAGTAAGCTGGTAACTGAGTGCTTGTCTTGTGAGTCACAAAGTGGTAAAATAACACGTTTTTTATTCTTTTATTTATTTTGTAATGACCAGTTATAATTTTTTTCTATTATAAAGAAATCGAAATTATAAAAAAAGCACTGGAAAGGGATTTTAAGAATGTTCGGTATACTTTTCTGAAAGTAAACATAAAAATCGTGGGAGATTAGACTCTTCTAAAAATATTTCATTATCCATATTGGGAATCCTCGAAATCTTTAATAATTTGCATAATCGGTTGATTGATCACTTTATTAACGCTCCTAGCGAAAATAAAGTCCATATGGTCCCAGGTGGGGATGGTGATGTGATGTACCACCACATTGGACAACCTGCTGACCAGCGTTGGAATGTCCTTCGGCGAGATGGTACCGTCATCGTCGCTGTAGTACAAGTGGATGGGAGAGAGCGGACGGACATTTTCCAGCGGATAGTCCGGGGGAGAGGATCGGCCGTAGACGATCCAATTGGTGGCAAACCCAAAGTCGTATTGCCGGAACCTCCAGGAGTCCTTGAGCTGTAGATAGTGTTTTGGCTGCCTGGTGGAAATTCCGTTCGGGTGAGTGGCGATCAACAATGGTATGATGGACTGCAAAAAGGAGTCAAGTTTCAAAGTTTTATCAATTCTGATTTATGAGTAATTTTAGTTCTACTTAAAGTAATGCTTGCTCAATTTTTCATTTATTAAATTATTTTATAAATCGCAGAATTTTTTAAGAAAAAAATATCAAAAATATTAAATTGTAATTGTTAACTTTGTTATTTTGTTAATGTTAACTATTATAGCCCAATTATAAAGTCTCCTAAAAAAAGCAATTTTAATGGAAATATAATATTCTGAACTTAATAAGCAATTAGTACACCCAATTCTTCTTGTTTTCTCTCACCCTGTTCATTTCTTTGGACACTCGTCCGTTGTAGAAAAGGTACAAGGTGGTGCAGAGATCTTTTACGCCCATCAGCTTGCACATGGATCCTATCACGGGATTCAATAGCCTTTGGTAAGGCAACAGCTCGCTGTCGGGCAGGATCTGCAAGACGGGCTTCAGGAGCTTGTGTCCCAGCGAGAGGGAGTGCTGCATGAAGACGGGAGGGGCCATCAGATTGGCCGTCTTGATCACCGCGTTGTATTCCGGTTTCATACTGAGCAGCACCATCAACGTGGTGGTGCCCTGTGAGTGACCCACGAAGTGCAACCCATTCTGTTTCGTGATCGCCAAGATGTGGTTAATCAAGGCGGGCAAGTCCTCCATCCCAATTTCATGCCAGCTGAAGCGCCAGAACTTAAGCAGCCAGACCTTAAGTTTTACGTGGCGCCTGGAATATCGGGTTCCGCGGCTGTTGCTCAGCCACACGTCGTAGCAGGCGTCGGCCAAGAGAAAGGGCAGACCGTCCTTGGGTCCGGTTAGCAGGGCTGTGTCCGCCGATCCGGTCAGGCCGTGATTGATGAGGACGACTGGCTTTACCCCGCTCTTCGTACAGAGGTTCGAAGACGGGATGCGGAAGGGTGTCAGTATGTAGCCATCCTTGGTAACGACAGTGTGCGACTCCACTGGATAGTTGTGGCTTGCTATTATATCGATCTATAGAGAGGGTTAACTAATATAATCTCCTTTTGTAACTTCTACTTACTCACCCCAGTTATTGACTTAGTGCGGCTCGCGTTATTCTGCAAGCAAGATTTAAGATATGTATAATATTAAGAATCCCATCAAACTAATCCCTTTTTATACCCTTGCAGAGGGTATTATAATTTTGGTCAAAAGTGTGCAACGCAGTGAAGGAGACATCTCCGACCCTATAAAGTATATATATTCTTGATCAGGATCACCTCCTGAGTTGATATAGCCATGTCCGTCTGTCCGTCTGTCCGTCTGTCCGTCTGTCCGTCTGTCCGTCTGTCTGTCCGTCTGTCTGTTTCTACGCGAACTAGTCTCTCAGTTTTAAAGATATCGAATTGAAACTTTGCACACACCCTTTTTTCCTTTGCACGCAGTATATAAGTCGGAACGGCCGGGATCGGCCGACTATATCCTATAGCTGCCATATAACTGATTGATCGGAAATGCCATAACTCTGCTGTTTGTTAGGTTAGGAAGTTGGGACTTTCTATGGGTTTTATATTTGGCCAATCAATCCGACGTACCAAATTTCATAAGGATCGGCCGACTATATCTTATAGCTGCCATATAACTGATTGATCGGAAATGCCATAACTTTGGTGTTTGTAAAGTTAGGAAGTTGGGATTTTCTATGGGTTTTATATTTGGCCAATCAATCCAACGTACCAAATTTCATAAGGATCGGCCGACTATATCTTATAGCTGCCATATAACTGATTGATCGGAAATGCCATAACTTTGGTGTTTGTAAAGTTAGGAAGTTGGGATTTTCTATGGGTTTTATATTTGGCCAATCAATCCGACGTACCAAATTTCATAAGGATCGGCCGACTATATCTTATAGCTGCCATATAACTGATTGATCGGAAATGCCATAACTTTGGTGTTTGTTAAGTTAGGAAGTTGGGATTTTCTATGGGTTTTATTTTTGCCTAATCAATCCGACATATCAAATTTCATAAGGATCGGCCGACTATATTCTATAACTGCCATATAACTGAACGATTGGAAATGCCAGAACTTTGGTGTTTTTAAAGTTAGGAAGTTGGGATTTTTTATGAGTATTAAGAATGCATTATGAATGATTTTGGAGAATATAATTTGCAGAATATTCTGCAAGGGTATTTCAACTTCGGCTCCGCCCGAAGTTAGCATTCCTTTCTTGTTTATCTAATTTTTGAACTTACCTCCGATAAGGCTTTTCCGCTGCTCAGCAGGGCAAAAAAAGGTACAAACAATATTAGCTGCATCTGATAGAGAACTAACATTCTTTATCCACGGATGGGCGTTAGGCAGGGCGGTACTAATCCGCAAATCTTTTAATGGCTTTATAGGAATACCAATTGTGCTCAAGCGTTTCTGATCGGGTGAGAACAGCAGTGGAATTTCAATTCAAATTTTGTTCTTTAAAATACATACCTTTAAAATATCGTTAATTTGACTTTGACGATATGAAAATAACATTATTTTATGTTGTGTTCAGCTTAAATTTTTGTAATTGTCCTTGCATAGGGTATTATTATTTAATTCAAATAATTGCAACGCAGACCGTATAAAGTATATATATTTTTGATCAACATCACCAGGCATCACCAGTCATGTCCGTTTCTCCGTCCGTCCGTCTGTCCGTCCGTCCATTTATACGCAAATTAGTCCCTCAGCTATAAAACTATTTTAATGATCATATAGCTTCCATAGAAACAATCGGGAAAAAAGGAAATAATATTATAACTTCTTAACATATATTCATATACCCTGACATTTAGTCTTTTTAAACTATTTCAGTATTAAGGTTTTACTTTTATAAAAATTTATTATATATCTGTCATAGGAACGATTGAACATTTTTCGAAAAAACCACCGAGCTTCGTATACGAACTATAGTTTTTAAGCATCAAAATCGAAATAAAGAATATTTAATTTTTGTAAGAGCTTGTGTTTTTTTATTGGTTAAAATACCTTTGATTGTTGTTACTTTACTCTATTTGCTTATAAAATTTAAAACAAAATCGTAACTGTAAAAAACACTTAGCAGATTACGGAACAGATAGTAATATAAGTGCCCAGCAGATTTGAACCTAATTTATATGTCAAATTAATTATTTCCGTGTTTCTAAATTTTCGAACTGATCTATAATTCCGATAATTGGTTCATTGATGACTTTATCTACTGTCTTGGCGAAAATAAAGTCCGTGTGGTCCCAGGTTGAGTCAGGAATGTGATGCTTCACAACTTTGTCCAATTTGTTGGCTAGTATCAGAACATCAATCGTCGTGGTCATTTTGTCCCCATCACTGTAATAAATGTGGATGGGAGACATCGGACGGACCTTTTCCAATGGATATTCCTCAGGCAAGACTTGCTTGTAGACCATTCGGTTTTTTTTTACTCCAAAGTCGAATGGCCGAAATTTGCCTGATTTTCTGACCTGAAGAAAGTGCTTGGGCTGACGCGAAGAAATTCCAGCCGGGTGCGTTGCCAACAGCGTAGGAATGATGGTCTGAAAATTAAATTAAACTTTATATCAAATGCCATTATTAAATAAATAATATTAGGAATAAATATGTATTTTTCTACCCACTTTGTTCATGTTCTTGGACGGAGAGCCGGAGAGCATGTACAAATTTAAGCAGAACTTTTTTAAAGAGGAGAGTTTGCAAAAAAGCCCTACTACGAAATTCAGCACACTGGTTTGGCCAAAAAAACTGCAGTCCTTCATTTTCATAATGATTTTCTGGAGTTTATTTATTACGCCGGCGGTGGAGTGTTGCATGAAAACGGCGGGGGCCATGAGGTTGGCAGTTTTGACCTTCCAATTGTATTCCGGTTTCATACTGAGCAGGACCATCAGCGTGGTACATCCCTGCGAGTGACCCACGAAGTGCAACGCACTCTGATTAGTGGTCGACACGATATAGTCGATCTGGGCGGACAGGTCCTCCATTCCGATTTCATGCCAACTAAAGCTCCAGAAGGAGTCCTGGGAGGACTTCAGGCTTGAGTGACGCAGGGAGTAGCGCACTCCGCGGCAGTTGCTCAGCCACACATCGTAGCAGGCGTCGGCTAGCATGAAAGGCAGTCCAGTCTTGGGTCCGGTCATCAGGAATGAATCCGCCGAGGCGGTCATGCCGTGCTGGATGAGGACGACCGGTTTTGGTGTGCTCTTCGTACAGCGCCCTGATGACGGGATTCGAAAGTTATCGAGGATATAACCATCCCTGGTGCGAACCGTGTGCGTCTCCACCGGGTAGTTATACTTGGCTATTAAATGGACCTACAAAGAGTGCTTTCCGCCCAGTCCTCACAATAAAAATGTCCATCTACTTACTCCGTTTAAACTCTTGATGCGGTAATCCTTGGGATGTCCGGTGTAATTTTTGAATCCAAGCCTCACCGTTGGTTTAGTACTGGCGATGCAAACCCAGACAAAAAAGATCACAAACTTCATTATCAACATCTGGAGGAGTTTTAGCTTGATTTTTTACGGATGAATCCAATGGAAAGCAGAACAAATACGAGAATTGTGCTGAATTAAAAATAAATTTGTGAAAGGGCTTATCTAAAGGGAAAACTGATGCGTAATAACACAGGCCAAAAATTTTTAGACCCAAAACTGGACACACTTTTTCTTAGCAATTTTGGCACCGGATTTGGATTCAGCATAAGAAAAATTGCATAAGAAAAAGTGGGTCCAGATTTTGGGTCCCGGATTTTCTAAAATTTTGTTGGCCTGTGTAATCAACTAAAAAATGAAATCACTAAGAATTTTTTTTCTGAATCATTAAAAAAAAGCATAAATTATTTCCAAAGAAGTCAACCTTGGTTCAAGTTTTTATCTAAAAAAGGGAACGGAAGTATGCAAGGAAATTTCATAAATGAATCGTAAAAGGGATAAGCACACGCAAAGTAAATTGCACTGCAACACTTAAAACATTTTTAGGGATTAACTAATTTCCCAAAAAACATTTGATAAAATCGAAATATATTTATGTAACGTAATGACAAAATAAGTTTATAAAAGCGCTTATGAATAAATATAAGCTTGGTATGGGTTAAGTTGGTCAAACTGTTGAAAAATTCTGATAATCGGTTTGTTAATCACTTCAGCGACGCTCATAGCATGCAGGAAGTCCATGTGGTGCCAAGACGTTTCATGGATGCGGTACATCTGCGCCTCGGGCAACCTAGAGGCAAAATTCAGAACATCCTCCATTCTCGTGGAAAAGTCCTGTTCACTGTAGAATATGTGGACCGGCGTCAAAGGACGGACGTTATGCAGCGGATAATCGGGAGGTGATGCGCTCCTGTATATGATTATGTTCGCCAAGATCCCGAAGTCAAACATCCTGAACTTTCCACTGTCCGTGAGCTGGATGAAGTGCTTTGGCTGGCGCGAAGAGATTCCCGCCGGATGAGTGGCCATAATCAATGGAATAATGCTCTGAAAATATATGTATGTTTTAAGCAGGGTTATATACGTATATTATATGTATATCCTGAAAACCTGGACCTCTTGTATTCCTAATTAGATACATCCCAAACTAATGGAAGTATCCTTTTTGTAGATACTTTCAGAACTCACTCTGTTTAGGTGCTCGGAAACTTGTCCGTTGGTGAGCATAAATAAGGCTGAGCAAAGCACCCTCACAACGTATTTTCCGCACAAAACCTTCATGATGGCATTCAAAATTCTGTTGTGGAACAAGAACTCGCAGTCGGGCAGTCGCATAATATAGTTCCGGAAAAGACTTTGTCCCAGCGTGGACGTGTGGCGCATGAAGACAGCCGGAGCCATCAGGATGGCGGTCTTGACCAACTGATTGTACTCCGGCCGCATGCTGAGGAGCACCACCAGCGTGGTGCAGCCCTGCGAATGTCCCACGTAGTGCACCGCTGTCTGGTTCGTGGTGGCCAAGATGTAGTCTATCGTGGCGGCCACGTCCTCTGTGCCGATCTCGTGCCAGCTGAAGCGCCAGAAGGCTTTGTCCGTGGGATCCAGAGTGATGTGGCGTCGCGAGTAGCGGGTGCCCCGCGAGTTACTTAGCCACACGTCATAGCATGCATCGGCCAACATGAAGGGTAGGGCATCACGGGGTCCGTTCACCAGGAAAACATCCGACGAGGCTGTCATTCCGTGCTGGAAGAGAACCGCCGGCTTTGGTCCTGAATGCATGCAAAACATCGAGGTCGGTATGCGAAACGCGCTGAGTATGTATCCATCTCTTGTATGCACGGTGTGTATTTCCACCGGGTAGTTGTGCGAAGCTATGATGTCGGCCTTTAAAAAGAGGATGAAAGACTTGACCTCCAATTATCGACAGCAACCCACTTACAGAAGTGATTCCGTTGGCAATATTAAGCCAGCCACATAAAATCAGAAACGTTATTTGCAGCATTTGGGGGAGTAATAACTTGTTTCTCTCATGGGTTAAACCAATTTTCCAATTACACAGCGAATTCCTCAGGTAAGTTGACAAGTAACGGTTTAACGTTATGTATTAATCAGAAACGTTATTTGCAGCATTTGGGGGAGTAATAACTTGTTTCTCTCATGGGTTAAACCAATTTTCCAATTACACAGCGAATTCCTCAGGTAAGTTGACAAGTAACGGTTTAACTTTATGTATTACGTTATGTATTTACTTGAAATCGATATAATCTGCAAATCTTTATGGTATCTGGTGTACTGTTCTCTGAAGGGGAAAGTAAATAATTTGAAATTTATTTTAAGGAATACAAATATTTTTATTGTATCCAAAATAAATTTGGAAATTCACAGCGTAGTCACACTTGCTGTTTTGTCTATAAACTCATTTTAATTGGTATTTGGCCCTATGCTTGATTTGTGAACGTTTTATCTATTAAACAATCATCCAACTATTAGTAGGTGTTTGAAAAAAACAAAAATCATTAAAAAGCATTTTGTCGATCAAGGACTTTTCTGTATTTACACTTCACATTCCATTCTCGTACTTTGATTCGGTCTAGTTATTTACACAATTTGTTGTCTAACTGGGCGTCCCGGCAGGAACAGGTCCCATCTTTAGGTCTATGAACCGTCGCAAGGCCAGCGCCTTGCCACCCACCAGCGAGTGGTTTAAGTTGGCGAGGAGTGACTTTGCTTGAGGCAGGTCGTTTTGTAGTGCCATGGCCACTGCCAGATTGTACCGCACAACGTTCTGGGCAGCGTCAACCGACTTCAGCTGCCAGTCACGCGTCTCAAAGTCGAAAGCGTTCAATGTGCCCACGAAAGTAGGGTCCAGATGGTCGCGGGCTTCGGCTGCTTTGTCCATCAGCATCAACGCCTCCCCGGCGTACATGTGACCCAGTAATCTGAAAACAGTAACGGCTTAAGAAAGGTCCCAGCTGATTTGTAAAAAACTTCATAATACTTGTGTGCATCGGAGAGACGTTCGCAGGCTAGTAGCTTTTCAGCCATCTCCAGGGCGGTCACATGATCGCCCAGGCGCAGGGAAACGAAACTGTGAGCCGCATAAATGGCGGCTAGCATGTTCTCCAACGACTCCAGGCTAACAGGTTTGGAGGGATTGCAGAAGTTATTGTCCTGGGGATGACGCCATGACTCCTGAGTGGGATCCTTTGGTTCAGGAGCCTCCACATCCTCCGAAGAGACCGCCGACATGTGGAATTTCGTCTTGTAGTGCTGCGTAAGGGTCAGGGCGCTGCGTAGGCACAATGCGGCGAACTCCAGTGTGGGTTCAGGCACTCCAGCAGACTGGGTACTAAAATTGTTCGGTTTATAAGAGGAAAGAACAAGATTTAAGAAAGATCACTTACGCATATGGCTTGGTTGTGGGCGTGGATCCTGCCTGCGACTGACGGTCCTCCTCCACCAGTTTCTATATATAAATAATATAATCGATAGTTAGAATAATTTAAGATAAGATTTGTAAAAAACAAAAAGGATATATAATTCAAATAAGTAATGGTAGCAGGAAATGAGGCAAAGATAATTCATTTTACATTTGTAATCTGTTATATGTGATTTATGAACTCACCGCCTCGTGCTCCATGATGCACGCCTCAGCCATGCGCAACCAAAGACGTGGATTGCTGTGAAACTGCTTGACGGGCACGAGGAAGCACTGGAAGGCCTCTTTGGGGCGGCGCAAATGCAGCATGGCCACGCCCAGGTTGTAGAGGATCTCGCAGGAGCGTGCCGAGCTCATAGTTTGCAGGGTGCTCTGGCGCAGATTGCGTGCCAGCTGCTGGTCGAAGTTGAGCGCGTTTTGAAAGAACTTGGCGGCTATGGCATAGTGTCTAACTCTCAGATGAATCACTCCCATGTTGTTTGCGATGCAAGTGCTCAATTGATGCGTCACATTGCTACGGAGACAACAGAATTAGCTTCCCTCAAATGTAAAACGGATAAGCAATACTCACCCAGCCTGCGTACATTCATTGTTTATGCGCATCAGCTGCTTGGCGGCCATCTGGAAGTCCTTCATGATGTAGTACTGCTGTGCCTTCAGAGCAGCGTATTCCGGCGTGCCATCCTCCTGGATGACCACCGGCTTGCGGTTCAGCACTAGTGTGATGAGTTGCAAGAGCTGCAGGCTGCCGCCCAGACCAGGTACTGCCCCCTCCACAGCAGTTCCCCCAGGCGTGGACACCACTGTGATGGGCGTGGACACCGGCGGAGAAGCTGAAGTACTGCCAGCAGGGTCGTCGGTGGGGTTGCTGCTGGGCGCAGTGGCCACCAGATTGAGCTTGTACTGCAAGTAGTCCAGAAAGGCCTCAGCACGGTTTAGCTGATTAGTAGCCAGCAGAAGCTGGAGCTGCAGTGTGGCTACCAGCGCTGCCATGGCCTTCTCTAGTGCTTCCAGTCGGGCCACCAGAGGCGCCAGTTTCTCCAGCGCTGTGCCAAACATGTGGCGATGGTAGTAAATTACCGCCCTGTTGTATCGGGCAACCGTGGCGGCGGCGGCTCCTTGCTTGAGGCTCAGACCGCTGGACGCCTCTCCCGGGACATCAGCGTCGGCGGTTAGGGCCTCCAGTTCTTTCAGCAGGACGGCGTGCTGGGTGCAACCGGTCTTGTGGTAGCTGACCACCGCCCGGTTGTGCCGCAAGACGGGACCACTGCTCTCGCCGCGTGTCTCTAGCTCCTGAAGCAGCTCCAAGCAGCGATCGAACTCCGAGCTGAAAGGCGAAGAAGAAGGAAAGCGGTTACAAGTCCGATTACCGGTGTAAACCACGTGCCCACTTACTTGTTGAACTCCTCGTGTGCCTGGCACAGCAGACTGTAGTTCTCGTCCTCGCCGGCCTGCGTTTTGGTGGGAGAATCCGCCGAGTCCATGCCAAAAATAAATAAAAACAAAAAACCAACTCCGATTAATCGCTGACACTTTGCTGGTGTTGGACAGCGCGTCTAAAATCAGGAAATCAGTGCTGGAAAATGTGACTCAGAGAGAAACACAGTTAAAGAAGAAGAGTTGGCGGTTCTTTGTTTTTTTTTTAAAGAAAATTGTAATATCTCATACTCATTTTTCTTTATAAAACAAAATGTTCAATATTTTTTTTTTATTTGTGAAAATTTTGTTGCACTTAAAATGTCATTTATTGTTATAAAAAGTATTAAGTTAAAAATGTAAAATGGAAATTGACTATATTTTGTCGATAAATGGTTTTTATACCTTTGCAGAGGGTAATATAATTTTACACAAAAGTGTCCGACTCAATAAAGAATATATATTTAAGATCAGCACAACCAGGAGTGATGATAAAGCTATGGCCGGCTGTCCGATTCTAATCGAACTACTCTATTAGTTTAAAAAGTTATTAAATTAAAACTTCCAAAAAGTCTTATTTATTTTCATAAAGCTTTTCTACATTTACAGAGGTCTACATCAAATAGCTCTAATATAAACGATTGAAAACTTTATCGGAAAATCGACATAGCTTCATTATTTTTTAACATAAACGCATAAAAATATAGTCGTTTTAAAGAATATTTATTTTTTTGTAACATTTTTGTCACACCTTGGACTGTATATATATACATAACGCTTCGCCTAGTTCTAACTTCTCGTACATACATCAATGTGTGTGAAATATTAATAACCTTTGCATGAATCAATCACCAGCAGACCCAAACACTTTTAAACTTCTTGAAACTTTGAATGAGTTTTAAGTATTTTTCAATTATCTCATGGAAACCATTCGAAGGGCATCGGCTATTTCATCAAACAAGCAGATGTTTTTTTTGTTAAAATACTTTTTCAATTTTGTTCTTTAGGTAATGCAAAATATGATATGAAAATTGAATTACTCCATGGGAAACATACATATATTTTGACGAATAGAAAAGAACACGTAGCCATTGTATACTTTTTATCAGGAACGCTTACCTGGGCTTAGTTTTAGAACCACACTTATCGCCAAGTAAAAATAGCTCTTCCAAAAAAAACTATATACAATGTAAGAACAAAATGTATTGCTCAGTGCTTCTTATACGTTACAATATCTTGAGATAAACCAAGCTGTTGGCAATCGTCAAAATATTTGCATTCATGCACTTTAGTTCGATAACGCTTTATCCTCCCCGTGCACTGTGCAAATAATATCAGCAGTTGCTTATTTTTGAATTATTTTAATTTGATTCGAAGTACAATATTATTCACTAAACTGTTTCAAAATATTCAATAATTTGCATACATTTAAAGGGATCGGATTTCGGGTTCAGGATCGCTCCCTTATTTTATTTGCTGCTTCATTACCGCTGCAATGGGTCAAAACGAAGAAACTGAGGATCGGGAAAATGGGGGAGGGACAGCTCCAACTTCCGAAACTCATTTAGCAAGGGGCGTGGTAGGCATGTCTTATGTACACTATTCGTAAATATCTGTATTGTATATAATATATATGTATGTATATTTTTATGTATACCATATAAACTTGAATTTAGCATTATAAATTCCCAATGCTGGTTGTAACTAGTCCCCGGGGGGTGAGAGGGGCTCAACATTAACTGAGCAGCAGCACTTCCTCCTCGTATCGCGTCGCATAATAAACATATCCCTTCTACTCCACCCTCGCTCCTCTGCTTATCCTCCAATCTAGCCAAGCACACACATTCACACGGCTTCCCTAAAGATTTCGTAGCGGGTTTGTTCGTTCGAGTTTTTGCTTCATTGCATTGCTATGGTTATGGGTTTTGATTGCTCCGGATTCGCTACTTATGTGTTGCGAATCTTGCCGGGCACATAGTTCTTATCGATGACGTTTTCCTGCAGGAACATGTGCAGGCAGCGCTCGTTCTGCGCCAGCGGATGTCCGGCTATCTTGTTGATAAAGCCCTCCAGTCCCTTGCGCCGTTCCTCGATGAAACTCTCGTCAAAGATGCCCTCGTCGCCGCGGAAGGGCATCTGGCGCTTCCAGGCTTT